TAGCTAGATTATATAAAAAATAATACTTATCTAGAACTATACGGAAATAATAATAAACCCTCCTAGGTTATATAGCAAAGGCGCCGGCCTTTCGTATATAATATCTATATCCGAGATGCTAGTTTTACTTTGGGAAGGAGTATAGTACGAAATTAGATAGATTAATGGCTTGTATAAAGCTCGGGGACAAGCTTATTATAAAGGGGGAGGTAATATTACAATTCCCAGATATCTCCTAGACATATATAATGCGGCCGCCTTACTAGGGAAATATGCTTGGAATATACTAGAGATATTTAGAAAGCTAGCCCTTTCGGGACTAGTGTACTATAGGGTGTATATACTCCCTCGCAGCCTCCTGTATTCTAGTTTTCCCTTCTTTAGCTTTGAATCGTCTTTGTAAGAGACCTTCTACCTTGCTTTCCAAGCCCTAAATGCCGTACCCGTAATAATAGCTATTTATATAGCCAGAAATATAAATAATCTTAAAGTTCTCTATTTAGTAAATATTAAAGTTATTATAAAGCTTATTTTTAATCTAAACTAACTAATTATTAAAAGTTATACTATTCTTAGTTATATTTTTAAAAATAAAAGAATTAGGGAATTTAATTAAATATTTACTTTTTAAAATAAAAGAACTAGTTATTTCTATAGGCTATATAATAAGCTTCTTAATAATAGCTTTATTCTTTTATAAGGGTTATTTGGTTTCTCTTAGCTAATTATAATAATTCTTATTATAAATAAGAATATTATATATTTTTAGAATTAGTTTAATAATCTCTTTATATAAAGCCTCTAGGCTTTAAAATAACTTTTAAAAATCTGTTTTTAATAAGACAGGTCTTTTTTCTTTCTCGATTCTCTAAAAGAAAGTATTTTTCTTATTATAAGTATTAATAGAATATTTGAATTCTTTAGGAGACTTAATAAGAGGCTCTAGTCTATTTTCTAATAATATACTAATAATATCTTATACTATAGCTTCTTCTAACTTATCTAGTTATTCTGAAACTTGCTTTCTTATAAGTCTTTATTTAGTAATAAGGTTACTAGTTTATTTACTTGCCTGGCTAATCTAGGGCTTTCTTATTTAGTTATTCTAGGGCTTTCTTTTATTCTAATATTAGTTAACTAGTATAGAAATAGCTATAATATATTATATTTATACTTATTAAAAACTAATTAGATAAGTATTATTTAAATCCTCTATAGGATTAAGAAATAAATAAGCTTTAAATTATATTATAAGTATAAGATCTAGGGCCTAGAAAATATAGTTAAACTATTTCTATTTTAGTAATTTAAAGCTAAAGAAAGAAGAGAATCTTAAAGAAGCCTCGGATCTAAATAATTATAAGCTATATACGGGCCTATATATTAGTTTAAGCTCGGGGTTATATATAATAATTAGATAATTATAAATGCCTTATTTAAATACCAGATATCTCTTTTAGATACTAGATGCCTCTCTAGCTCTAGTCTAATTTCTACTAGTACTATATATTATATAAATTTTATTCTAATATTAAATTATATATTAAGAATAATATTTCAGAAAAAGAAATACTAGTAATATAGAAAAGAATATAGAAGATTTAAATAAAATAGAAAATACTAGAAAAGTAATAGTAAGAAATAATAAATATATAGAAAAAGTACTATAATAAGAAATATATTAATAAGGAATTTAATATATATATAATAAAGTTATATTTTATATAAAGAATATTTAATAGCTATAACCTAATATAAAGCTAGTAAATAAATATCTCGGCTTTTTTAAAGTTCTAGAAATTATAGAAATATATAAATAAGTATATTACTTAGAATTATTACTATTATATTAGATTTATAATATTTTCTATATTTCTTTCTTAGAACTATAATACCCGCAAGCTAGTATTATAATAGAACCAGAACTAGTCGAGATTAAGGGTAAAGAATAATTCGAAGTGAAATTTATTATAGTCTATAAAGAAAACAGAAAAGAAAAAAAGTATCTTATTTATTAAAAGGGCTATTTATTAGTAAATAATATATGGGAATTACTAAGTAATCTAGAGAATATAGCTCAAGAATTATAAGAATACTTAGAAAAAAGTAATATTATAATACTATTAGCTAAATAAAAATATAAAAGATAAATGCTTTTATTAGAAAACTATTAAAAACTATATATTTATTCTTGAAAAAACTATATAAAAATTATTAAGAACTCTAAAAACTCTAATTTCTATATTCTATAAATATCTTATTTTTATAACTACTTTCTATTATTCTTATTATTATTCTTATTAGAATTCTCTTAAGAAATAAATAATAAATTAGCCTATAAAACTATTAGCTATTAGTAAGAAATAAGAAAAAAAGAAATAAGCTTACTTAATATTAAAGAATATTAATTATATTATTAAGAATACTTTATATTTATACTAAGCTAATAAGAATTATTTAATTTATTTCTTGAATTATTAAAGGAATTTATTAGCCTTAAATAATAGCTTTAATATAAGAAATATATACTATTTAGTATAGAAAAAAAGTAATAATAGCTTTCTCTTTTTTAAATAAAGAATAAGAAAGATACTTATATATATTAATAGCTTAAAAAAGGTAGTTTAATTATATTATATATACTTAAGGAACCTTAAATAATATTAGAATAAGAAATAAATAAAGGAAATTATAACTTATAGGATTATACTTTTTATTCTTAAAATAGTAATAATTATATATTAAGTAATTATTACTCTTAATATAAGTAAGATTAGGAAACTTAGTAATATTCTTGAAATATTAAAAATAGTAAAAGTAAATTAAGAATATAGAAATATTAGCTAAATAGGTAATAATAGGCTAATAAATACTAAGAGAAGTATTTATCTTAATAGATAAAGAAATAAAAAAGGAAATTAGAAAGGAATTTAAATAAAGCTTAAATAAAGCTTAAAAGAGCTTAAAGAAGCTTAAAAAAGGCTTAAAAAAGAAAGGTAAAAGATAAAAAGAAGCTAGATATAGTATTATAGTTAAGGAAAGAGAAAGTTAGTTAATAGGAAAAGAGAGGCCTTTTTATAATATCTTTTTCTTAAATAGTAATTATAAATTCAGAACTAGCTCTATACTAGAAATACCCAGAAAATTCTAAAGAAGAGATTTATAAATAAACCAGAAGATCGGATTAACTTTTCTAAGCTTTTAAACCTATAGAATAATAATTTATTTATAAATAAAGGCTAAGTTAGGATTTATAAACTAATTAGAAAACCAGAAAAGCTTTTTATCTAATAGTATATACTATACTTATATTATCTTTATAAAGGGGAATTACTAGAAGCAACTTACAGGTTAGCTAGATAGGATTAGTAAACTATATTCTCAAGTTTATTACCTGATATAATAATAGAGTAATTATAGAAAGTCTTTAGGGAAAACTAATAGCTAGAAAAAGTTTCAGGGAATTATTTATAAAGCTATTTATAGTTCTTTTAGGCCTCTTAGGGACAAGGGCCCAGAAGGGAAATTAATATAATAAGTATATATAATAGTATATAAATAGGTATTAGATATTATAGATCTAGTTTCCTATTTTAGGTAAAGCTAGTAATTAGAATTATATAAGTAATCGGAATTATATGAATTATATAAGATTATATTTTCTAGTTAAGTAAAGTACTTTATAGGCTTAGCTAAATACTAGGGAATATATAGGGAGATACTCTTAGCTTTAGAAAGAGGCATTAATTAGTTTTTTATTAGAATTAACTCTTGGAATTAGTTATAGCTATAAGTATTACTTTATAGTTTACTTATCTTAATTCCTTATATATTACTTTACTATTATATGCCTTATACTTTAATTTGATTTCCTAAACTAAAATTAGAATTTATCCTTAAGTAAAACCTATCTTTCTATAGTTAAGACATTTAATTCTTTTATAGGAAGGAATTTTCTTATAAGTACTTAAACTTCTATTACTATTCTTCTTAAGTCTAGTATGCGAAAAAATTAATCTAATTAATTAATTAATTTATGAATATTCATGAATAGCGTAAATAGGATTTAATTAATATAATACTTATATAATTTGATTAGATTAGAATAATTAATTATGATTATTTATGAATACCTTAATTAATATACACGTGACTACAGCACGTGATAGTCTAGCCTAATTAAGTAAGGTTCTTGCTCTAGCACTGCCTTAGCGAGCTTTTCTCTCTAGAAGCAAGGTAGCACTAGAGCCTGATCCTTACCTAATTAGGCTAGCCTGTCACGTGGTGTGGTCACGTGTACATTAATTAAGTTATTCATAAATATTCATGATTAGCTTAATTAGTTCGTGAATAGAATATGATTAATGAGAAAATTTCATGAATAGATTAGATTAATAGCCATTAATCTAATCTAATCTATTCATTTCTCACACTGCTTAAGCCCGACCGGCTCCTGTCTTCAAGGCGATGAGTCCAATCCAGTGTTGCTTACAATGTCTTGCGAGGTCTTCAAACATTCAACCTTCTATTCTAAGTACTGGCTATCATTTCGAGAGCAAATCAAGCTCCAGCCTTCCTCTGGATCTTGAGAGTTACCATATACTCCTTGCGGCGGGTAAGTCCGAAGCGCCCATCGGAGCCAAGTCTCGGCTACCGAGATCGTAACCCCTATTTCCGGAATCCTCTTCAAGAATGGCATCTTGACCCAATTTAAGAGACACGATTCCCAAATAGTAATCACAGCATTCAGTTTCCATCCACTGCTCCCTTTCTCCAATTTCCAATTTTCATTCGCTCGATTACTATCACGTGTCAGCAACTGCTTCAATCACCTGATCCTACTTACAAATTTGACAGGGGAACGGCACCGTCAAAATTTGTCAGCTCATTCGGCCTGACCAATTCCAAGCACGACCAATCAGCTCGTACTTCACGTAAGCCGAAGAAGGTTATCTGAAGATGTTTCTGCTCTCTTTTCTCTTGTATCTCAAACACCTCGATGAGAAACCCCACAACCACGTCGAGGCCGTAGACATTCGCGAAGATGTCAACGTCCAGTTCAACACAAAGTCCCGACATGGAAGACCGCGGGCGGAGACTGGTCATAAGAGTTCGTGGCGTCAGTCAGCCTTTCCTTCTTGGCTTCCTACTGATGAGACACCAGGCTTGTGATATGTGTCGCAAGAAAAAGATCCGTTGCGAACCAACGGCAGATACTTGTGAGCAATGCATCAAATACCGAACCCTATGCCACTTCACACCAATAAGTGTGAAGAGAAAGCCCCGAAGACTCCCTGAGTGAGTCCCCACTTCGAGCAGGGGGCATATTGTGGGGTAATCACGAGAATATCAAGTTGACCAATGTCAGGCAAAAACGAGTCGAAGAATTAGAAAAGAGACTCAAGAGTATGGAAGAGCAGTTGCGGCGTGCGAATCAGGGCAAAGAAGTCATGCGAATCGCCGATGAGCGCGATGCTCTTGATAATTTGTGGGAAGAAGGACTTTCCAATTTCGAATCCAGGATATCTTTGGAAGGCTCGGGTATCCCAGATGGACGAAGGTCTCGTGAGTTTCGCCCAACGTCCTGATTTCGTCCCACCTAACTATGGCCAGTTATGACGATGGATCCCATGGCGGAGCAGCGGTTCGCCTCCAATCCTGACTGGAGAATCACAAATGTCAGCAACATGTTCTCCAGAAAAGTGTTCAAGCCTCTCCCTTCAAAACAAGAAGCAATCATCCTCGTCAGCAAAGCTTTCGATGGTTTCAACTTGGCATTCCCAATTTTCGACCAGCACGACGCCATGGCAATGCTGGATTACCCAGAAGGCGGGCATCACGAGCCAAGCCATTGGGCATGTCTAAATGTCGTTCTTGCACTAGCTCATCGGTTTCGATCAATAAAAAAGATGGACAATCAAATAGATGACCGAGAAGCTTGGGGATACTTGCAGAATGCTCTCGCTGTGGCACCAGAACTGACGCTACTCGAGGCGAGATTGTCGTCCGTACAAGCACTTATTGGAATGGCGATAGTCATCCAAGGGACGCCCAACCCACGACCATTTGGCACACTGATCTCTCAAGCCATCAGAATGGCGCAGAACCTAGGTCTCCACCGAAAAAATCGAGATCCCAGCCTAACCCCTCGGGAGATCGAGCAGAGGAAGCGCGTCTTCTGGACCGCATACTTCATCGACAAAGAAAACTGCCTGCGAACTGGGCAACCTCCAGCACAAGATGATGACGAAATGGATATCGAGATGCCCTCGGAGATGCTCGACAACACGATGGAATTCGGCGCCACGCCAGATGTCAACTTCTTCTCCTTCCGCGTCAAGCTCGCTCTCATCCAAGGACAAGTGTACCGTCGTCTCATCTCCGTAAAAGCTGAGAAGCAATCGGTGACGAGACGAATGGTCGAAGTAAAGAGACTGGAAGGCATGCTTGCCGTCTGGAGAGCGAGCATCCCTATCAATTTCAGTGAGAACTATAAAGTCCCTGGGAGAGGAAGACCACTCATCCCACCCATCATTCACAAAGTTATTCTGAGGATGAATTACTTCAGTACCTTGAATACGATACACCGATTCTCGGTTCCGGTCGACAAGTGGCGCGCCGAACTGGAGGAGGGTATGGATCCTGAAAAAGCGGCTAAACACGCTCCCCCTCCACCGATTGTGTGTGTGGAAGAGGCGAGGAATGCAATTACGCTCATGCATGTGACGCCAAATGGAGACTATTCTTGTATCTGGTAAGCCCTGCCCTCAATCCTCTTCCCCCGACACATGGAATAAAAGTAACTGAGGATGTCGAACAGGGTCATTCTCCACATGTTCGTCCAAGCAACCACCATCCTCCTCGAAAACATCCTCTCGGACCCGACCCACCGCTGCGCCCCCTCCGACCTGAAGCTCATCGAGCCCCTGCTCATCCTGCTATGCAGTCTGGCCCAAGACGGGAAGAACGAAGAAGTAGCTGCCATGTACCAGAGTTGCGGGGCGATGTTCGAGAAGACGAGGGAGAGAGTCCGGAATGCTACCGAGAATGACGAGCAGAGGAGATCGAGCTTGAAAGAACGGGGCATGGGGCAGGGAAACGAGAGCTTGGCTGAGTTTCTGCGGAGGATTGACAGTGTGAGTGCGGGGCTTGATGACGAGGGAATGCAGATTGTGGAGCAGCCATTCGTGGTGGAGAAAGTGGATTTTCCTGTGGACTTTCCGCATTTGGGAGCTAACAACTTGGGCATGTCGAGGGTGGGTTGACATGGTGCCTCTGACGGATTGAGAAGCCATTTTACGAGTTGCTTTCCTTTTGAGAGTCAAGGAAATACCAAGGAGTTTTGCAGGATCACATGCCTTCTGAAACTGATGTTAGGTTGAAACATTTTATAGTTTCTATTTAGTGCAGAGGCTTAAAGTTATGAAGTGATACCTCTTTATGTACAAAAGGAAGAAGGCTCAGTTTTCAACTCCACAGCTCCTCGTCACTTACCCCTTACCACCTCACCCTGCTCTCCTCTCTGCTCTCTTTCTAAGCACCTCCTTCTCCACAACCCCTACGAGCTCTTAGGAGGGCAAAACTGCACTGTAGCTGGCAAATCACTCTCATCTGGCTTCAAAATCGTCGAAAATCCACTCGTGTTCGGCCCATAGCAATCCTTCTGCACATCTGGGCTCTGCTTCAAATACTCAATATGGAACACCGGCTTCCCAGCTTTAATGAACGGAGCAAACATGTCGCACTCCTCGAATTCAATGCATTCTTCATTGACGGACCAGTCGAGGAAGGATACGGTGGAGTCCACGATGGCGCCGGCGTTCTTGAGGCCGATGGCGAGACCCTTGGAGTGGGCGTAGTCGGCGAGCTTTCTCATGTATGTGATGGAGTCGGTCGATGTGAGGTTCTCGGAGAAACCACCGCCGCCGTTGTCGTAGCCATCGACTTTCTTCGTGTCAGTAAGGATTTAAGATAATCAAGAGAGGAGTAGAAAAGGTCTTGAGTGGGAGATATAGAGAGTGGTAAGTTCTTACGATTGTCGGGATCAACTCCATCGCATCCCTTTGAGGCCGCAGTATCGATACGAGCTTTCATGATGTTCACAATGAAATCAGTTCTGATATCAAGCCATTTCTCGTCTGGCCAACCATCCAACGCCGCACCAACAGCCGCTGAATCCGAAAGGATCTTATCAGAATCCGGGCGGCTGGGCTCGTATGTTCCGGCAGAGAAGTAGCAGATAACTTGCTTGCCGGCTGCATGGAGAGTGTCGATTGATGACTGGGGTGTGTCGAAAAGATCGAAGTCATAGACTTGAACGGGCAGAGTGAGGGATCCAACAGGTTGATCGAGGACGCATTGCCATGTTGTTCCGGCGGCTGGCTTCCACCAAGAGCTCGTTGGGGCTGTAGCAGATGAGCTAATGAGACTCATGGCCAGGAGGGCCGCGCTGAGGAGAGAAAGCATAACGAGTCAAGCTTTGAAGGAGACCTTCCAAAAATGCGACCGGCAGACTCAGTCGCAGACCGAGAGGAGTAACTTAAAGAGGAAGCTGTTGAAAGTTTGGTTGTTTGTAACGACAAACGTGGAGTTGAGGGTGACTGGGGTACTTATTCTTACTCCACAACGCCAGTCCAGACGCTGAGGCGGGGGGCAAAGCAGCGCGACATGACATCATAGGACTTGTGCATTGTGAGAAAGTGAACAAACCTCGACCAAATCAAAATGACAGCAGAATGCAAGAGTCCTAGGAGCCTTGCCGCCCAATTAAAGTCACAGGGTAGCAGCGGAAGCCAATGAATATATATCAAACAAGGACAGCTATGGACAGCTGCAAGGCTGGAGCTAATCCTTCCAGGGGAGGCGGCCTTGAAGGGAACTAGGTATGCTCGGATGCATCTCATGTGCCGAGTCAATAGCCAATGGGGAAGGTTGGATCTTGCCACGGATCTGAGATCTGGTACAGTACATCTTTGATATGTTACATGATAACAGAACGAGGTGGCAGAGCTAGAAGAAAGGTAGTTTGAAGTGAGAAAGCTAACTAACAGCCAGAATTGCTCATTAGAATTGGACGGTTATTGGACTGTGCTGGGACTTCGAACAGCGTGTGATGTGAGTGTAACATGCGCGAAATTCTCAGAACATAGGTCGAGATTTACGTATAAGAAAGGAAGGTCGCACACATACAGGAGCTACAGGCAGTGCAATTCAGCCTTGTTCCGAAGGAGGATCCGAATCCACGCGAACCACGCCGCTTCCACGCTGCGCCCTTGCACACCCTCATCAACGTTCCCGCCGGAGGACGCTCCTTGCCGAAAAGCAAAGGCAACTGCTGGCATAGGGACATAAATATATTTTGAGCTCCTGGACCGTCGTCCGCGTTGAACCATTATCGTATCTCGGTAATGGGGGACTGTGGGCACTTGAGGCATTCGTGGGCTGTCTGGATGGGAGGATTGCTGTTACCCAATTCGGAGGGAGCTTAATGTGCTGAACCAGTCCATGTCATGCTCCTTGGTGGCACAACCCTACCAAAAATCTCCGAGGTTGACAGCTAAGCCTCGGGATGTTCCATAACATCCATGTCCAGTAGGATTCGGAGAGAGCTGCAGAGAGGCGGGAAGGGAATAAGCTTCAACTTCGACGGTAAAGATTCCAGTCTACGGCCGGGGAAGCCTCTCTCGTGATCCGGAAATGAGCCTCCCAAGAAGTCGACATCTCCACCGGCAAGCAGATCGATGGATGCGTCTACTCCTTCCTTCAAGGGTCACGTGGGCCGCTGGGCTCGTTCAATGGTTCTCGATTTCGGAGACCGATACGGACTGAAATCGAGACCATGTCAGATTTCCACCTCTTCACCATATGGAACATCGCTCCTTTAATTCAAGAGATGCGACCTTCTAGCTCTCTTCGGCACTCGTAGATCTTCGCCTCCTGAGACTGAAAATGCGGACTTCTCCTCAATACTCGCCCACGCCTGCCTATCGCCGTTGAGGAGACGCAGCCTTCTACCTCTCTTCAATCCTCGTCCATTCTTTCACCTCCTGGAAATCCATGACTCGATTCGGCCCCCCTCGTCGACCCTGGACATCACTCCAATTCCTCCCAATAGCGGTCTCGGGCCTCCACCTGAACGCCTTCTTCAACCTCACATCTTCCCCTCCAAAACATCAGCAACATACCCCCCAACACTGGTGATATGCATGAAGCCATGGCCACTTCCTCCAACAGCCAACACCAAACTCTTAAACTCGGGATGCCTATCAATAAGAAAGTTGCGATCCGGTGTATCTGCACACCAGCAAATCCTCGCGAAAGAGAACGGCCTCTCTGAAAGCTGAGGCATCGTATCTCGCAAGAAATCTCTGACACGAGTCTCCGCTTCGAGAGGAACCTGGTGTTTCGCAAACGGGACGCTGGACTTGGTGCCAGATGGAGTCGTGACCCAGTTGCAGTATCCAGGATGCTCGTCACATATTTTCAGCTCGTGGTTTTCCGCGTCAGGCTCCATGAAGAATCCAGACTCGATATTAAAGAGCACCGGGAGGTTCGTGTAAAGCTCGCATTCTTCTGCAGTCATTTTGATGTGTGACAGTGTCCAGGCTGTAGGTCGGAGCTGGTCTTTCATGTCCAGGAGAGCAGAAGCTTGGGCCCCGGCTGCGAGGATCGTGGTCTCCGCCAAGTGAGTTGTGCCGTCTGCTGTGAGCACACCGATGATATCCCCATGTCCCGCAATTCAGTTTCGTTACATTTCCTTCCGTACCGGTAATAAACTTCACTCCCAGGCGTTCTGCTTCTATGAATGCAGCGCTTAGAGCACCTCGTGCGAAGACCCATCCGGCTCCCGTGCGTTTGAAGCCTCCTTTCCAGCCGGGGAAATCACCAGTGAGGACTCCTTTTGGCATGGCGGCGCGGAACGCTTCTGGTGTTTCCAGCCACTCAATATCTGCTTGTTGGTCAAGCATTTCGCGTTTAATAAGTTGTTCGAGGCCGTCGGGAGTGTGAGCACAGATTATGTAGCCCGTGTCGTGGTAGTAGGGCATGAAGACGGGGTCGGATGTCCAGCCTTGACTCGCGAGGTGAAGGAGTTGTTGGGACACAAAGGCACTGTCGTCGTCCGGGTTGGAATCAAAGGAACCTGATATATATAAGTCTCGAGTAAGGGGGATTAAAGGGAATTGATACCTTGCTCAACGATTTTGTTGATGTCGTTGCCGGCTGATATTGGCGATGGAAGATCATATGCATCAAGGACGGTGATATCCCTGTGGCCTCGTCTGGCTAGATGCAACGCTGTCGAGCAACCCCATGTTCCTGCCCCGACAATCAATATTGAAGAATGATAGTTCGGAGAGGTAGATGTCGCCATCCTGTATGCAGTGATTCCTTTTCACCAAAATATCCACTTTAGAGGCATAAATTCAGCTCAGGAATGAGCAAAGTTCAAGTAGGTTCCATTATTTGAAGAGCTGTCGTAATGGTACAGAGAAAAGAGATTTTATTGGAATGAAGCGTGTGAAGGAAGTGGTGAGTTTAACCTTCAGTCGACCCCACCTTTGACCGTGCTGATCCACTGCTGGTGTCGATACTAACAATTGATCATAACGCTATCCCCCTTTCGGATAGAACATGCAACAGCAAAAGATAAACTGATAAACCCTCAATGCCTCATATATATGTCTTGCAGGATCTCAATCGGGACGATCAACGAGTAGACTCGCGAGCAAGGATTTGAGACAAGGAGAGCCTTGGGAGAACCACTTGATTCGACCGTAAGTTGTTTAAAAACAGCTCAGCCCGATCACCGGCTTCGAGGGTATAGAGCTCAGAATTGTGCATATTAGATTTGGTTGAATGGTGGTGTAGAAAAGGAGAAAAGGGGCTCTTGTTCGAGGATGACGTAACCGGCCTAGCGCTATCGAGGTCATCCAAGAGCGGCCGCAAATGCCTGTGCTCATCTCAGCTCTCCCAAGTTGATCCTTGAGCCCGATCAAATCTTGCGAATTTCGCGACATCTTCTCTTCTCTTCTCACTCATTTCTGGCTATGGTTGCTTTCTATTTCTTGCGAATACTCTTTCTATGATACCCATGTTTCTTCTACATTCGCGTTTCCCGACCAATCGATTTCCCCTTACCATTAAAGAAACCCCCTACTGAAACAACTCCTCGAAGGCCCCAACAAACCCCACCGCTCTCGCACATTTGCGCTCTTCAACATGTCCGATACTAGAGACTTCTCTACATCACCAATGCCGGCGGGTCCAACTCATGTCAACTTCGATGTCGAACCTGGCAACCGCCCGTCGACAAGCCATAACCGTCACAAACCAGGTTCAATTCACTCTGATCCAGATGGAGCACCTCCCTCTCCCATGCTGAGGCGCCGACAGACACGAGCCAATACCGGATTGACGTTCAGAACAGTGGATGTCGCTCCTTCACGACCAAACTGGCATCCAGGACAGGAGCCGGGGCTCGACCCATCTAAACCGAATGGCGGACGACCCCAGACGCCAAATCTCCACGAAGAATGTCAGATCACCGTTGTGGACTTCAGCGAGGATAACATCGATGTCCACGACTTTGACAATGCTGGACTTATCGCTTTCATAGCCAAGCCACAAGAGAGCTGGATCAAATGCAGATGGATCAATGTGAATGGGCTGAGTTGGGATGTCATACAGGCATTGGGACAACAGAAGAAGCTTCACAGGTTGGCGATTGAGGATCTCACTAATACTGATAATCGAACAAAGGCCGATTGGTAAGATCATGCCTTCATCGGTGTGGTTCCGACTAACCTGTTTCTCCAGGTATACTGATCACACGTACATGGTCATGACACTTCAGAAATTGGTCCATCTTCACGACGACGACGACGACGACGACGACAGCGATTCGGAGTATGAGGTTGATAGCCTTGGTGGCACCTGGAAATCCAAACGTGGACGATTCTCGAAAGCCTTCCATAAGATGTTCTCCAAGTCGGCTCCGAAGAACAAATACGGCGATGGGCAAAGGAGAGACAGCACGGCAGCGGGCATTAGTCACACGAATGGTTTTGTGACTGGGCATACTGATGGGGTATCTACTGCGCCCATGAAAAAGCTGAGAACTCTTCAAGGATATCACGGCGGCGTGAATCAAGAGCGGGTAGAATATATGGAGAAACAATCGCCATTGACGAAGAGAGGCTGGGCTGTCAGTGCTGAGCAGGTGTCAATATTTCTGACTGCTGGTAAGAAGGTGGGCATCTCCCATATTATCTACTCGCTAACTTGGCAGACAATACGGTCATTTCGTTCTTTCAATCATCTGCTGACGATATCGAACTCCCCATCCTTCATCGCCTGGCTACCCCGGATACTATTCTAAGACGGTCTTGTGATGCTTCTATGATGGTCCAAGCTGTGATCGATGCCATCATAGATCTAGCCATTCCTGTCACAACTGCTTACCAGGACGTCCTCGGCGATCTTGAACTCGACGTCCTGACCGAACCAAGCATCAAGCATACGACCGCGCTGTATGTTGTCACCAGCGAAATTGCGATGATGCGCAATTTCATCAATCCTATAGCTAGTCTGATCAATGCACTTCGGGACCACAAGAGTGCTGCTATCATGACCGACGTTGGCGGTCGAGGCCATACGGCGACAACCTCTTCTTCTGGATTGAAGATAAGCCCGATGGCACAAACCTATCTGGGAGATGTGGAAGATCATATCCTTTTAATGACGGAATCGTTGGATCAGATGCGAAGATCTTGCGACAACATGATTGACCTCATTTTCAACACAATCTCCGCTTATCAAAATGAATCTATGAAGCAACTTACTGTTGTAACTATCATCTTCCTCCCAATGTCCTTCTGTAGGTGCATTTTCTAAGCTTGAATGTTCCCTTTCAGGTGCCTCACGAGATGTTTCTAGATCTGCCTACAGAGAAAGAACTTTCGATACGTGGTGTCAATTCCAGAATTTGCTCCTTGGTCGGCAATGCTAACACCGATATCATCTAGTGACTGGATATTTTGGAATGAATTTCAAAGATTTTTGGGGAATACAACACAGTGATGTGTTTTTCTGGCAGATTGCAATCCCGGTCGCCTCTGTAGTGATCCTTTTCTTGATGAGGGATATGCTGAAATGGTGGTTCATCAAGGTGATGCAAAGGCGAGGCATCTCCCGAAGCAGGAAGGGGAGACTCAACCAAGAAGCCAAGGCCAGGAGAAACCAATAACTATGTAAGGCCAATAAACCTCCCCCAAGGAGGACTTCGATCACCAGAAACAGCCTACATAATGAGCGTCCTTGAGCTACCACAGTACTCGATGGAACAATCCAAGGGGGCTAACTAATAAAATGGAAAAGCGCAGTTCTCCCGTCCAACGCGTTGTTCTCCAAGGGCAAGGGTTTCCAGGCATTTGGTGATATGCATCCGTGAATGTTAACGTCGCCAACAACAGATCGCAGCCAGTGCTCTAGGACCACTCAACTAATCACATTGCACATGGAAGCCTGAGGGCGTACGTGCATCCCCAGGCCTGCCTTTGCACGGATCCAACCCTGCAGCACTGCAATCGCCCTCGAGAGGCAGCTCAGGGTAACACAGAAGCCAGAGCATGAAACCAGCCTACCTCCCAGCTCTCCTTCCCACCCTATCCGCACCCAAATTACTGCTCCCGAGCCTCGTTCTCACCACGCTCACCCCCGCATCTCGTCACACGAAACAGAATTCGCCCTCGCTAAACAGCCTCACTTCCAGACCGCCTCGAACAAACTCACCGACATGGACTCAACTTTGCCGCAAATGCAGTCCTTCGACTTCGATAGGCTGGACCCGGTCGCCCTTGAGGACACGTTGGCCTATCTCAGGCAGCATCCTGAGCCTCCGGCTGAGGATGTCGCCCTCTGTGGCGACTACCAGGGCTTGTTGGAGGATGCGGTTGAGGAGAGGGATTGGATGGCTGGGCCGTTGGAAGACATGGGCGGCCAATTGAGGTGAGTTAAAAAAAAAGTCGGTTGCGCTAATGGGGCGTTTTCCGAAGAAGCTGCTCCCATCCTCTTAAAAAGCCGTCAGCTATCTCTTCGCCCCACATATTCAAGCCAATAGGACGCCCTGAGCCTCATCAGGATATGTCTGTGCTCAAAACAGCTCTTGGGAGCCTGGGAACCACGCGGAAACAACCTGGAATGATTTCACAATTACAGTCTTCTTTCGACCGATACAAATGCACCTGGGATGAGTGTCAACAAAGATTACCTGGAGATAAGGAGCTCAGAGATCATTTGTCCGCCCACTCTGTAGATGCTCTGGCTCATTGGGCTTGCGGATCCATTTGTACATGGCAGGGCTGCAAATTCAAAGCCAAGTTCAAGACAACTCACCAGTTCAACACACATCTGGAGAACATCCATGCCAAACCTCTTTTATGCACCAGAAGTCGCTGCACCTACAAGCGGCCGTTCAAAAACGAGTATGAACTCGAGCGACACAACTCCTCCAAACATTCCGCGGAGCGTCCTTGGGAATGCCCATACGATTATTGCCCCTCTGAAACCCGAGCCTTTGCTCGGAAAGACAAATGGTTAAAGCATATTCGTGAGGTGCAACATGAGAATGACGCCTTTTGCCTGTATCATCACTGCTATTTCTCAACAATCCGAGCCGGGAAAGGTTTCGAGGATCGCAAGGAGATCTCGACACATTTCAATCTATGGCACTCTGGTAGAGCTGTCGATGGGTATGGCTGTGCTCTCGGATCCTGCGGAAATACTGGAAAGCGTGATCGTTGGCATTTATTGGGGCTCCAGCAGCACCTCCAAATTCAACACAAAATCGTTCTAGGTTTGGACAGTCTCCAAACAGGGTTGAAGGGGACCGATCATATTTTCCGTTCTCAGCAGGTTCCGTTTGATCTTTATAACAAATGGATCGACTGCGAGATATGTGCTTCACAAACATTACAAACTCCACTCGGCAACACAACGTCCACGTCGGCCCAGTTCGGAATGGCCCCTATCTAAAGGCTTCACGTTCGATACGCCATCGGAGCTCGTCAATGATCTTGGGCCGACATGGCAACGCACCTTAAATCGTTATGTAGACTTTTTCGTGTCAGTTATTCTGGAAAGAATACCTGCTAAAGAAAGTGGTGTGGATGTTAGACTGTCGGAGGGGGTACATCAACTCCAATTCATTCATTTCTTTTATCGAGTTTTTGAGTTTGCCAACGCGTGTTTGACTTTTGGAATTAGGCAGGGTTGAAAACTTGTCTCTGCTAGTACTTCTAACGAATGATATAACTGTTGTCTTCACACTTCCGGTCACCGCTCTCCCCAAATCCTACTTCCTCCTCGAAACATTGTGTGTTGTTTGTCTATTTACTCCCCCCCCCTTTCAATAATTATCTCCTCGAAGCAGCCTAACAAGTATACAAGAACCTCGGATTCCGATCCCCAATCTCATTAATCTCATCGTCCGTCTTCCCTTCCATCAAGCCATCCCTCTCAAACGCCATACGTGCCCGATTTTCCCTTCTCAACCACCAGCTCATAGACGCGTATACCACCGCTGCGAAGCCCACCAGCGCCAGTGTAACACCATGTCCCTTCACATATCTAGGTCCATCAGTTGCTGGGTACAAGAACGGAGCCATGATACCGGAGGCGTTCCCTATCGCAACCTGAAGGCCAGTAGCGAATGTGCGTTTTCCGTACCGTGGCAGGTTTGTCGGCATCCAGGCAAGCGGGATACCGACCGCGACGTACAGGCCCATGGCTACGAGGAAGCATCCGGTGTAATGCGCCTTGGACCCACTGTTTGAGATCAAGAGTCCATAGCCGATTATGGAGACGGCACAGAAGAGGCAGGTGTAGAGAGCGCGTTGTTGTGACTTGTCAGAGATCCAGGCTACGACCAGGTATGTGACGGCGCCGATGGTGTAGACCGGGATAGTCAGGGCTTGGGCTTGGGGTACTGTCCAGGCACCGATGCCGTGAATTATAGTCTTGCAAAACATTAACCTTCCTCTCTCGTAGTGATTGGGTGTTGCGCTTACTGGTAAAAAGATGCTGAAGCCGTACAGCATGGTGTCAGCCCCGAATTGAGCGATGCAGAAAGACCAAATTTTCCAGTCGCTTGCACCCTCTTTCACATCATCCCAATGAAACTTCTGCGCGGAGGCCGTCTGACCAACTTCACGCTCACGGCGCATCACCAAGAAAGCTCTATCTTCTAGTGACATGAAGTGAGAAGTATCGAGGTCATTCGGCATGAAGATCCAGAACATGATACCCACCACAATCGATGGGATACCTTCAATGATGAAGATCCATCTCCAGGCTCTATACCCACCAACACCATCCATGAACCCGATTCCATACGCAATGAGACCTCCAACGGCACCGGCGATGGCGGCAGCGACGAACAGGTACCCGACTCGAAGAGCGATGGCTCGCTTGTTGTAGAAGAGAGTCAAATATGTGATGAGGCCGGGGAAGAGGCCAGATTCGAAGAGACCGAGGAGGACACGGCATGCCAGTAGCTCATGATAACTTTGGGTCAGGCCGCTGAGCGTAGCGATGAGGCCCCAGATTATGGCGATAATGGCGATATAGCGAGAGGGGCTGAACTTCTTTAGGAGAAGATTGGAGGGGACTTCGAAGAGCTAGGTGAGTTAATAAACATCCAAAGGAGAGTGGAAAGTTTGGGGGCCTTACACAGTAAGTGACGAAGAGAATTGAGACAACGATTTGATACTGATGGTTGTTGGTAGTCATCTTCAGATCCTTTTCCAAGCCATAGAGTCGGGCATTTCCGATGTTGACTAAGAAGGATCGGTCTCATTAGTCTTGGTGGTCTGGAGAAACGCACAACCGAATGCTGGTACTACCTACTGCGATCTAAGAAACTGAAGAGGTATATAACCATAACCAGGGGAATCACGCGGAAGTCCAATTTTCGAATCAAACACTCTTCCCTTTCCCTGTCGATCTGGTCTGGGGTAGTATTGCCATACCTGAGCTGTGATTTGTCGACCGAAGGGTGTTTGCTCTTATTGCCGTTATCTGGAGCCATGTCCTTGGGATGAGTGCTTCGTGTGCAGGGGTATATCTTCTCTTGGGACTTGATCTTTTACCGATCATATCTTCCATTCGTTCTCTAAGAAGGCTAGTAAATTATGTACAGTCATTAGCAGGCAGCTCGCGACAGACCTTTGCTTTTTCTTTCTTGATAGCTGAGTCATTTTATTGAAAGATTGGCAAAGATACATTAGGACTGTGCTAGATTAAGAAGAAAGGATCAACAGCGAGTAATAATCGGTTGTCCCAAAAGTGGGCAACTATCCGTTGATTTTCGGCCGCCACTGGGTGTGTGGCTTGGAGTGTCCAAGGGCATGGCGGGTCATATTAGGCTTGATGCCGCACTGCCGTCTCGGCAGTACAGTAATCCTGCAAAATTGTGCGCGACATGGCAGGTGTGCACTGCGGGGTTCGACCCAAGCCTCAATGCAAACAAGGAAGCATATTGCTGATAAATGGCTGCAGCCACATTTACTCCCCCCCTTCCCCCTCCCCTCAAAGATTTTCTAGCGGCCTCCACTGCCCAAGTTTTTGGCAAGGCACGGTTTCTGAGTGGTTCGAGCACCTGGTCAGCCATCTTGCACGGGGCAAAATTTGGTTTTGTGTATCAAGGCAAGGGTGCGCGTACAAGTAGAAGGCTCAAGAAGGCTTTCTGCCCTGGCGGTGGCTCTCACGCAACTTGAAAGGCACTTTCTCACTGTCTAAACACCTTGGATTCCTGCCCGTACCTATACCCAAAACATACGCGCTAGAAAACATTTAGGGGGGCGGGAAGAGTAATGTGACGTTTCATCATCCTCCGCCAAGAGTCTGGCGAGCGAAGCCACGATAACTAATCATGGCAATATGCAGCAACTTTAACTCCGCGACTGCTTCACAATTTTAGCTACTCGACGACAAACATGGAACCAAGTCACAAATCAGCATCAATAGGTGAAGATGGGCTATCTCAACCCGACTCACAGTTTGTCTTTGTCACGGATCATGACCGTCGATTCATACGGAGCCGGTTGATGCGTGATTCTTGGACGAAGAGAAATAGAAGGAATTCTCTGAGACCGTCGAAGAATCGGATATTAAAGGCGAAGAGTGGGCGATTTCCCAGCCAGGAGGCTGCGAGTTCAGCAACGGGAAAATTCAGAGCAGAAGAACAGCCAGCATTTGATCCTCAACTAACTGCGGGTCAAGTTAACCCCGCTTCGTTTGTGACTTCGTTTGGAATATCGACGATTGAAAGTAACCAAAAAGATCTTAGCCACCAGGGACTGAACAACGATGGTTACAACGTGAGTTCAGCATTCTTGAAATCAGTTTTTAGATAATGTAAAGCTTATTCCGACAGGACAATTCGGACGAGGATATGGAGCTTCTTCAAAATGACTTTGAAGGCTCCTCCGATCAAAACCCAGATGGACCGAACGAGACCCGCTCTCAAATACCAAAAAGTCAAGATGTTATTCCATCCTTTGAATCTGCCAATTTTGATCCTTTTGAGACATGTCCAGTTACCGTCCGACCGTTTGAGCATGCATTGATACATCATTGTTAGTACTATCCAAATTCGGCGGAAAAAACTGATTGGTTATGGCTTAGGGATATATGTCTTTGGGACCATGATGTTTGGCAAACCGCGGTCTGCGATTGACCCCATGGCTGAGGTCTGGATCCCAGAAGCCTTGAGCAACGAAGCATCTTTTCAAGGCATGCTATCATATGCGGCGGCTCATTTGGCGCATCTGCGTGGACGAGAAAGTGGCGTTCGAGGGGCGATATACAAGATCAAGTCTATAGCGGTTATCCAGAAGTTGCTAAACAATGACCAAACAATGTTGTCTGACAGCACAGTTGCAGCAATACTTCGGCAAATCAGCATCGAGGTAAGGTTACAAACTTTGGTGGCTACATAGAGCTGAGCGCCTCTAGGATCGTTTCGGAAGCTCCGAAATTGCAAGTGTCCATAGGGCTGGCCTTGAGAAGATCATGGAGAAAAGGGGTGGCCGGATTCGTGGCAATTGGGGTCTTGAGCTTCTTCTTCATTGGTAGGATTTTGAGATATATACAGATGAAGAGTGCCTGAGATTACTTGCTGACTTCAATTTTTGAACAGGTATCTCATTACTTCTAGACCAAAGTTTCAACTTAAAAACCAGAGCGAGCAAGAAACGCCTGCTGATTTTGGCAAGAAAGGAAGCAAAGAAGTTAGCACTCGAAGTAAACCAAGCTCCATATCAGATATTTCGGCCAAAGTTGCCAAACTGTTCGACTTTTTCCAGGAGTTGAGACTTCTTACTACAAGCGAGACGAGACGACGAGGTCCAGGAATCAGCTTATCCTCTGTAGGGAGTGGGACAAAACCAGCCGACCGCCTGCTTTATCTCTTCAAAAACTCGCCCGGCGCTTCAAGAGGTCCAACTCATGATATCGTCGAGGAAACGTGTCGAGTTGCAGCGTTATTTTACGTGGCAGCAATCAAAGCGGACTCATTGAGATTCGAAACCAGCGATTTTGAATTATTAATGACAAATGTGAGCGAGACGCAGTCGACATGGGAATATTCGCTAGAGATGCTGTTATGGGTTCTTCTGAAGGGGAATGGCCCTGGACTAGGAAACCTAGAAACTGTTCAGCAGGTTTTGTCATACATGGCGGTGGCAAAACTTCTGCAGAAAGAGTCGTGGAACGTTGTCAAGGAAATGCTCATTGGCTTTATTTGTGATGATTCACATAAAGCTGTGGGCAAATATGAAGAGTCAATATTCGTGGCTGATTTGATGAGAATACGGAGTTGATTGTAAGAACAATTATTCGTGTATCATCCGACTCCTATCCGCTAATATGAGGGATGTTCCATTGCTTTGCAGGAATTAAGAAAATGTCTCTCTCCCCTTGAACTGCTTGAACGATTCCTAAGGAGAAGACCAGGAATTTGCTCAAACAAAATGCACCACCTGCAATGGTAAACGGACCCCACTTCAAAAAGCCCCACGATTCAGAACCGGCTACCAAGGTACCAATAAATGCCCAAATGAAAGCAGAAGCGTACACACCCCCAGCGGCGAAACAGACAGAATTGGTTATGGATGCGAGGTTGGCGCCGTCTTGTGGCACCGATTTTGTAGCATATACGAACATGAATGCTGGCCACCCGAGAAACTGAAGTATGGGGAGGACAGCGAGAATTTCTTTCCAGGTGTTGGGCAGATGTGCTTTGTCCATCGAATCTATCCGCCCGTAAGCTGGCGACTCTGTGCGTACCACAACCTGCTGACTCCAAGCCGGAACATTGAGCTGGGTAACAATGCGCTCAGCGACGAAAGCGACAAGTGAAAAGAGGCAGTATAACTCGAGCAAGGAAACCTTGTAGCCGCTGGCAAGTCGAAGCGCAATCGTTATGAGGAGCCAGACTAACTGCAGTGTCAAAAGCGATGTTCCAATGTCCGGATAGCCAATTCCCTTCCAAGTTTGCTTTCCAGTTGGCAACGACGCGAGAAAATGTTGATACGATCTCACATTGGTAATGTTCAACTGGATGCAGTCTCCTTTTGGTGTTTCCGAGCACCACCGGATAGCAAGCTGAAGTTCGTTCAGTGCTGTAACATCTCGAGTGGCCACAGCCGTGATATCCTTATTCCCATAACTTCTCTCCAAGAGTTCGTAATCCATTGCACCACTTGATGTTGTAACAAACAATTTCCCTTGTTGTATGGACATGAGCTGCTGTCTCGTTGCAGACGTGAACCCGATGGAGTGCAAATGGTTGAGGTATCGGGTACGGAGGATTTCTTCCTGAACAATTTTCCAGAGACTGATCTCAGGAAAGAAGAGTCTTAACATAAAGTCCAGCCCTTTCCGCCACCAAGAACGAGCAGCTCTCATGAAGAGTGACCCAAAAGCAGTCGATATCATTGGAAAGAGGAACGTGACCAGTATCTGGGCCGAACCGCGCACAGTCGGCTGGCCGACGAAACCGCAGGCCGTTGGATTCGTGTCATTTCCACACGTCAGCGTCGTCGTAAGGTTTGCAAATTGGAAACTCATTGTTGCCAGTGCCTGTGGAATTTCAGAAGGAATGGAGGATTCTGGAATATGTTTTGAGGTCGTGCGGAAGGAATCAAGTTAGGATGGAATATTCGTGGGAAATTCGGGCTTTTAGAGTGAAATAACACACAAGAGCGGCTGGGAAAGGGGAAAGGGGGCGTTGAGACATAACAAGTAACTCAGGACATGTACCGCCGTTTGGCCCGGAGGCGCTGCCACATTCACGCTATTGACCTCTACGGGGGTCGAAGGCAGGCCATCGTTCTGAAAACCGCCAATTTTAAATGTTTCAAATGCTGGTACAGAGCCAATTATGGCTGGGTCTACCTGATGGATTCAACCTAAAAAGCAAAATTTAAGTAACTCAGAATACTCGTAGCGCACACGTCGGGCATCCAGTATGTTTTTTCAAGAAGCCTATTGGACACCTTGACCGGAAACGCCTGGAAAGGAGCCAACAATGTGCCCATCTAAGAGGCGCACAGCCGCACAGGCTACGAGGCAGAATTGGAGTATTTGAATGTTCTTGTAGATCTGTTTTCTGTGCCTTCATGAGTAAGGTAAGGACTATTACTCCCAAAATGGTACCGAGACATTTCCAGGATGTGAGCAGCAATGGGAACTTGATACTGTCGACTACCTCCAATATTCTATCGCCCACTGTGGCATTGCCAAGGAAAGAGGCGTCACTCACCCTTGTCCATCTTTTCAGCTCCGCGCTGCAGATAAGATACTCGCATTCAGTGTGCTTTTGTTTATCCTCACAGCTAGCGAGAATAAAAGACTGAACAGGCCTTAGGAACGATAAACAAAAGCCAGAATGCAGAGCTTGAAGCACTCGGTTTTTAGTGGAAGTGTATGTATTATATAATGCATCACGACCACGAAATCCCACCTACGTCAGCATCAAGCCGACTATCCTAATTAGAGTTCCAGTTCATGGAAAAGGCACCTTGATGGCTATCTCATGAAACCAATAACGCTTTAAAGTTCGCAGATCCGAGAAGTTTTATCCTCTAAATAGTCTATTTATTGAATGCGACCCTTCAACTGGAAGTGGTAGTCACGTGGATAAGCTAAGCGAGGTAGGGAAAGGGGGAACAGATAATGAAAACAGATTGATATGCCACTTATTTTGCCTGCATTTTAAAGCCTACCATGCTGACAGCCATTTTTGGATTATTTCAGACCATAGTTAAACGTCCAGAAATTTGGTTTAATGAGAATGCGTGATAAAATAAGCGCAGAAAACGGAGGTGTGCAGAAATAAGGAGAACCCAGCACTATTACAACGCATTCTGTAACCTGCCATATAATGGCCGGGGCAAAAAAGACCCATGTAATAGTATTAATCTACATAAATGCATATACGCAGATAGATCTTATAAAAAGAACCTTTCTTCCCCAGCAAAATCCCCCCTCCAAGAATTTCACCAATTGTTATTCGGATCAATCCTCCATCTCAAACAATTATTCTCGACAGTGCCCCCCTGCTTCCAATCCGCGTCCCCGCGATTACAACTATCGACAAGTATATCGAGATAGCGGTAACACCCATCAAAGTTCTAGGACCACTTGCGAACTTTGAATTCATCAACCGGTAGCACGACCTGCACGGCAACGGGATTGATCCCACTTGCTGGGAACTCCTTGTGCGTGTCTTGGAAGAAATTGCCGTTCAATACGGTGCTCGACTTGCCCAACTTGTTGCAGAATGACTTGGCGGCCTTCTTTATTTACGAGTCCGGGCACTGGATTCCATACAGGTCTGCTGACCGACAGTCGTTCCTCCATCATATCATGGGAATAGATCGTAAGTGCTATCGATGTTCAGGGAGGAGGACAGAGGGTGTAGAATGCGATGGAATTTATGAACATTGGGAGGTGGGGGCGGGGGAAATCGACTCCGATACTGGCTGTGCACAGTCTTGATACCCTCGATCATCCATCCCCAGTTGTTGGTCAAAGATGTAATGGCTATCAGCTCTGGGTTTTCAAACCGCCAAGGGTGTCAGAACATGGGCGAGGTATGCTGAACGTGTGGGACGTATGCTGTACTCTTGATTCGCATAATAGCTCATTGCTCGAACACCAAAGATGGAACCAAATTCTGTTCCACATTACCGCAAACAAAAGGCACACTCAAAATCGCATTTATCCATCCTGTGATCAATATTTCCTTTTCTAGAACCTACCCCAGCGCCAGCTTCAACCTCTCCATCCCCACTTACATCTTCTCAGGGACATCCGCGCTAATTCCCCTCCACCAATCACACCTCGCTCCCCTGCCATTCTCCCATGTCGCCGCATTAACCAAAGTGATATTATTCAGTAGCCCTGGCTCAAAATACTCCAAAACAGTCAATCCAAAAGAACTAGCATTCGTAAGCGTTCCTCCCGTCTCATTAAGATTGATCATTGCCGGGTTATTGCGTGTATATGCTGGCCAGGCTGATGCTGCATTGGGGGCAGATGGGTTTGGCGCAGAAGCCCCGTTGGCGATGGTGTTGGAGATGGAGGGGTTGTTCAGGGTTACGAAATTGCCCCATATTGCTTTGGATGTGTTAAAACATGAGGAGATTAGAGGGGAGAGGAGGGGAAAGTACTTTGAAAAGCTTTCACGAAATCGGGACCTTGATTTGGGGTTGGCGGCCCGAAATACGCTGGGAGGTCTGTGGAGTGGAGTGCGACGGGGACGGAGTATTGGAATTTATATCCTGTTAGGGGGGAGGGGGAGTAGGCTTCTGCGAGCCAGTAGGAGGGACAGACGATTGTGGTTTCGGCGAATATTTCCTATTTATCACCAATGTCAGAAAGGAGCATGACTGGGGTTGGGTGCGGTTGGAGAAGGGCGTGGTGGGGATGAGGGCGTGGGATTACTTACAGAGGCAGTTTCTTGGTAGGATACGGTTATGGGATAGTAGGTTGCAAGGGCAGCTTTGTCGTCTGCTGTGAATAGCGGGAAGGTAAGGTTGACCCAGGCATTGAAATCACTCAGTGAAGCAATCGGCTGATGGAAGAGGTTTCCCTCGTTGGCGCAGTTCTGGAACTGTTAGAATTGACCCTATCTTGAATGAAGGAAGTCAATTACCCCTGAAAGGTGTCTTTTGCCATTGACTTTCTTTTGTAGCAGAGCTTGGCTTGGCCGTTGCTGGATGTAGGTTCCATCTGTCACTGGTGGGAAAGCCCACGTTCCATATTCACCAGACCCAGATACGGCGAAAGAAGCATTCTGTAGAACGGTGCTGTTCTTTGAACGCAGACAAATCATGGTCGTCTTGGCTGAAGTAGGGCAGCCAGCTGCTGTGGCAAAAGCAATGAAGAAGTTCGTGGGCACGGAATCAGCATATCCCCATTGCATCGGCAAATATGGTGAAGCGGAAATCGACTATGACATCCAGTCAAGATGTAAATTTATGAATGGCGGGGTGGAAGGGGGCGTACGTTTATGAAAAGAGAGTTTCCTAGAGTTCCTCCGTAAGCCAAGTCATGCAACATGACTGAACCACCTCCCGACGACTCTCCTGAAATTGTAACGCGAGTTGGATCGCCGCCAAAACAGCTAATATGATTCTGTACCCACTGCAAAGCAAAATTTTGATCCAGGATCCCGGCATTGAGAACCCCGTTAGCCTTCACAATGGCAGATGACAAGAATCCGAAAGCACCGAGCTTCACCCCGATTACTTAGCCATTAGCACTCATGAGAGTTGTGAAGTTTCACTTACACGATATTGTATGGTAACGGCAATGAAGGAATTGCCATTGGTGTTGATAATGGAAGTCATATCTTGCTTCCCGTCTCCAGCACCATACCCACCACCATGGATATACACCAGAACAGGCAACCTAGTACCTGGGGCAGTGGTCGGCGCATACACATTAAGATTCAAGCAATCTTCGTCACCGGGTATAGCGCCAAAGGTTCCAAGGACACCTAAACTAAGAGGACTGTTTGGACAAGCTGGGCCAAAGTCGGCGGCACTGATGACAGCAGTTCGATTGACGGCAGGGCGCAGAGGGGCTTGCCATCGTAGGGAACCCAAAGGAGGAGCCGCATAGCGAATTCTGAACATCAATTGAATGTCTTCAACCTTTGACAATCTCGTGTAGAGGGGGATCTGCGCACCCTTTGAAAGTTGTAAGACCTGTGGTGGAGTTCGCAACGCCTTGATAGATGGAGTACCCTAGATCAACCTGCAATGGGACTGCCAAGGTAATCGACACTACCGACAACACAAGAGCAAAGCAGCGGATCATATCTTCAAGATTATACGGAGAGGAAGACCTGGCTGCAATGACAATGGTTTGGATTTGATCAAGAGCAATAGGGAATCTCATACCACTTCATATAGACACTCTTTGCTCATTTTCCGCTGTATCGTCCATCCCAGGTTATTATCCCAACTTCGGGTAGCGGCGGGGCAGAGGTGCAGAATGTAAGTCCGATCCTGTTGCTTTCCGCAAATGAAAAGTATTTCCGACGACGGAATGCAAGGGTCATCCCCCAGAAGCAGGCTAGAAGCTTTCACCAGATTTCTGGAAATATTCCAATATTGCCTGCAGGCTAAAATGTCCAACAGCGAGAGTAAGAAGAGCTAGAATAGATGCAAGCTCCAACAAAGTGCAGCGAGGCGTACATGTCGGGAGCAAAAGGTTGGGTTCTGTTTCCAAACTGGAGAATTTCGAGCGGTACGTGTGCTGAAGATTTGGGTTCGTCTTCCCCGCGGGGATGACGCACGAATTCACGGCGCCTATTTACTTGCTCCTCCTGCGATGTACGCACTCCATTGGTCAATTCAGGCATGCCCCTCGCTGAAAGGCGCTGCGCCATGCGGTCCATCGCCCGAAAAGCCTCCCGCCCCATCTTTCTAGAATCCTGTTCGTGTTATGTTTTCAGGGTTCATTGCCGGGGCTGCGCCACTAAAGTATAAATGCTGAAGCTCCAGAAGAAGAAAATTGCATTCTTCAGAAAGAAGCAATCGCCACGAGTCCTACTCTCCCCATAACATACCTAAATTTATTCCTTTCCAAGTCCCAATATAAAATGCAAATACATCCTATTTCTCTATCTCCCCCAATGCAAATAATTCAGAGTCGAGTAATCGCACAATGCGATTATTGCCGATAGAGGGATATGTTGCTCGCGTCGACCGATCCAAAGTAGGTATTGTCTGAATTGTCCTCATACAGTCTGCGTCACTCTCCCCCTCCCGTCTTCGGATTGGCCCTCCCGCCCACCCATCCCCGTATTCCCTAGTGTCCCACTCTCATTCCCACTCTCGCTATACATCGGGCTCAACGCCCCCGTTCCCACACTCCCACTCCCACTCTCCATCGTACTAAACTTAAAGCTCTCAACTGGCTGATTCTCCACCCCCTCATTCCTCGTACTAAAACTCTTGAAGAAGCTAGGAAGCCCATCCGCCGTGAAATCAATTCCCACCTTTGTAAGAAGCTTCTGGATTGTTGATTTGAGGCTGGGCAGACATGCGGCGATGATGCCGATGAACATTTCAACACACGTCCACATCGAGATTGCGAAGCCGAATTTGAAGGTGTCGATGGCGTACGCCCATTGATGAACAAGCACCGCTTTCGTAATCGACGCTGCGGAGGCTGCCATTCCCATGGCCATCAGGACACCGATGAGGACTTTCTCACTGCGAGGACGACGAAGATGGCGTAGGAAGGTGAGAGGGAAAAGAGAGAGGATGATATCGGTGGAGATGCTGACTCCGCTTTGTGTGTTCGATACTTTCTGGAAGACGGTGTTGCCTACGCATTTTTTGTTGGTGATGCTGAGGTTCCATGTCGCTTCCAACGGAAAACATTGCAGGAGATCAAAGAGCACAAAGGCTGCAGAAGTGGCAACTATGAAGCCGATAATAACGTAGAGGAATAATCGCCAGAGGCGGTGGCTTTGGAAGCGAAGAAGTTGGACGGCTACGCCAACTTTGATACAGGTGACGGAAACGCCCCAGAAGGATATGCCGATGACCCCGAGTTTGATAACGTATTCGACATCGTTCATAGAGACCAGGCGCCGAGATCTGCGGACGTAGAACAAAATTGCCGCCAAGAACGTTGCCCAATCGGCTGCCGCGAGCGCCTAGTTGCTGTCAGATGGTAATTAGTACAGTGAAGTTGTCGGTCTCTTACACAGCCGACGACTAGTAAGTAATCGTCCCACCCAAGACGCAGACCATGATGAAATTTCATGGAAATCCTCGCAACGAGAGTTGCGAGTGTGAGAGCACAGAGCGTGACCGTCACACAGGTAAACACCAGAGCGGCATAGTGGTCATCATCGGTAAGTGGGAATATGAGTGCGTTCGGGTCGGCCATCGTGGAAGCTTGGGGCGTTCGTGCACGACTCAGCAGCTTCAAGATGGGCCAGCTAGACCGAAAGGCAGTTGAGGGAGTTCCTTCCGCATCTGCCAGTCACTCATCGAGACCCACCACCAAGGAACTGGCATGATGGCAGCACTCTTAAGTTGCTGAGGAAGCTGGAGACCGCCGTGAACAGGAGAGTCGGTGGACATTGGGGGCGTATGGGTCTGTTCCGAGATAGACGAATCTGCCTTCCTCGATCCTGGGGCCTTGGACTCTGGAGGAGCGGTTCAAGGGATGTTCCGTGCAAAATGTAAACGAGTCTTTTGGCGTAGCGGATGCTGTTCCGGGGACCTGGGGAGAAATTGCAGGCCCGCTTCGCCCAATCCGCGTCTTGCATCCGCTGATCGGGTTCCCATTTCGCCAAAATAAGGGTCTCAATGACAAGTCCCAATTTCTGGGAGCCACTCACTAGCCGTGCTCGTTCCATGCGTGGGGGTACCAAGAAGGTCTCGTCCTGAATGGGTGTGATCAAGCCTTGCAGAACCTGGGGACTGCGGGCTGCCAGACAGCATCTGTCCGAGTGCACGCGTCGGATTCCGGATGACATCCGCGCGCAGTCCAACTAACGCCCTGAGCTTCAGCCCATTACTTCACCCCTGTAAGGATTCCCATGTACGGAGGTACGGGCCTCCCCTTCATTCTTTCTATCAAATGCTTCTTTGTCAAAGACATTCATACCCTGGACCGGGTTTTCTCCAGTATCTTACAGATTCTACACGTAGTGACCTAGAAGAATTGACGAATACTATATAGGATGCTGTGTCTAATGATAATTATTATCAGAGCACTTCTTTTTTGTCGTGAAGATGGCTCCTGTAGGCTTCTCTCGCCGGACTGCTACAGAAACGCAGTACGCCACTCTTCACAACAAAGTTTACCAAACCTCTAACGACATAAGTTGAGGAAGTGGTGTTAAGAATCCAAGACATGGTCCGGCAGTGCGTTTCCGGCAATGCCAAATCTGCAGGTCTGGCACGGACGAACGAAGAAGGACGGCAGTGGAAAAGATAACCAAAAGGCACGGAGAGCCGGCGTCAAGATGAAAAACACCACCACTCCAATTCTCCAGATCTCGTAGCGGCATATGTTGTTCCGCCCCCTCCTCCAGAAAAAGCCTCTTGTTTCAATCACAAGCCAATTCTCTGGAGATTGCAGCTGACCGAGCCCCTAGCTCAAGACATTATTGATTATGTGAGCCGTCTCTGGATGTCAAGCTCTTTCCATGGAGCCGACATTGGCATACCAAACGAAATCCTTTATAAACAGACTTTCGAGATCGAGAAGATCTCTCTAGGTCACGTTCAATACCTTCGAGCGTAAGGCCGGAGATCATTTGGAGCTGTCTTTCCTTCGTCCGGTGAGACATTGCTAACGTTGGTAGGGGGATCTCGCTTGGCTGGCGGGGCATGAAATTATGTGGCTTCTGGATTTTATTGGGTGCCACAGCTGTGGCTGACACGCTAGCAATGTCTCACCGGACGAAGGGATATAGTAGGGTGCCACAAGTATTCGACCTGGTACGTGCGAGTCCCACTTTCTGGACCAATAAGATCTTTTGTTGTTGAGTTGTGGCAGCTTTGATTGGTTCCGTGTGCACGTACCAGGTCGAATACTTATGGCACCCTACTGTATGTTGAGCTCTTTGTTTCCAAAACTTAAGGCATTGCAAGGATGGGGATGGCAAGAACGGGCCTCCATAGAAAGCAAACCGTGGGGGCCAAATTTGGAGCCTTCTAGTCTAAAAATTGTCTCAGCTTCATCAGCTCTACTGGTCCACCAGAGTGCGTATCACAAGGGACATAGATTAATGTCAAATATGAACTTCTGTGCATTGCAAATATTTAGGAATTGGTTCCCGGCTTGCTTGAGTCTGATTAAGGAGGGCAAAGTATGTGACCATGAACCAGTTTCGTCTTATTAAGTGTGTCAAATGAGTAGAGTAGAGTAGCAGGTCCTACTCATACTCTACTCAGCCAAAATATGTCCTACTTATACTCTACTCAATACTCAATGAGTATATACTGAAGTAACTCAAGTAGTTTGAGTATTCCCTTGACATACTGGTCTTCTTCGGAATCTTTCTCTTAAAGTAGCCGAAAGCTGTCCGCATATTCTCCGGCTTTTAAGACATCCACTTGCTATTTAATTTTGTCTCGTAAGTTGTGAATTTTCCGAATCATTTTCATTGACCGGTTGTGTTCGATTTGGCTAATAGATATTTTGCTTCCCTATTTTGACTCTGCTCAACCCCACCCAAACTAGACCATCTTTGGTCTGTCGATTCTATTTCGGGAGATACGCGGTGTCGGATGATTGTCGGATGCCCCTTTAACGCGACGTCTAGTCTCCGACTATTAATTTCCCCCTGAAATAGTTTAAAGGAAGGGTTGACGAATCAGCCCAAGTAGGAGGTAGTGAATTAAAGCCAGAAGCTGAGCCCTAAAATCGCTTAAGCTATCCCCTTGTAACGGCGCTGGCTAGGGTCATGTGGGGTGGCTATCACCTGACTAGTTTCATCTGGCTAGCTGGCGTTTCAGTGGTTTTAGCTAGTATTTCCCTCCTTTTATCCCCTCCTCCTTCCCTCTCTCTCTCTCCTTCTTCTCTTTAGCTTAGTATTCTCAATACATGAGATTCTCGGATCTTTGAGCCTTGACTATTGCCTTGACCCCGCCGTCACACCCATACTATTAATTAGAACAGATACCCTTGTATTTTTCTATAGTAGTAATTAGCTTCTTGCGTATACTCGACCTTAAGATATAATAAATACTTATTTTGCTAAAGGAAGGCTGTTTCTCTCTTCTATTAACTTCCTTTCTCCCCGACCTCCATTTAACAGCCTGCTAGGTATGTTGTGGTGGGGTTTTTTCTCTCTTGTCCCGTGACTACCGTCACGTGTCCTGCTTCCCAGGCATGCTGGCGCTAGTTTAAGGGGTTGCATAAGACTTCCGTCCATACGTACGATTAGCCTTCCCAATACATCAACCTTCGGAGCCCCTTATTTTTGAACATTCGTATTATTTCATTACTGGTGCTGAGAGTCTTAAGATTATTACTTCTACTTATTTAGCTTCCTACCCTCTTTACCTCCACCCACGCATCCAACGCCTATATATGGTCCGAAATCCATATAACAATCAAATCCCCATCACAATGTTCCTAGCATATACTCGACCTTTCTCCTCTGACATATGCTCGGCATATGCTAATCCTATCCTGCAGGGTCTTTACGCTCTAATATATCCTAATTTGGGGGGGCTCTTGCCACCCCCCAACCCCCCACAACTAACCCGAACCCTAGCCCATAACCCTAAGCTCTCCTTGCAAACTCGGAACTAACCCTAGCCCCCCTGTCCCGTATATATGAGGAACATAAAGAGAGCATATGCTGAACTATGGTAGGGGACAGCTTAAGCGATAGTAGGGATTAGTTAAAATGCTAGTAAATTGATTGCTGCTTAAGATACCAATTATAGAGCATCTAAAAGGATGCGAGTGAGCCGAGACAAGGAACATTGAGACTACTAGATCGTGACCTTCGAGCCATAAAAGGCGTAAGTAGTGCATATAAAACAGACCTGGAAATGAAAACAAATATGACACGTGATTCGCAGCCTAGCAGAGACTGCAGAGATGAAACACTACTAGTGTTTAAAATAGAATAGAATCTGCGAAATTAGTAGGAATTCGTGTTGGAAAATGTACGTTCTATATAGTTTGCAGACCTTTCGGTGTTGCATATCAATGCTTCTTGTGCTTGTGTCTTTTAACAAGACAGTTCACTGCTCCGGATTCCACACAAGCCGATCATGGAGATGTTCTAGGACATCATCTGGTACTGGTATACTAGTGAAAATGTTACGCCATCCCTCCTGTTTAAATTTCACAATGGCGTGGAGGCATGGAGTAGACTAGTGAATGCGCTCCAGATATGACCGGGTGTACGAAGCGAAAGATTCAGTGAAAATTGACTACGCTGTCGTTGGCATAAAGCAAACGAACCGCTGGGGCTTCATTTGCTTTTAAGTAATTCCCGCCAACTTTTTCGACAGGAGCCGTGAATGCCCGTTGGAACTGGTTGGAATGTTGGAATTGTTGTGCCACACCTTCATCTAGTGTCCAGGATAACGGATTTCTTTTTCGGGAAATCTAAGCAAAAACCCCTTTTCCCTGGTGGGCGCGCCAAGCACGAAAAGCCTGTGCAAATACGCCAAAAAGGTGAAGGCTTGAAAGAGAACTTCTCAGTAAAATGAGTACACTCCAGCATCGTCCGTGAGTTGCAAATTTGTTCAAGATAAGAGGCCGTAAATCACCGTCCAGATCGCCGTATTTCCCAAGAAAGCAGAACTCGCCAGTTGCAAACTCCCCGCCCATAAAACACCTCAAGTTTCCATTCCCAAATGTTCAAACCTCTCATAAACTCCCACTAGTGACACCTTTGCTCCGCTTCCATTTTTTCCGTCACTTCTCCTCTCATCGCAAGAACAACCGCCCTCCCCTTTTGAGTCCCCAACAAAAACTCTTTCTATTTGAATATAAGTCTTTACCTCAATGGATGTCCCGTTGCCCAGGCCGTTTTGTCTCGAAAACCTCTCTAAATAAGGCACCGTATTATCTCCTAACTCGTCCCTATTACTTCCCTGCTCAGTCTGCATTCTAGATTTAGCAAAAATGTCAGTTTCCGGCCGCCTTGATGAATTCGGCGTCGCCGGACCTCACAAGGACCCAAACTAACACCCCCCATCACTCCAACAGAAACCAGTATTAGCGAGCCCGCACCAGCAGCGAAAACAATAACCCCCCAAATCTCTCCTAGAACTCTAGAAGAGGAAGTGGCATACGTCCCGGTAGCGTACAGATCTGACGGGAGCGTCTCCCATAAGCCGATTGCCAAGCGGTAGTCGAAAATTGAATACGGATTGTTAGGAAGTTTTTCAACATATCGGGAGGGCCTCCTGGATAGTTGCTGTCATCATCCTGGTAAAATCGCGTTGCCCAGCTCAACGACTCTGCATACGTCTCAAAGTTTTGGTTGGTTTTGTTGGATGAATTTGGAATGGAAGAGAATGCAAGGGGGAAGGTTTTGGTCAGACTTCCAACGGCTTCGGAGATGAAGGCTGTGGTGATTGGTTCGGAATTTCTGATATATTTGATCGAAAGGATAGAGAAGTTGCTGATGTCGTAGGCTACCGCTGCACAACCTTCCTAATATTTAGGACTGCTGATTTGTCGGGTTGGTTTCCCTCGCTTGTGTCGTTGAGACAGACCGTGGAAAAGAGGTTGGAAGGACACATACTTCATCTTATATTGTTAGCGATTTGTTTGGGAATCTTGTCACAAATTCTTATCTGCATAGATTTTTGTTCCTTTACCAGCTACACAGATGCGTACCTTTTCGGTGTTACTTCCTCCATATGTAGCACACACAACTAATTTGTATAGTACGAAAGCGCATAGTTTTGTAAATCGTCCATTTTTAGTGAGGTGAGGAATACCAAAATCTCAAACTTTAAAAAATTGCACATTTCATCGCGACCACCTCCAAATACTTCAAATTAAATTTGAGGCAAAGAGAAAAAGCTCAGATAGGTTTACTTTGTGTTTTAGTGATTATAAAATTCTAGGGAGTTTTATTGCGATTTTTCAAAGACGAGGGGACGGTTTTTAAGGACCTCGCTTAGCGAAAGGACGATTGTCAATACTGTGCGCCGTCGCAAGTCAACAAAAGCGTACTATAATATATATCAATAAAAGAGGAAGTTGTAAAATTCGATGATATCCAGTCGTGTGCCCTTTTCAGAAGAAGATATTCCAGATGACAAGGAGGCAGAGTATACAGCCTGGAAAGATGCAGCGAAGCCGAGCCAATGAGAAGGGTAGGGATTTTAGTACAAACGGCGAGGGCTTTATTGAGCTTCAAGTCAGTGGAGGAGAGTAGTTGAGTTGCAAAAATAGGTCTAGAAAGTGAATATCAGGGTTAGTTGGTGTGGCTTTCAGTGGCCTTGGAGAAGGTACTCGGTGAAATTTGGATACAAAAGTGACGCACAATTGTGAACGTTTTGTCCTATATTTGAACCCGATTGTTTACAATGGTCAAATATTCCCGAAGATGAGATAAACATCATCTTAACACAACCTCGCCTTCTTCTCTAACAGCCTCTTCCCACGTAATCTTTTCCTCGTATACAAGAGTGAATTCGTGGCCTTACAACACAATCTTATTCTCAAATGTCGAATGCACGAAAAAACTCAGTAACCTCGAAACGCAGCCAACTTCCTCTATCCTTTGCAACAACAACTCTTCCCACGTCGAATAAGGGCCACCATCAACAATCTCCCAGATTTCTAATACCCCACACAAACTACTCAACTACCTACCAAAATTCAGCCACAGCCATGCACCACCTCAGCCTTACTATCTTCTTTGCCCTCTTTCTCCCCTTCACCTTGGTGCAATTCTCCTCCTGTCTCCCCCTACCTGACCTCACAGCACTAACAGTCCTATCACAGGTCCTCTCCGCTCCATCAGAAGGCATTTTGCCTGCGTTGGGCCCAACCAGCGAGAACACGGTCCTCGCAACCTTCATTGGCTCCTACGGCGATCATGACTACAACCTCAACGGTACCGTCCAAGAAGTTATGGCCCAACTCAAGGAGATGCACCCTGGCGTGGAGCTTGAAAACGGCGAAGTGATGGGTCTTGTTGCGCGGAACAAGGTTCGCTTTCGTTTCTCCTTCCCTCATCACCCAGTCTCACTTTTCACAGATCAAGCCTCCTCTCTGCGTTCCCGTAGCCGGCCAGGACTGGACGGCCGCATTCATGTCCCACATCGATGCAGGAATCTTCTACCTCAACAACCTCCACACACGCCTGGGCATTTCTGCAAAGTCCTGCTCGCGAATTTCTTGTTCTTATGATTCGGCTATCTACCTTTGCAACGACAATGGTTATTACATCGCGCCCGCCAGTACATATATTGCGAGCTACGCGCAGGACCTGGTTAACCTCTGTACTACTGGCAGCTTCGACAAGTTTCCGGACTATAGGAAAACGGGGGGACAGGAGTTTGATAGCGATGGATACAATGTTATTGTGAAGCAAGATAGTTGCTAGGTGGGTTGGGGTAGTACTCGTTTTTCTGGGGGTTAATTGGATGATTGGGGATTCTTTACCAGGGATGGAGAGGATGCGATGATTTTCTATTGCTGCTAAAGCGCTCCCGAAATTGATTGTGGGAATTGGCGCCAGGGTACTGGGGGGAAATCTTGATCTGGTGGGGATCAGTGTGTCAAATGAATAGAGTAGAATAGAATAACGGCCGTTACTCTTATTTTATTTAAGCTAAAAACCCGTTACTCTTATTTTATTCATATATTATTCAAGTTATTCATGAATAATCATGAATAACTTGAATAACGCACGTGATTTATGCACGTGACTGAGCTAGCCTAATCGGGTACGGCTTCGGGGGGGCCGCACCAAGGGCCACCTCGCTACCCAATCAGGTGGTAGTGGCGCTTGGTAAGCGAATCGAACCTTAGCGATAATCTGTTTATTTATTATAGAAAATCTGTATTTAAGTAGCCTTATATAAATATTAGCTTAGCTTATATAAGGCTGCTTAATCAATACCTTAGTTCTTTTTTTAAATTTAAATATATGTCAATTTACTATAATTAATTGACTTCCACGTGACCTCCACGTGATTATTCATGATTATTCATGTTATTCATGAATAATTATTCTATTTTACTCAAATTATTTAAGATATTCGTTACTCTTATTTTATTCAAGTTATTCATGAATTATTCATGAATAACTTGAATAACTTGAATAACTTGAATAACTTGAATAACTTGAATAATCCTTTGACACACTGGTGGGGATCGCTCTGAATGTAATATGAAGACTGAGACAACTCTGGCGTTCTTTTCGTCTCATTGACCACATCAGGCGCTCCAGGAATCAAGTGAACCTCCGCAATAACGTGAACTTTTCTCTTATGGCTTATGGTTGCTAAGCTTTCTTATTCCAAATTTTTTGTCCACGGCGGTTTGGCATCCCACGAAGATCGTATGTAATTCGATAGTATAAGAAAGCTGCAGGAAGGTTGATAAATGGGAATACATGAGATATTGCGGAAAGTCAGAAAAACGTCAGGCTGTGGCCTCAACCATCGAAGCAAATGGACCTCACTAGTTATAACAGACAAACATTGTCTGAAAAAGAGGAGGACTCCAAAGCAGATCATAAAGGCACCTCTTCCTTGTGCGAGAAAGCTTCCGAGAGTTCTTCCGCGAAGATTGAACCACCCGGCAAAGGCGTACCCGAACCTAAAAGAACAGACACAGTAATATATAGGCTTTAAGCCACTTGGATCATTCCGCATATAGGATAGTGGGGAGCGTAAGAGATCAATTTACCGCCCCTCAATGAAGTTTTTCACTGAACAAAATTGCGTCAATCCGAAATGAAACAAGTCTAGAAGCCTAAGGGTCATGACGTTACAATTTATGAGCACGAGAAGGCCCAACAATAAGTTAGCAATGGCAATTTTGGCAGGGATCGTATCACGACCCGTGGCTGGCGTTCTCAAGGAAAACAGCTGTATTGGGTGTGTATGTACGTCTAAAGAGGGAAGAAGGAGCGGGGAGCTCGAGACTAAGATACAGGGTGTTGAAATTAGGGGCCTGAGGCCCCTAATAGGATTAGTAAGCCCTGGAACAGAGCCTTAGGGGCTGTGCACTAATGGGGCTTAAGCCATGGGCTTATTACTGAGTAGATTATGCCCTGTAAGGTTGATTCAGGGCATAATATGCCCTGTGAGGCTAAATCGGTTCAGCTGAGGTTGAATGGTTTAGTATAAGGCTCTCTGGTTTAGGGGTTTAGTGCATGTGACTTAGGGGGTTCAGGGCTATATATACAGGCTACTTACCACTGTAGAACAGCAGTCAATTCAGTACGTTTTACTTGGTTTATATTGCAAGCACGTGACCCTAGCTTTATTATTTAGCTAGATTAACAGGTTATGAGCACCGGAAGCTACCTCTACGCACTATAAATCACTGAATCGGCTCACTAGTACCTACCGGAAATATCCCCCAGAAGTACACTATGGAAGACGACTTTAGTATGGAAAAGCCTATGTACCTGAACGCTCCAGGGCCTATAATTGGGCCCTGTAAGCCTGGCGATCCGGGGCTTTTCCATACTAAAGTCGTCTTCCATAGTGTACTTCTGGGGGATATTTCCGGTAGGTACTAGTGAGCCGATTCAGTGATTTATAGTGCGTAGAGGTAGCTTCCGGTGCTCATAACCTGTTAATCTAGCTAAATAATAAAGCTAGGGTCACGTGCTTGCAATATAAACCAAGTAAAACGTACTGAATTGACTGCTGTTCTACAGTGGTAAGTAGCCTGTATATATAGCCCTGAACCCCCTAAGTCACATGCACTAAACCCCTAAACCAGAGAGCCTTATACTAAACCATTCAACCTCAGCTGAACCGATTTAGCCTCACAGGGCATATTATGCCCTGAATCAACCTTACAGGGCATAATCTACTCAGTAATAAGCCCATGGCTTAAGCCCCATTAGTGCACAGCCCCTAAGGCTCTGTTCCAGGGCTTACTAATCCTATTAGGGGCCTCAGGCCCCTAATTTCAACAGTTCTTTCCCTCTGCACTGTAAAAATGTCGGTTAGGAAAGAACCACTCGATTGCTGTTCTAAGAGGGGATTTGCAGGTCTATATATAGGGTCTGGTGCCCTGGCCAAAAAAGGGGTAAGATCAGGTGATTTAGGCAACGGACAAAAAAGGTACTGTATTGTCCATAGCTAGACACAACAAGCCGAATTGATCTGATACAACTTCGAAAAGCGCCCACCAATAAACACAGATATGGCAATCTAGAGCCAGTCTAGTGACGCCAAGCTAAGTCACAACAGTAATAAAGCTGCCGATTGATAATACTTCTCCGGTAGCCATCGTGAAGTGAAGCTCGTTTCTCCATTTTAGGGAGCGAGAAATTGGCAAAAGCAAGGACAGTATAGGAACCCAAAAAGCAGCCTGCCCAGACTTTGGTCCACAATAACCCCTCGAAGCCGAATATTTTGACGGCTTGCAATAGCGTGACGATGAATAATGTAAGGAAGGCGAATGGATGCTTACCCGCAGAGCCTTCCTCAAGCAGTGTAACTTCGGGACAAAGACTGTTTCGTGCGCGTCGCCAGTTGAAATATCTGGCTCCTTGTTGTAAGTGGTGTCCTTGACAGACGCGGGGAGATAGCTCAATCAGAACCTCGAGAGCATCGGCGAGACGGACGAACGGCGAGCTACGAGCCGCAAATGGAGGCTGGACTCCGGAAAGTTGACATCTAGACTCGACAGCTGGGTCATTGCGTAATTTGCATTCAAGGCAAGAGGAACGAGACCGAGGAATGCGCCTCGCCATAATACATTGTTTGCTTGTGTTGATGTAGACTGCAATGAGGTCGGCTCTGTCGATTGTCGGTGGTGGTGAGTTGACTCAGCCTTGTCGGAGGGGGATCGTAGGATTACCTTGGACTCTCGGAAGAGCGAAAGAAAGTACTGCTGCGATAACTATGAGTGGTAGAGCCAACCAGCCGACAGACATAGTTAGTGTACTATTTCCTCGACGAGAGCTTTCGATGGTGAAGGTTCGAAGAGGAGGAGAAAATGAGATCGGGCGGGGCAGAAGCGAGGCTTTTCGGAGGTCGAGAGTGGGACGTAAGCGCTATAATTATAGGCTTCTAATTACCAAGTTACAGCGCCAAGGCCGCTAAGTTATAGGCTACTGGTTTCCCATTTTGCGTTTCTCACTTGGACCGACGTTCTTACAGCTTTCCGTACCATCTCAGCGCGAAGTACTTTCGTACATTCATCGCCAGCTAGTTCTGACATATTTGAGTCACGTGATCACAAGTCCAACAGGCTGAGGTCGAGAGCGATTGGGTTGGAGCGAGCCAGGAAGAATGCCTTGGGCAGTGGAAACTCAAATAAAAGTGTATGTCGGGTGTGTGCACCCGGCCGTCCAAGTATAATCTGGCCAATCACTTTGTGATGAGCCACTTGATTTGGAACGGGCCACATCCTGCATCGGAATGCACGCGGAGGACCAAATTGTTGTACGGTAATTTGGGGCAAGGGTGTTCGTGGGAGCCGTGCCGGATTTCTCATACTTGACTCAGCTTCCTCTCCGTGGTTGGTAATTGAGTTTCAGTTGCACGGCAAAAGAAACGTGCATGTCCACCGCCTGCATGTCGTGGCGCTAAATCAGCCCGTACCCACAGCCGCGCCATTTTGCCGTGAGACGATGTTGCACAGTGTGAAGGCAGAGGATATAGATAGCCTCATCCTCCCCAATTCACTCGCAAAATCTATAGTACGTATATCAGAGACTTTTTCAACAAAAGCAATATTCTTCCCATACAAACCCAAACACAACCGCGAAAATGGTCCTCAAGGTTTACGGCGCGAAGCGCTCGACTTGCACTCAGCGTGTCCTCACCGCTCTGTACGAGAAAGGCGTTCCTTACGAGCTGATCACCATTGATTTCTCCAAGGCTGAGAACAAGTCCGAAAAGTACATGAAGCTGCAGCCATTTGGCAAGATTCCGGTCCTCGACGACGATGGATTCATCTTGTTCGAGAGCAGAGCCATTGCCAAGTACATCGCGAAGAAGTACGCTGGCCAGGGAACTTCACTGATACCTGCTGAGGATGACTTGAAGGCGTATGGATTGTTTGAGCAGGCGCGTATTTCTAGTCAAAAAGTGAGACGAAATTTGCTGACCAGGGGACAAGTAGGCGTGCTCACTGGAGCAGTTCTACTTCGACCCACCCACGGCTGGAATCGCCTTTGAAAAAGTTTTCAAGGGGTACGAGTTTCAACAACCCCCCATATCGATATTTGCCATGCTAACAGATGCAGATGGAAAGGAATGGGAGGACCCGATGATGCACAGGTCGCCAAACACGCCGCCCAACTCGATACCACGCTGGCTGTTTATGAAGGAATCCTCTCAAAGCAAAAGTATCTGGCGGGAGATGAGGTGACCCTTGCTGACCTTTTCCACGTTCCATACGGTCTAATTGCGAGAGACTGTGGTTATCTCAGTACCTTCGAGAAATATCCTCATGTCGCGAAGTGGTTTGACGCAATGCTGGCGAGGGAGAGCTGGAAGAAAGTGACCTCCGTAGATTAACTTCTTTCTCGCACTGGGGGGAAACAGGGGACTGGACATGAACCACAAGTAAAGAATCACCAGTCAAACAAGCCTACACATGAAACAATAAATTGGTGAAAGAATGAAAGTGAAGTAGAATCCGCAAGTTCCGAAGTCTGTATCGCATCTTTCTCGGTTGAGTCACATGACTGTTATTTTAGGCTGACATTGAGTTCCTCGAGCCTTTCAACACTCTCATCAACCACTCACTCGAGCTCATCCGTGTCTATGTCCTTCTCGGACAGAACACAGCTGTGTAAGGATTGAACGAAGCGAGTTGCTTGATGTCTCACAACTGAAACGTGGCGGCCCACCTTTCTTTGAGCGACGACCCAACGAGGCGGAACTCGGTTCCAGTCTCTCTCTCTCTCTGTCGACGATATAAGACGGCTTCAAGCCTCTCTCCTCCGCAGTTTCCTCCCCACGACTTCTCTTTGTGAATCCTATATCGAAAATCCAGCAATCAAAAACGGCGTCCACCTTCCCCCTTTGACAGCGAAAGGCTCTCTTTGAACACCCCGTCCACGAAAGCCGCGGTTCAATATGGCGAAACCTGTTGCTACAAGATTCATGATAATTTCAGACACTCACAACTTCCAATTTGGGAATGCGGAAAAGTGGTACGGCGCCTTCCGTCAACCAGTCCCCAAAGTCGACGTTCTTCTCCATGCCGGCGACTTGACTGAACGCGGGGGATTGAAGGCCTATAAAGGTGTTCTGAACATGCTCAGCAGCATCGATGCTGAGCTAAAGTTGGTCATTGGGGGGAACCATGATTTCTCTCTTGACGGAAATTACTGGAGAAATCACCTGTTCGAAGATGCGGACCCTGAGGATATAGCGGAACATGACAACGCAATGGAAATATTCAAGGGGCCATTGGCAAAAGAAGCAGGCGTCACCTACCTCGAAGAAGGACTCAACACCTTTACCCTCAAAAACGGTGCCAAGTTCACCATCTACACCTCTCCATATCAGCCCGAATTCTACGACTGGGCATTCCCCTACGAAAGAAATGAGGACCGCTTCAATCTCCAGGATCAATCTGCCCCCGGCGTCACTTCCATCGCAACGAATCCTATCCCCGATTTCCCTTCTGTCGACATTATGATGACCCACGGGCCACCGAAAGATATTCTTGACTGGACAGCCCACGGGACTGTGGGTTGCGAGAACCTGCTTCGAGCAGTCAGCCGCGCTCGACCTCGTCTCTACTGCTTTGGACATATCCACGAGGCGTACGGCGCCAAGGTCATTACATGGAAAGACGACAAGACGCTGATTGGAGCTAAGGCGATCGAAGAACAATCTCCGCAGCCAAACGTCTATCCGAATTCAAGCAGTTGGCCCATCAATTTTGGGAAGGAGACCTTGATGGTCAACGCGGCCATCATGAACCTCCAGTACAGACCGACCAACGCTCCTTGGCTGGTTGATCTCGAACTTCCGCGTGCAACGTGATGGGACAACTTGGTTTGCTTTAGTCAAGACGGAGATATGATGAAAATTTGAAATGGGTGGCTGACAGAGATTGTTGGGTGGTGGATTGATATTTCCTCGCTCGAGGGATAACAGAGACGACTTTGGGGCAGGAGGGAGGAAACTTGTCCCGGGTGCAAAACAGGGCTATACATATCAAAAATCAATATCCTTATGTCTATAATCCAGCCTTGCCTTGGTGCGATCCTCTAGCTTCGCCGAGCGCCAGCTCCTCCAGAGATTGTTGAATCTTAAAAGAGTTCCCTGTCCCATACTGCCCGTTCCCTGGCTATACCAACCATAGCATGGTGGGGTAATGCTTCGACATCTTGTGCCCAACGTTCTCGCTGCTTCTTCATCGCAGGTACCAACATTAGAGCCCTTCTAATACCCATTTTATGCCCAATCTCCTCTAGCAACTTGGCAACCCAGCCATGCAACTCCTCAGATACACCAAATGAGCTTCCTGCAACTGCCACAGCAAATAAAAGCAAAAAGAAGCCAGATGTAGCCGGGACCAATCTAATCTTTGATATCGGGAGAGTGTTACAATAAAGCTGACCAGAAACGCTAACGCAAATTTCTGTGGCCATTTGGGAAATTATTGCAAGAGATTTCGTTCGCTGTGTATTATATTCCAGTGGGTGTGGCGCGATTTTCCCAATATATATTAGCAGCATTTCATTCACGAGGATGCGCGACCACCGATAGTGATCCAAAATTCTACCAATCCAGATGTCGTTGTAGATATAGTATTGCCCGTTGAACATCCTGGATTCTGGTTCTCTCGGCGATGCGGCGCCATATCCCCAGTGTCCAGGAAGCGTTGCTTCCCACTCTTCTAATTCTGCTTCGCATAGCAGAGCATTCCGAACAATGATATCGGCATTAGGAGTATGTACTGATTTGATGGATGCGTGTAAATCGACAAATCGACTGACAATCCCCACAAGAGACGCTGCCGGGTAGTCTGCGGGACACTGAGAGTCTCGGCAATATCGAGACCATTCAGAAAAGCTTGCTGGAACATTCTGCCCGCTTTGAAGGTATCGAATAAACTGCATCAGTCATACGTCAGGGCTTTCTTCGGTAACCATAGATCACTAAGACATACAGCTAAGAAACAAAAATGTAGTTGCATTCGAAGACCTGGCTGGCGCGGAGGCTGTTTTGAGGCTATCGTTCTCAGTAATGCTGCTGCACCATCAACATGTAGGCCCCATGCCTTCCCCGACTGCGAAGTACAATTAACTACCTGTAAATGTTGATCAGCTTGAATCAAAACTCATAATTGACCAGGGACACACTTCAAATAGAGCCAGCATTATCACCGCTCTGAATGTGTCATCCAGATCAGCACTGACAGGTTCTTGAAGGGCTGCCCCGACATGCCGTATCGTTGCTGCGTATTTGTGCTGTGCAATCATCATAAGGTCTTGATTGTTAGTCACGTTGGAGAGGCCTGCCAGACCTACACAGGACACTGCGTCGACGGATGCTTTGCTGGTAAACAGAGGGGATGAAGAGGCACTTGATTGAGCCGTCGCAAAGGGCGAAATGACAGCCACATAGCAGGTGAGGAAAGTGATGCCCAAATCTTCTAAGCTCGTCGAGGAGAGGAGAGAATGAAGTGAGAGACTCCCTAAGATTGAAGACTGGAATTGCGTCCCGAAAGTTTCAGTTGAAACAGAAGATTGGGCATCACGAGGCGTCCCGACGTCATTGGAAGGCAGGAGAACAGAAACATCAAGGCTCTTCTTCGGTCTCTCTTCGTTCTGGCGAGTTTCGCGACACCTGCGTGGAATTTCAAGGCTACGTGCTTTTTTAATGACCTTCGCGCTCTCGTCGCGAAACAAGAGGGACAGCTGGTCCCGGTATCCTGGACAAATTTTGCCGGCCCTCAAGCACTGCATACATGCGGGTTCGACTAGGTTGCACTTGAAGCGAATTAAAATCAGGAGACACCTTAAAACTAAACGACTGATAGGCACATCAGTACGCTGCTTTTCAACGACGTACCCTGATTCTTCTCAGCCGACAATTAGAGCAAGCTCTGCTAGCTCTCCCGCAGTACACCATGGTTGGCTTCGGTGCAGCTTAGAATATCGTGATAACAGAAGAGGTGTCGCATTCCCGGAAAGAATGCCGGAAGAAAGTGAAAATTGAAGCTCCAAAATAGGTGTTCTTCTCGTGGAGAATACACCAGTGAAGTGCCGCCCTGACATCCAAATAAGCAACAGCGAGTAGCCTAGTGCTTCGGTCAAAGCTCTGAAGGCCACGAATACACCCAGGGTGGCCTCATAAGCGGGGAGACTAGTTCGAAAGCGGTAACTCAATCGTGCTTTGGTCAAAACTCTGACTGGCCACGAATGCGGCCAACATGGCCTCCACAAGCGGGGAAACTAGTTTGAAAACGGTAACCCAATCGTGATTATACGGAAAGCCATAAGGATCAAGTGATCAAGCGATTTTCGACTTCGGTTTTCGACTTTTGATGCCCGACTTGGCACGTGCTCACCCCACCAAAAATCACCCACATACCACGCCCCTGTACCTCTACCCATTAGTACTACTTAAAAATATTACTCTCTCTTTAATTCTTATTTATATATATACAAGAGAGGGGTGAGAGGTGAGTAGTAGGAGGGGGGGGGAGGGCGAGTGAAAAGTGAAAAGTGAAAAGTGAAAAGTGAAAAGTGAAAAGTGAAAAGTGTGAAAAGTGAAAAGTGAAAAGTGAAAAGTGAAAAGTGAAAAGTGAAAAGTGAAAAGTGAAAAGTGAAAAGTGAAAAGTGAAAAGTGAAAAGTGAAAAGTGAAAAGTGAAAAGTAAAAAGTGGAAAGTGGAAAGAGGAAAGCGAAAAGCGAAAATCGAACAGCGAAAATCGAAAAGCGAGCTTCAAGGCATGCGACTTGCGAGGAAAAGGAAGCCCTATAATTATAGGCTATAGATACTAAAAATTTAGTAATATAAATTTTTGATCAAGTTCCCTCACTTTGGCCCCTCTCCCCCCTCCTTTCCTCCCATATCTCCCCTCTCTTATCCTTATACTTAGAGAGAGAGAGAGAGAGAGAGAAAGTAAATATTTGAAGTAGTAATAGAGATATAGGAAGGGGGTATAGTATATAGGCATAATATATGGGTGTTTGCGATTTTTGGCAGGGTGGCACGTGCCGAGTCGAAAGTCGAAAGTCGAAAACCGGATTCGAAATCGCCTGGTCTTCTGATCCTTATCGCTTTCCGTACGATTAAGGTTAACGATCAGCTTTCATTCGAGCACGTCCCCCTTCCTGGTTTAAACTCTCAATCCCCTGTGCCAAAAGCTAAAAAGCGTGGGCTTGATTCTCGCACTGTATCCTGGGTCGGGCCTCGAATCCTCTTGTACGCGTAATGACCTGCTCACTGCATTCAGGCACGAATACGGCCCGGTACCCCTTGCTAGGTTCGCGACGCCGGGACCGCAGACAGATCATTCTACTGTAATAAAACAGCTTTGGGAAAACAGCCAAGGATAGCGGATCTTCTGATCTTGGTGCTTACTGGAACAAGATCTTAAGTTCAGTGGATCCTATTTAGATGCGCAGCTTCCATTTTCCACAACGATAATAAAGGTCGTATCTCCAATATTGAATTTGAGCCAGGATGTTATCTCATTGGTTCATATACATCCGTGTTGAGGGGGAACCGATAAAGAGAGCCAATTTTAGTTGCAGGGCTCCATTCCCCCTAAAGGACACACTCTTTGAGGCGATCCTCGTATAATGGTACAAGACGTACGTCCCTCTTCAAGTAACATTACGAATTTCAATCTAACCGACCCCACCCATCGTAGCCAGCAATTTCGGATGCAACTCCTGATAGACCGGAATTGAAATCTCCTTTGAGCAATCTCTATGTCTCTGCTATTGCCCAATTCGGTGTGAGCACTTAACAATGATCCTCTGTAAGGATGTGAATGCATGCATTCTTTGGATGACGAATCCCATGAGGGCAGCTCACCATTTCCAGAACGATGAATTGACTTTGTTGAGTTGAGGTCCGTACAAGGTAGTGAGAAAAGTTGAAATTATTAGGTATATAAGGCCATCGTCTTGAGAAACTTGTGTTTGCTCAACCAGCTTAATCAACAACTCTTCGCAACCGCTACAACCCGTCTTTTCTCAAAGGTCTTCCAGGATTTCCTTTTTTGTTTTTTGCATTTTTTTGCCACACAGGCTCCTCTACCGAGCTGTTGTTCCGTTTGCTTGGTTCAACATGTTCGCCAGAACAGTACTGTCGCTACTGATGGGCGTCGCTATAGTGAAGACTGCAGCTGCATTTTCACCACAATTTAACACTCGTTCATCCAACTGTACCATTGTGGAGGTTCGTAAAGAGTGGCGAAACCTCACGAGTACTGAGCAAATTGCCTACCTGGATGCCGAGATCTGTCTCATGAACCTACCGGCTCAGACTGGGCTTGCAGCAGTAACAAGTCGGTATAGCGATTTGGAAGCCCTTCACCAAAACCTCACTACTATCATTCACGACGTCGGCCAGTTCCTTCCGTGGCACCGCTATTTCGTCCATGTCCACCACGAGATCCTCAAGACCCAGTGCAACTATGGTGGACCTGTTCCGTAAGATGTTATGCTGTCTCCAATGATATCTACGTGCTAATGACATGTATAGTTGGTGGGATGAGCGTATTGATTCCGGTGATTTTGAGAGCTCCACCATTTTCTCTCCTGATACCTTTGGTTCTCTTGGAGCATCATCTTGTGTAACCAGTGGCGTAAGATCCCCTTGAGCTCTATACGTTAGGACCATTATAACTAATACAAAATTAAAATTGTAGTACTTTGCAAATACTACGTTATATATTGGCCCCGGTACTCAAGAAACAGTCCACTGCTTATCACGCAATGTTAACGATAATGCGAGTGCCAAAACGAGTAGTACCTATATTGACAACTGCAACGCATATTCCAACTATACTTCTATGTGGGAATGTGTAGTTGCGGGGTAAGATTACTATCCCCAATGAAATGATCACAGAGACTAATACTTCTCTTAGTCCCCATGCTGGTGGCCATTTAGGAGTTGGTGGCGTTATGTCCAATATGGACAGCTCTGTTGGTGACCCAAGCTTTTTCCTCCACCACGGCTTCATTGATCGTAATTGGTGGACATGGCAAAACATTGATCCCACAAACAACTTGTACCAAATAAGTGGATACACAACACAAAAGCCGCTACCTTCAGGTGGATATGAAGAAGTCACATTAGACTACGTCATGTCGAGCTGGGGAGTCCTTCCTAACGTTACGATTTATGATGTCATGGATGCGGAAGGTGGATACTTATGCTATGAGTATGACTACTAATGCGTGTACCTCCGTTTAGTGAGGAGCGAGATCGTGGGACTCCTTCACATGTAATTACGTTAGTGGTTCAAAGCTTTAAAGTTCCGTCTAACTTTTATACTCTTGATTAATTGATTGATTAATTAATAGTTATTTACGTCCGGGCTATGATTGGCCACTAAACCTCCCGAAGGGTATGGGGACGTGCTAAGCTTATAGGATATTTATATACAGAGTCCTGCTCGCAAAAGAAGCCAAAAACCACAAGGGGTAAAAAGACGTCCCTTACGAGCAGCCCCGGGTCCCTAATCCCGCGGTATTTCAGTGCCCCAGTAGACCTTATAGAAAGCATTTCTAGTATGAGCGAACGTGCCAAAGGCTTGTAACTGTAAACCTCTTTCGCTGGTTGAGGTGGCCACCAGGTTAGATAGGCGCATCGACGATATACGAAGGCACAATACCAAGTTTCCTCTACTCCTCCCCCTCCCTCCCCCACCCCTTCTTACGGTCTCTCCCTCGTATCCGCCACGTTGCGTTATCGGGCCTGCCTTTGCAAGAGGATTCCTCCACCATATAGCCTTCTCAAGAGAGTAGACAAGTCGAGTAGGCCACGGTACTCACCCCAATTTCCCTCTACAATATATATAGAACGAGTCGTATTATCGCGAATTGAGGAGGACGTATTGTCGCGTGTTAAGGAGGAGGAGGGGTAGCTGTAGAGGATTATTAATAAGGGAAAGCCTCTTCGAGTGATGCTATGCGAGCGTTCGAAAGAAGTGACGCTTTCACAGTATATTAATAGTAATTGACTTAATCTTAGCCCTATAGCTTATCCTCAGAAAGCTATAGGTTTCCAGTCTATACCACGAGGAGGTATTGAGTCGTCGCAGACCAACTTTTATACTCTCGAATAACGAGCCACTTATAAATATCTTATTGCGTGTATGTTACCAGACGACGAGAGTGACTGTGCAACAAAAGTGGTTAGATAACAGGAACAGTTAGAAGAGAGGTGTGGCCAAACTATGCGTGTAACCAGACTATAGGTGTGGCCGGAGAGGATGAGCGGACGGCTAATGGAGCCCCGTTTTCGCACCGACTCACATAAGCTAGATACTGAATATTGTCAATATCAAACTCCAGCATTTAATGCTCGATTATTAAACGCTAGTATTAGTATAGTTTAAACTTGTTTCTCCAGATAAAAATACTTAATCATTATAATTATAGAGGGTTTAGCTTCATTTCCGCTAGCGTTTTTAGCTTTACTAATCTCTTACCTTTTCTTTTCTAATAATTAGTAATTACTTTTTATAATTATAATATCTTAATACCTGAATTTATTTTATTATTAAATAAAAAAGTAATTAATGAAATAATTGCGCCTTATCTTACTTGCTATTAAGAATATTAATATAATATATATTTTAGAGAATTGCAAAATATATAGCTTTAGAAAGAGTTTATATTCTAGAGAGGCTTATAAAGATAGCAAAAGTCAAGTATTCAACTCTTAATATTTTGAGGTTATTCTGAAAAAACTGAGATTAGTATAGGAGCAGATACTAGTATCTAAATATTAGTATTTAATGCTAGTTTTAAAAAAAAGCGAAATAATTTTTTTGTAATATCTAAATACTAGTATTATGATATGAGCAGTATTCAAATATTCAAGGGTTGCAAAATGGACCCTGAATAAAAGATATGCGAAACACTTATTTTTATAATAAACAAAAGCTAGTATTCGAATACTGAGAAATACCAGTATTCAAGGGTTGCGAAACGGGCCCTTGTACGAATGTCTATGGGATTATCTTTTTATTTGCTTATAAATGCTGTGTAACCATTCATCTAAGCCTCGGGTAATGAGACGCTTCTATAAAGCTCTCAACCTGAGCTTTGACCGCTATAATAGTTGGGGCTGGGGTAAGTGGGTTAGTTAGTAGCACAGGATGAGTCTCACTAGGGCGCCGGAGTGGGGCTATACGTTAGTGTCTTCCCTCTAATATAGGCGAGAATTGTCTTCCTTTAAAGGGAAATAGGTATTGCTATATCCGCCGCGAGTGGCTTCGAGATAAATTGGCTCTTGGTTATACATGTCTTTATATAAATTATTCTGTACCTTTATGCAATATCGAGCATTTTATAAAGATAAAATAAAGCGTTTTGGGTTGCAGTTCGTTTATTATTTCATTGGAGGGCAGCCCAGGAGAGATGAGTTATTTTAGGTAAGGGACTTTTAAGACATTGACTCAAGGCATGCAGATGCATGCCTCGCCGCAGGATATATGCCCACTATTTGACCACCTTAATAGAATACAAGGCCCAGACCATGCTTTAGCTATTCACATCGCGTATAGTTATGTTATTCGTGATTATGTTTCTAAAGAACGGGCGCTAGATTGAAATATAAAGTATCCTAGTTTCTTCCGCGAATCTGGCATTCCAGTCCGGCAATACAAGCTACAGATCCAAAGAACGAGAACGAGAATCTCTACTATTTCTACCCGCCAGGATGTATTTCCTCCATTTATTTATCCTGGTTGTGGGATTGGCATTATTAACGGATGCTGCCATCCTTGACGCTGGCATCTGCCTCTCTCTCACGGTATCCAACCTTGAACCGCCGTACCCACAGACCTACGTCTTTTCCTCGTAAATAAATTGTCCAGATGTTATTATAGTGCTTACATTTTCGATAGAGAAACATATGCCTTGGCCATGGAGATGCCTGCTACGAGTGATGTGGCATTGACAAAGACAGATTCGAACACCCTGACCTTCACATCTGTGTCACCACTTGCCTCTATCACGAATGAGGACGGCGCAACATCTTCCCTTATAGTACCGAAATCAAGTACAACCTATCAAGTCGCCAACACATATACTTCTGTACATGCAACAACGATATTGACTCAAACTACTATTCATTCATCTTCAAACGAAGAACAATCGGAGTCAGCTTCGAATATTGTACTCAGTTTAGCTGACCCAAACATTGCCTCGAGTTCAATCATCAAATCTAGTTCAACGATAGCATCACCTACTGGCCATACCCCTTTTGCTACGACAACGGATCAGCTCTCTACGCAGTTCCCGTCATCTATAACCCTTTCCCTCTCTTCTGAGCTGAAAACCGCCCCGCCATTTACAAGCCAGTTGATTTCTTCTACATTAGCAATATCTATTCAATCTTCTACAAAACCGGCAGCATTATCCTCAAGTTCCACCAGTTCTTCGAGTCCTGGCTCCAGTACAGTCTTATCAACTACAACTTTCTCATCTATAAGCGACTTACCTTCTACCTCTACCTCTGGTGCCAGCCCATCTTGTATACCACAGACAGACGCTTGCAACCCAGGTACCTCATTCAACTCGGGACAAGCCACGTATAATCAGATATACTACGGTTGCGGCTACACCGAAAGCTACAACAATCCCGGCAATGATTTCCTTGTACCCATTACCCAGCAGTTTCCCTCAACGCAAAATGCCTGCACGGCCTTGACAAATTGCATGCAATTCAGCTTCAATCAAGCATATTGGGCCATCGACCTCCACCTGGTACAGAATGTGGATACCACAACAGTCTGGGAATGCGTTGCCTTTTGGGATCCAGTTGGCAGCGGGAGTTATTTTACGGTTCAGAATTCGACTATCTTAGTTGGTTATGGGTATGATTTTGCAGGTGATTAAATCATAAAGATGATTCGTTACCTTTAGTTGCAGTTTTGTATGCGTAGTTGCATTCTTAGTAGCGCTTGAATAAGTAGAGGCTTTAGAGAAGGAGAGACGCACCTGATGCGTAATGAGGGATAAAGTAGCAGGCAAATATTAGGGGTTCTAAATATTAGAATAAGTATTTTAGAAATTACCCCAATAACCGTATAGATACAATTAGCTTAGGCCCTGTTTTGTATAAATACATGTCTTTTAATTACTAGCATTCGCTAATAATTAAATACTAGTATTTAATACTTAGTATTTAAAGCTAGTATTTATATGATTTAGAAGTATTTCGCAAAATGCAAATACTTAATAATTATTGCAATTATAGAAGTTTTAAAGTAATTTCTAGTAATCTTAAATCTCAAGGTTTACTTTTCTTTAGTAATTACTTCTTATAATTATAGGATATTATAGCCTAATAATTATTTCTCTTCTAAAGTAAAAGTAATTAATTAATTAATTACTTTATTATAGCTTTTCTATTAAAAAAGAATTCATAGTAAAAATTATATAAAAAGCGCGATATTTATATAATAATTAAAATATTATATCTTAAGAAGTATTATAAAGGTAATTAGAAAGGGCAAAAGCTAGTATTTAAATATTCAGTTTTTTTCAGAACTATATATTATGGGTAGTTCTGAAAAAACTGCGATTTGTTTGGGAGCAAATACTAGTAATTATATACTAGTATATAAAAAATGCAAAACACTTATTTTTGTAATAACTAAAAGCTAGTATTTAATTACTAACAAATGCTGGTATTTGAAGTTTACGAAACGGGACCTTATATAATACCCTTACGCTAATTCGTCTGATTCGGACAATTATATCCCAGAAGCTTATATACAATGTCCTTCTGCCAATGATTTGTCCTCTGAGGAGACGGAGAACAGATAAGACCCTGACGAATCCGGCTCTGCAAACGGTTTTATAGACGATTCTGCAGACGATTCTGGCTTCGCGAATAATTTGGATTCTGTAGACAGTTCTGCGGACGGTTTTTCGGATGATCTTGGTTCTGTGGACGGTTCTGTAGACGATTTGGGCTCTATCCGTTACGCTGCGGCCAGCCTTGGATTTCGCTTAAATTAAAGGAACATCAACAGTCCTACTTTTCCAACTCTTTCTAATCTCTAGAATATTAATAAAATTTAAGCAAAGCTTGCTCTATATATAGTTTTAAAAGGTTTCTAAATGTATATAAGAGCATTTATACCCGTTATTTGTTTGTGGAAAGGTATTTGAAGTTGAAGTTGAGAGAAAATTTGTAAGCAAAACCCAAGGCTGGCCGCAGCATAACGGATAGACGGTTCTGCGGACGATTCTGTAGCCAGTTTCGGTTCTGAAGGCTAGTTCTGAGGCCTCAGGCAAAGGTGGCTATTGGCCGGACAGTAATTATTAAAAAGCTGGCCATTTTTGGGAGGTTTTCGTCAAAACCCCTATTTTCCTTTATATATCTGAATAAGGGCATTCAGATTTGGTTTTCCGGGAGGGTAATATGACGGCGCTGGCTAGAGTCACGTGGGGTTAGCTATTACCTGACTGGTTTCACCGGTTAGGCTAGTATTTTAGTCGTTTTAGCTAGTACTTCTTCTCCTTTCTCCCCCCCCCCTCTCTCTTCTTCTCTTTAGTTTAGTCTTCTCAATATTGTTAAAAGGGCTGTTTTGCACGTGATGGCGCTAAGAGTAAAACTCTGATTTTTGGGCACTTGTAAACCTTAGCCTTTATATAAAATATATACTCTTTTACAGGACCCCAAAATTACCCTCTCAATAAATATATGGAAATCTCGGATCTTTGAGCCTTAATTATTGCCTTAATTCCGCTATAATAACTATAATAACTATAATAATAATAATAATAATAATAATAATAATAATAATAATAATAATAATAATAATAATAATAATAATAATAATAATAATAATAATAATAATAATAATAATAATAATAATAATAATAATAATAATAATAATAATAATAATAATAATAATAATAATAATAATAATAATAATAATAATAATAATAATAATAATAATAATAATAATAATAATAATAATAATAATAATAATAATAATAATAATAATAATAATAATAATAATAAAATAGCTCTCTAATTAAATTCGCCTTTCTTAATTCATTAGCTATTTCTGACTTAAGGACTTTCTCGTTTCTATAAGCTATAATATAGTTAATTTGGTAGTACCCAGTTTGAACTACTAGTAATATGGAATCAGTTGTGATTTCGGGAGAAATATTGAGATTCCGTATCCCAAAGCCGAGTAGAGGTTACAAGATGGCTGTCTGGTGGCCTGTAATCGGTTTCCGAGCTTTAAGGGACAAGATTTGAGGGATTAAATAACCGAAGTCCCGTACCAAAACACGTTCTATATTAAAACAAGTCTAATACTACAACCAAAATACGCAATAAATTTATTAAATCAAGTTATATTAACTAGGCAATAGCCATAATTCAAAGAGGAAAGTTTATTTATTATACTAATATAGCTAGAAAATTCAAATATAATTATAATACTATTTCTAGATAAATCTATAGTTTTATAAAATTAAAGAAAAAGCAATTTTATTTTAGTACTAATATTTAACTATTAAATAAGAGAAGTATTTAATTTATTTAATTAATTCTTTTAATAATCGAGAAATACTACTAATTAATTATATTATAAGAAATCTTATAAAAGAAATTAAAAGAAAGCTACTAGAAAAAAACTAGATTAGCTAATTTATAAAGTATTATTTTATTAGGCTAAAGAGCTTTTACTTATAAAATAATAATGATTTATTATTCTATTATATATATAATATTAAGTATTTACTAATATATATTTACTTTACTAGCTAATAATAATAATTAAGAAATATTAAATTATAGCCGAAAATATAAGTAATTTTTAAAAAGAATTATAATTAGAACTATTCTAGAATTAAATTAAAATCTTTTAATTAAAGCAAAATAAAAGTCGCAAATTTATTAGTATTTTAGCTTATATATTTATAATTAAAAAATAAAAATTACTACTTTTAATATATAACAGCAAACCGGGAAATCTTATAAATATATAAGTTAATAAAATTATAATTAATTTTATATAATAAATAATTTAATTATTTTGGCTTTAAAATATATAACTTATTAGCTTTAGTCTTTTATCATTAAGTTTTTCTAACTATTATTAATAATATATATTTAAGAACTTAATATAATAATAAAGAAATAAAATATATAAAAGCTTTTTTTAGTAAAAGTTTAAGAAATCTTTAAAAAAAAAAGCATTTATAAAAAAAAATTAATTAGTATTTTATAAATTAGAGACGTAATTAACTAATAATAATTTTATTATTAAAACTATTACTTATTTTATATTTATATTATTTAAAAATCCTAACTAAATTATATTCTTTAAAATTTATAATATTAATTAATTAATTTTATTTATTATATAATAAATAATTTGTAATTAATAAAATTAAGATAACTTTTTTTTAATTATATTTTGTTTTATTATATAAATCTTTATTTTAAAATATAAAATCGAGATTTATATAAAGTAATTAAGTTTTAAAAAAAGCAGAATTAATAAAGTATTTATTTAAATCTTGCTAATAAAGCAAATAGGAATTTAATTAATTATACTTTTCTAGAAAAATTATTAAGGCCAGAAAGTATTAAAGAAAGAAAGAATAGCTAATAATTATAAAGAAAGAAACTAAATTAGAAAAAAAGATTTAAAGAACTATAAATATTCTTAGAAATAAATTAAAAAAAGTAAAAAAAGTAATAAATAAGAAGGCTAAGGGTATTTAGAAATAATTAGTAAAGAATTTAAAGCTAGCTAATAAGCTTATTAAGAAAGTACTAAAGAAGTAGCTAGTTTCTATTATTTTTATAGTAAAAAAAAAGATATTTTAGTAATATTAACTAAGTAGAAAATATCTAGTAAGACTAGATATCTTATAAAAGTAATAATATAATAAGAAGTAATTATTTAAATTAGTAAAATAATTATATCAGAAATAATATAAGCAAAAATTATAATAGTACTAGCTAGGGGCCAAAGAAAAGCGGCTATTATATAACTGGTTTTACCTAGCTAGCTAGTATTTTAGTAATTTTAGCTAGTATTTCCCTCCTTTTATTTCCTTTCCTTCTCTCTTTCTTTCTTTTTCTTAGCTTAGTATTCTTAATATATAGGATTTTCCTGGATCTTTGAACCTTTATACTATTGCCTTAATCCTGCTATTATATAATACTAAGCTTACTTGACTTGGCCTATAGAGGCAATATAATACTACTAGTAAAGAACCCGTATTTATCTTTAGGGAGTAAGGACAGAATTCTGCTCCTAATATTTAATAGGTAATCTTCCCGAACTTAAAGAAGAAAGATACGTCCTTTAAGACCTAGTTAATCTCGGAGCCTGGCCCTTAACTAGAGCAGATAATATTTCTTATTCTCTATAACCTAGTTAATCTCGGAGTTTGGCCCTTAACTAGAGTAGATAATAACCTAATAGTCAGTTCTCTGCTAACTTAAAAGAAGAAAGACTCCTGCCCTTTATAACCTAGTTAACCTCGGAGTCTGGCCCTTAACTAGAGCAGACGGCATACCTTCCTCGATATTAACGAGAGTAAAAGAACCGGTACCCCCCTCCAAGAATTAGCAGTCTCCCGATTTAAAACAAGAGATACGATAGTCGGTTCCGGATCGCCGACTTAAAACGGAAGAGATATAATGGTCGGTTTCGGGTTACCGACTTAAAACGGAAGAAACCCGGTAATCGGTTCCAGTTCGCCGATTTAAAATAGAAGTAACTATCTCACGTTCGCCCCTTCCTCGTTCGCCCCTTCCTCGCTCGCCCCTTCCTCATTCGCCTCTCCCTCGTTCGCCTCTCGTACGGCCGCCCCTTATACGATACTACTCCTCCGATTCGGACGATTCGGACGATTCTGCCCCAAAGGCTTATATATAATATTCTCCTGCCAATAATTTATCGTCTGAGGAGACCGAGAGCCGACAAGATCCTGGCGAAGCTAGCTCTAGAGCCGAGTTTGAATCGGATACGGAGGCTAGTTCCGGTTCTGCAGACGATTTAGACGGTTCTGCGGATAGTTCTGGGGACGATTTGGACTCTGCAGATAATTCGGGCTCTACGGACGATTCTATAGATAGTTCCCTGGACGAGCTTGGTTCTTTGGACGGTTCTGTAAATAGTTTTGCGGACGATTCTGGGGATAATTTAGGTTCTATAGACGATTTTGGGTCTGAGGCTAGTTCTGGAGCCTCAGGTAAAGGTAGAGGTAGCTATTAGTCAGACAGTAACTATTAAAAGCTGGCCGTTTTGGGGATTTCGTCAAACCCTATTTCCTTTATATACCTGAATGAGGGCATTCAGATTTGGTTTCCGGGGGGGTAATGTAACGGCACTGGCTAGGGGCCAAAGGGGGGCGGCTATCACATGACTGGTTTCACCTAGCTAGCCGGCGTTTCAGTGGTTTTAGCTAGTATTTCCCTCCTTTTATCCCCTTTCCTTCTCTCTCTCCTTCTTCTCCTTAGCTTAGTATTCTCAATATATGGGATTTTCCTGGATCTTTGAGCCTTTGTATTATTGCCTCGATCCCGCCATCACAAAAATGAGTATATATCTAATTATATTATTATAATACTTTAGATAAAAAAACTAAATCACATAAGTTCAAGACCTTAATTGACTTTACCCTGTAATTTTATGTTATTTTGTTTGAATAAGTGATTATAAAGTAATTAATTATGAAAGCTCCGGGCAAAATGCAAATTCGCGTGTTTTTGATGCGGGACGTGTTTTGGTGCGGGGTATTAGTTATGTCAGGGTAACGGACCCGAGTTGTGTAATTGCTCACTGTTTCAACGCAATTTTGAATTAAATATAGTAGAAATTTGATGCCTCGGACTTTCGCAAGTGAGAAGATTCGTGACGGTATGGGCATTGCAGTTCAACCACGATCTACAGTGTCCACACTATGGAGATCGTTGTCGCGTGCCTTGCAACACTAACTTCATTGAATTTCTTTTGCATAATGACAATCACAATAAAATTCCTTCCGCTATCCTGTGCCTGGCAGAAAGGCAGATGCTATGCTGACTTGTGCGGTTTCCAAGACCAGATACTTTGGCTTGCCAGCCCTTTTCCTCTTCTTTATCGCTGCATCATCATCGAGAGCAGGCCATCGTGCTTCGTATCTCAGATTTCGGCCCTCGACAATAACCACAAGGTCGTATACAACTCTGTAGTGAGGTTTCGTGTGTACTACCCCATCACGACCGGCTTTGGGATAGATGATTTCGAGGTGACCTTTGTCGCGGAGGACTGTGACATCTGTAACGATTCTACCGGCACCTTGAGCATCTGCGAAACTTGTTAGATTAGGGACTGCAAAGTAAAATATAATATTACCTTTGTTCTTGCGATTTGTCAATGTGTAATGAGACTCTGTGGCTGTATCTGACACGTAGAGCAATTCTTCGCACTTCATTTCTAGAAGGGGCCCATTTTCATCGACTTCGAATGTATGGATCGCGCTAATAGGTGGGAATTCATGTACTGAAGATATCAAAGTGCTCTAAATCAAGTTAGTTATATTCCTGAGAGAGCTTTTGAGGAAGAACTAGCCTTTCTCATAAAATAATTAATAACGTCCACGTAACGCTCGCCGTCGACTTTGTCGATCTTGGGTGTTGTTTGCGAATGTGCTTTGAAAAGAAAAGGCTGGAAAGGCTCTCGGCGCAGAAAACCATAACTTGATTGTGCGAACCGCCGAGGTCCATTCTTCTTGTTCAATGCCCGAAGTACTGCTCCGGACGAGACTGCTGCATTCCTTTCTGATATTAGACAAGATCGGTTTCATAAGATGCTATGAACTTACTTTTTATTCGTGTCTTCAATGAGTCTGATTTGAGTAATATTTTCTTTCGCAGCATATTCTTTGAGAGCCATACGGAGAGCCGTGATCAGAGACGGTGAGCCAGCAAATCCGCCTAAGAGAAAGACGTTCTGTTTCTCTGTTAGTTGAATGGAGCTTCTGGTTGCGCATAAGACGAGGTGGGGAGATTCACGTTGATCGTTCTCCCTTTGCTCCTTGCGGTGTCGAGCTGGTTTTCCAAAACTTCCCACTGGAGCACAAAACACACAGAAGTTAGCAGCTATTTAGTCAGGGAAGATTCTGTGGTTGTTAGGTCAGGGTGATTTATTACAGACCCAAATGAGATCCACACAAAAGAAGGTGGACTTATTTTGGGGTAGAAGAGAAGATGTTAGATTACTTACGACACGCTGCAAGATAGGAGAAAATATGTCATCAAAGTCATCCCTGTGGTGTTAGCTTAGCATTTTCAACTGCTCTTCCATTGATCTTTTTCTCCGGCAAAGTCACTTACTGGTCTAATAACACAGTATTCATCCCGAAACGCTTTTCTGATTCTCCTGCCAAGCGCCTGCTCCTGTCACTTTTCAAGCCGATTATGCAGAAGCAACCATCGGGTTGGTCATAGATGTTGATTCTTTTCTTCCGAGGTTCGAAATCTAACGCGGCAAGCTTGTCGACAATGGCTTCCCGTGTTAGACCGTTGTCTTCGAGGTATGTCTCATCTCGCAACCGCACAAGTAAATGCTCCTTGAGCCTCTCGTTTAAGTAGCTACTCCCACAATTATCTCCTGAATGATGTCAAACACGATTCTCAATATTCCATGATGAAATATACCTCCTGGGTTTACCACCTCGCGACCAAGTTTCAGCGGCCAGCAAGTGTCGATCTCATACGTAACACAATCTACTGTTCCGCCACCCGCATCTAGATTAATAATCGTTTCGCCGGCCTGCAAATAATTAGACCGAAAATGAATGTATGCCATGAATCCGAAACTGGAACTTACCACCATTGCCTTAGTAATTTGCAGCAACCAGGTTAGTCCGGCTTCCGGTTCGGGAATTAGAAACAAGTTATCGACGCTTCCATTTTTCAAACACCCAAGTTCTGTTTCTTTAATGGCAGCTTCCACGCAGAATTGAAGTATTCTGGATGCCTCCTGAGTCCATATAGTAGGGACAGTGACCACAAACTCGACAGGACAACCTTTGATATACCCATCTTTTCTCGCCAGGTAGTTTTTGGTATGTTCAAATACTTTGATCAAGAAGTCGGTAATGACATCCCGGACATCTCGAACGTCGGGGTCTGCTCGTTTTCCGTACTTACGAATGATCCCTTGATTGATCAAGCGGGTGATCTGCCTGCGGAGGGTTTTCCGATCACCCTCAGTATAAGTTGTGCCGAGGAGCATTAATTTCGGTCGCTGAACGAGGAGATTCGAGTCGCGGGTAATCCACTCCTGGTATCGCTTCAATTGGACTGAGTAGCCCCAGAAAAAGTCTGCTGACTGACGCTCGGCAAAATTCAATTGATTTCTTCCTTGTTCTTCAACGGCAGGAGTTGAAAGGCCCTTTCCTGTATATCTATTTTCGGCCTCATTCTCATTGCCATCCTCATACTCTTCTTCCACAATTTGTGTACTGCTCGGCTTCGATTTTGGGGCATCGAATTGTTCGTTTTCATTGAGCGGAGCTCTTTTCATGGGAATTGGCGAGTACCAAGTTTGGGTGGGTACCTGTTCATCTGCTTCATATGGCGCATCAGGCCAATCTTTGACGGTCTTGATGTCTGCAGCCCTCGCCGATTTTTCACTTCCCTCGGTTTCAATGGCGTAATAAGATATAGATGTGAAAGTCGTTCCATAATCGATGCCAACGACGAACTTCTTCCTCGGATCGAGTTGTGCATCGACTTGGTGTGCATCATTGTAGTCAACACTTGCAAAATCAGAGGTGACCCTCGAATGCTGATGTCCAGGCGGTGCTGGTCTAAGGAAAGAAGAAGAATTTCTCTGTTGGAGGCCTGACCTTGTCCTTTGTGCGAGGGTTGTGCGTCGTTCTGCCATGGTAGTCATGGACGGCCGTTCCATGGAAAGTTGGCGAGACGCCATCTTCTAGAGTTGAATTGCCGTCGATGAAATTGAAATAGTTGCGATTGATGAGCCGTTGCAGACGAGACGTTTGTGTTAGAAAATCTGCAAAGCTGGGACGAGATGTAAATTTACAGAGCCTCAAACTGAACAAGAACCCGACATGCTTCAAACAACGCACGAGAGGCGTCCGTACTCTCCTTATCGGGCCAAAATGAGCACGTTCCCCTTTGTGAGGAATTTTTGGAAGGAGCTGCTGGGATAATTTGAAGAGCTTCACCAACCAAATTGTGCACACAAACGGAGCAAAAACTGGTCGGTAAACGCCCTGTGAGCATTACAAGGGTTTGAGCATGGACAAAGCTGCACCACTCATTTCGGAATCCTGGTGAGACTTTCTGACAGAAGCCTCCGTGATCAAGGACGTCTTCCTGTGGTGCCACAGTTGTACCACCAACTTGCCGCGTGGAGGCATAATCGGCACACGCCATTTCTTTCACACGCCCGCCATGGCTGAATCATGCGGGGCCAATGCAGCCACCGCTACTTGGGTGCTCGTCTGTGTTTGAGAATAGCGAGACAACGAGCTGCTGAAAGGACGAGGAATCGTTGAGCGGGTTTCTAATTGTAGCACCAACCACTGGGAGGATTATGAGAAACCCGAACGTAAGAGACGAACCGCATCTCAACTCAGAGAGCTGGGGCGAGAGTTAATTGGTTCGTGGAAGGCACCTTTTTTCTCACTTTGGTCAGGCAGCTGACAGTTTGGTGTCGTACAAAAAGTCAAGCTGACAAGGATCCTAATTTCGTGACTGGCCAGGACCGCTCGTTGTAGCACACAACCTGGAATACCGGCCCAGCCGCTCCTTTAATTGCACTGTTTCTGCTTTGATGATCGGCACAGCCACCGACGCAGAGCATTTTCTGGAAAGCAAAGCCGGCGGCAAACTCCACGGAGTCGCTTGAGCCGCAAGATTTCCCTTCCACCAGCTCCATCTCGCAAAATTTCAAACAACAATCTCAGGATCGATCATTTCACTTTCTTGTGACTCTCCCAAGACCGCGATCGGCCCCAATCATGGCTGCCAACATCTGGATAACTTCTGATTTAGTATTATTGATTGCATGGTTAGAATTTTGTCGCCAGAACGGGATCGATTTCGAAACCACTATCATCAAATTGCTTAGGGAATCAAGGAAACGGCAAACTGGCCGAGGGTATCCCTTCACCTGGAAACAGGTCAAAGATAAATTAATTGACCTGGCTCGAAAAGATAAAGACCCAAAAAGGTCCGTAAAGGACTACGCTCGTCTCGACGAAATACTTCTCAAGGGTTCAGCTTGCTTTCCACATCTTGCAAGAGAACTTCAACCACAAATCGATGTGGCTGTTGAGCGATTCCACGAGTCACATGCTCACTCAGAGCCACAGAAAACCAGTAGAACCAATCAAGAACCAAGCGAACGGAATGAAAGAGAAGCACTGGAAACGCCAAAGCTGTTTCCAAATCTGGTGAGCATTTCACACGGTGAATATCCCTGAACCGGAAGAGATACTAAGCTGTTGTCAAGATATCTTCGAATCGCGGTCTAAATTCCACAAATGGAAGAAGTCTCCGCCTCCACACTGTGGTTTCGAACGGACCTCTTTGTTCGGAAGCTTCCATAAACATGAACGCAACAACTCCATCGAAGTCTCAACCGCGGATCGACATTCGCAGAAGGTGCTCGCCACGAGGTGGTGGTTGGCAGCGGTCTCAATCTATCGACATTCACCATGACGCTGTTCGAAGGGTAGAAAGATTGTGGGAGGAAGACACCGTGTCTTTGCATGGACAAATCGCAATTCTCGAGAAAGAAAAACGGAAGCTCTTGGCCATGCTTCAAAACTCAGACAACGCACGGCAGCACCGCGAGTCTTTTGGTCAAGACCCGAAAGAATCACAATTTCGCCTTTACCACCACACGATTTGGGAATTGCAGCAACTTAACATGGACTTGGAAAGTGCAGCTAACTTTTTCGACCTGGATGCATCTGAAAGCCGGTCTTTGCAAGTCGAGGTTATTGACGAAAGCATGGACCAGATCCAATCGGAGCTCGAATCAATACTAGGCAACTGTGACACCACAAACTTACAACTCAGTACCGCTATTGATCACGGCTCTGACCTTGAGGCGCTGTTATTGTCATGTTTGAATCTGCCCAACACCCCAGAGCATCTAGAACTACGATTGAAAGAGTGCATATCACACTTCGAAGCTCCAATACTTATGAGAGCTTTGGTCCTGGCTGCATTGAACGACTGGGTATTCAACACCCCTTTCCCTCCATTCATGGAGGAGGGCGGCGCCTCTTTATTTCTGAGATCAATTGAGGAGATAGCATTGGAACATCGTGAGTGTCATCTATGTCCTGCAGAGATCACTACCGAGCCCAAACTAACGAATACAGGCGACTGGGCGTGGCTCCGCAATCTGCAGACGGCTGCATACTCTCGGTTTCTCGCAAGCAGCGAGTTCAAAGAAGGACTGCTCCCAATAAGATCAAGGTTGCTTGCCGATCGCTTGAGCAATGCTGCTGCCTTCCTGATTATTCCAGTCTCGTCTGAAAGTGGCCATGCCGGCGGTCCTAAAGTGGTCGACCCAATCCTCGAAACTCTCCATTCTCGATTCAACTCCTTGTTTTTCGCGGGTCTCAGGTTTAAGGCAACTACCGCAGCCACAGACAATAGGTATGAGTTCGCGCTCGAACCCCTCGGCACCATGACTCTCGAGATGACTCAAGGGCCGGCACCAATGAGGACGTTTACGACGCACGACAGAGGTCTAAGAGGAGACACCAGCAGGTCGTGGTTCCACGCATCGTTGAGAGTTTACGATGCAGGACCCGCAAATTGGCTCAATCCCCGATCCAATGCCATTATCCAGACCGACAACTTTGTCCCTGGACTGTCGAAAACGAACTGCAATTGCATCTACAAGAAGGACATAACGGTCAAAATATCAGATATCAGACATGGCGGTTCAGAGATGCAGAATATTGGCGCGAGTAGGAATTTGAAGAGGTCACGGCGAGAGAGTTTGGAATCGCCTTCAACACTCCGGCCTGACACCGCTGGTCTTGGACCAAGTTCGTGCGGTAGAACAGATTATGCACAAGACCAAAGAGTGTGCAAATCAGCTGGATATATATTTTCTAGATCGATAGATGATCGACTAGAGCAGAATACGACTGACTTCTTGTCAGCCAAACGAATCTCTGTGTCTGAGTACCGGCGCGACGAGGATAACGACAGCGGCAGCGTTTCTGATTTGACATCAATTGGAGATCCGTACGAACCGAATCCAGACATGACGAGGGCAGAAGTAGAGGCCATGAGATCAGAGAGAACAGTGCCCGCTCAACGCGCACCGGGTACTCGGACGGCCGGGGACGGTTATGTATGTCCTGCGTGTGGCACCTCCCTATCCAACTTGGATAGTTTGCGGAGGCATCAAAGAAACGGTACTATATTCCATGTTCAAATTAGTTGTTACGTCCTGACCCGGATTACAGGATCATGCCGCCGATGCAAAATTTGTGCGCGGAAGTTTCCAAGCAATGAAGTTCTTCGAAAGCACCAGAAATCTGACCACCCCACGGGAGCCACGATTCAAAAGCGTCAACGGCTAGGCCAAGATGTTTCTTTCCGCAATATAGAAAATGCTGAACCGGACAACAGATACGTGTGCGAGAACTGCAATGAGGAGTTCAACCAGATTTCAAATCTTCAAAGACATCTGAGGAATAGTAAGTTGATCACAGGAACACCTCTTGAATTGATAAATTTCTAAACCCCAGTAGAATCTTGTTCGAAATGTTTTAGGTGTGGCAAAGAGTTCGCCACTGCGGACGAGTTTCACAGCCACATGAGGATCAGCCATAGTCTACAGTTCATCGAAAGCCGTTGGAGGCGCCTGGATCTCGGAGAACGAGTGAGAGAGCCACTTGAGCCGCCTAAAATTCCGAATTCAACCACATCCGAAGACAAAGGCAACGTGGTCACTCACAATGAAAGCATTCACGTTGTGGATTCCAACAGGCAATCTTCTCCACCATCCTTGGGAGACAATAAGCATCATTGCTCAACCTGTGACGGCACATTCAGTTCACAATACGCCCTCGATAGGCACAAGGGGCGCCAACGACGTAAGTTCTTTCTCTGGAGAGCTTCAATTTGCAAATGAATAACTCCGGATAGACCGTTTGCGTGTGCGCGAACTTGAAAAAGCATCGGCCATTCAGCAACAAGGAACTTTGTCTAACCATCCCAAGTCTCATCCTGCAAAAGGGCTGCTGCAAGATAGAACTTTCAAGGGCAGGGTTGAAAAGCAGAGGCACCCAAGAGCATCGACTGAGATGCGCAGAGAGCCCACTCCAGAGTCACGACATATCAACAGGATCATGGCCACCTTGGCCAAAGTCAACGAGCTCGAGAACAGTCCTACGACGAGGTCGACGGAATCCGATCAGCAACAGACGGAGACTACTGCTTCCACTTTCCAACACACAGAAGCTACACACGCGGTATCCGAGACCGCAGGAATTGACGGCGGGGCAAGGATTGGGGAATCGGCCCAGGCCCCGAAAGTCCCTGCCAACTTTGGAGGACAGTTCTCTGCGCCGCCAAGAACATTTGAGAACGTCGCTGCAGCGCCTTCTTCGTGTACGAAGAGTGTAATGTGATTCAGAAGAGGCGAGGGGGAGAGGTTGGAATTGTTGAAAGAAGTTAGCTAGAAGTCGAAAGTCTTTTCATTGAAAGCTTGGCCTCGGCTGATTACCCCACCATGACACGTGACTTCCCCATTGACAAAAGGCGAGCTGTAAGAAATAAGAGCAGAGATTCTCTAGCTTCATAGCTTCCGTGGTGTGCGAAAAAAAAAAAAAAAAAAAAAAAGCTATTTCTTTATATTCCAAGATTACACTATCTAGGATGCTCAAGATTTTCGATTTGAACTAGTGGCGACAAGCATTTCAGCAAACCTGTAAATATTCACGTGACTCGCTTCGAAAAGGGGCTCGCTTGAATTATGAATGCAAAACACTTTGTACGACAGGGTAATCTTCCGCCCACCCCAGAAGTTGAAATTCATTAGGTCCTTTACCCGTTCATACCTTCCACAAGTTACTACTAGTTGTTCGTGAAAGCCATCTGGCCATACTAGTGACTTGGCCACCACCAAATTGATGTTCCTCGCCAAACTTCATGCACGGACCAGCCAGCCAGAAGTATCTCCCATACGAATTTACTATGTAAAATACTTGGCCAAGTCCCTAGTATGGCCGGATCGCTTTCATGAGCCACCAGTGATAACTAGTGGAAGGCACGAACGGGTATACAGAGCATCTGGCTTTGTAAGCTTCTCGTAGTAATTGGAGAGGGGTTACCCCGCATCCGCGTTTTACCCCAAAAGTTGGGGAAATTCGGTAAGTGATAATCCAGAATCTCAACTTCAATCAACGAGTATCACTTCAACCGAGCCGTTTGATCTTTGATCACTCAGCAGAACCTCTACTGCTATTAGCCATGGCATCTTACCTTCCAGCCACCATGCAGGCTCAAGTCCTCACCTCCTTCAATGCGCCCTACGAGCTCACCATCCTCCCGATCCCCACTCCAACAGACCATGACCTCCTCATCAAGGTCGGCGCAGCTTCATACTGACATACGGATCTGGTCTATGCATCTGGTGATATGGGCGATACGCTCCCTATAATACCATGTCATGAGTTTGCCGGCACAATCGTCTCTGCCGGTCCACTTGCGTTCTCTGCAATGCCATCCCTGAGAGTAGGGACCCGCGTTGGTGTCCCAGGCCGAAGCTACCGCCCCTGTACCAAATGCTGGGAGTGTACAAACAACGATGACGATCCTAAGGGATATTCAGTTGCCTGTCCGAAAGGAGAAAATCTGGGTATCACGAGGGATGGGGGATTTCAACAATATGCGCTTGTCGACGTGAGGCAGGTTGCCAAGATTCCTGACGAGTTGACGGATGTCGAAGCTGCGCCATTAATGTGTGCTGGTCTGACGATATTTTCGGCATTGTTGAAATGCGGGTTGAAGGAGGGTGGGAAAGTGGGAATCATTGGTTGTGGTGGGGGCTTGGGACATTTGGGACTGCAGTTTGGTGTTCGGATGGGATTCGAGGTTATTGGAGTCGATGCAAGCGACAATGCCTTGAAGCTTGCCAGGAATTTAGAGACGAAAGCAAAGATCTTTGACGCAAGGCTGACGAAAACAGAGGCTTTGTTGGAAGAGATTGGAGAAGGAGCTGATGAAAAGGCCAAGGGAGAGTCTGGACTTGACTGAGAGCCAACAGGGCTTTGATTATGGCATGAATTTGCTGAGAAACCACGGCAAGTGTGTGGTACTATCTTTCCCTGCGTCTGGGTTTCAAGTGTCTGCAACGGATCTGGTTTTCAGAGATGTCCAGGTTCTAGGAAGTTTAGTGGGGAAAAACAGAGTGCTAAAGCAAATGTTGGCGTTCGCGGCAGAGAAGAATGTGAGAGCAGTAACGAGGACTTATCCATTGCGAGAGCTCAACGAGTTAGTTGAGGTGTATAAAGAAGGGAAGGGAGGAAAGTTAGTGATAGACATGACACTGTAGGCTACTGCATGCAATTTCGTGCTTAGCCACTCAACTTGCGTACAGCTTCTAAATAGACTCCCACGTTCAACCACCTCATGTGCCCCCTATATCTTCCTATCCAATCCCTCCATCTTGCAACTTCTTCTCTCGCCCTCATACTTTCTGTTCACGACTATCTTCCACGCGCGCTGGTGGGGTGTCCTCCCCGAGATCTGCGGATTTGATATCGAAATTTTCAATCCTCCTATCAATCTCCTCCGTCTCTTGTTTATCGGCATGCGTGATATGAACTGCCACGGGGTCACCAAACAGCTCGTTGATTTCCTCCAGTGATAGTCCTTTCATCTGTTTCTTGTTAGTCCCGTTCCCTTGAGATTTAGAATGGGATATCCTACTTCGGGAATGAACTTCCAGACGAGGAAGAAGGTGCACACATCTAAGCACACAAACACTACGTAGAATAGGTACCCAATGTTGGCAAAACCTACCAATTTTGTCAGCTTCCCCTGATTTTAGGTGACTTAGAATGCGTACTTATCGGTGCAACTCCAACGAACAACGCAGCCGCACAGTACTGAGCCGCCAAACTGATCGCCACCCCAATACTTCTAAATTCCATGGGGAACGTTTCGGAGACAATGACATATTGCTGAGCATCCATGCAGCTTGCAAAGAAAACGACATATAAAAAGATGAAGAAAACACCAAAGCCTAGACCAACACGATTGGTAGAGCCGGTTTGAACGAAGTACTTAGTCAGAGCCGCTTCCGCTGCGAGACATGCGGCGGTAGAAGCGATGCCAAGCATAAAGACATTTTTCCGGCCGAATCTATCCATGAGGAGGATTGCACCGTTCATGTTACCTAGCATCCCAAAAACGTTCCAAATTGCCAGTAAGAGGATTGGGATGCCACCGTGTAGGCCAAGCTGATTGTAGATATGGACTTGGTAATCTGATTCCCGAATCAGCAATGATCTTCACGACCTAGAGAAGAAGAATATGTGAAAGTGTACATACTATTCATAACCAGGTTCATTGAACAGGCTACAGTCAACGTCGCTCCAACGCCAACCACCAATCTCTTCCTGTAATTGGGTTGCTGGAAGAAATGCCACCATTTGGTGATCCCGAGGGTTTGCATTCTACCATGGTCCAAAGTAAATTGTTCCGTCATCTGGTACATTTCTGATTTGGCGAATGTGTCATTGGCATCGTTCGGGTCGGAATGCAGCCTTTGGATTACTTTCCATGCTTCTTCTTTGCGATCGTTGCTCAAAACTTAATGAATGCATTGGTCAGATCTTGGAGTAAGTGAGAAGCAGTGAGAACTTACGCCATCGAGGACTTTCTGGGAGGAAAAGAGATCCGCAAAGGAGAATTAACATCGGTACGAGCTGAAGCGCGAATGGAAAACGCCATTGAAATGATGATTTAGCTGCGTAAAAACAGCCGAATCCAGTGAAGCCCGAAAGGGAGTATCCGCAGCCTAGTCCTGAGCCGTGAAGGCCGACATGGAATCCACGGCTTTGTGGAGGCGAGAGTTCTGCTTGGTAGAGAGGAATCCCGCAAACAAGCATACCAACTCCCCATCCCATGATGAAGCGAGAAGCGAGATACATTGGGATGTTGACTGAGCCGGCCATCAACGCTGCTCCGAATATGCAGACGCATGATGCTATCTGGATAGTGCGAAGTCGACCAAATGCAGTTGCTGTCCAGGCAATGAACAGACAGCCGAGAGTTGTACCAGCGAAGAATATCCCGTTCATAGCACCTGATTATGTTTGAGCGCAGTTCTTGGAAGCAACGAACAAAGTTTGCGGCTTACCTATGATGGCATTTGTGTAACCAAGCCCTGGCCCCTCTTGGGCGAGATTGAAACTCTCAAAGAACTGGGGCTGTCCCAAGACTTGTCCGATAATACTTGCAGCATATCCTAGAATTTCAAAGTAAGCTTCGAGCCCTCCCTCCTTTCGAGAGGAGGACCAAAACCTACCATATCCAATTGAGCCAATCGCAACGAAAAGCGTAACCCAAGTGGTCTGCCTATTCTTCTTTGGTGGCATCGAGAGGCTTTTCCTTTACCTACGAAGGGGAAAGTTGAAAACAACTATGTGGGTAATCGAATTGAGTTCGTATCGTGTATCGATTGGTAAAGGTTGACCAACAAAAATTCAGTTTTGAACCGGTGCATAAACTTGCGTCTATAAACTACCGGCGACCTCCTAATGCTCCCCAGATTCTGGCAGTAAAATAACTCCAACTTTGGAGATGTTGGAGATACAGGCTAAGGGGTTTAATTCATGGAATGGAATGAGGGGAAATTGCGGGGTGCATGCTGGGATCATGTTGATGGAAAAGGCGGAGATGCAGAAGGCCCCACTTTTTGTAAGATTTTACCTCCGCAGGAAACAGACTTCCGTCACTTGGCAATGACGCCAAGGTCGATTGACTAAGACGTTGTTTGTTGCCACCAATTTGGATCATTTTTATGAAAGCAAGAGCATGCACAATTGTTATTTGTAATGGAGTGTTGGGGATATAGATGTTAAATAGGATATGTCTTAGATCTTGCCAAGCCATTCCTCAAACTCGTTTCTAGTCCTGATTAAACACAGCCTTAACCCCGTCCATCCCCTACGGTAATGGGATTTTGTGAAGGCAGTTTTGAAGAAGAGAACGAGTGCGGGGAAATAGTGGGGCTTGAAAAAGTAGGCCTCTTCCCTGACTTTGGGAAACTCACGGAAACCAACCAAAATGCCATGATAGATAATCCCCGCTTTTAATGCTGGTGCTTGAAGATATTAGATCTCAAGAAGAGGGTTTCTGTAGATGGAGACAAGATAATTGACAGTCTAATCACTATAGTACTTAGAAAACTTCTTTATTCTTTGATCCTTATACTTAATGGGTTGGTTAGGAAGGCAGGGTTCTGGGAGTTTCGAATTCATTTGGAATTGCAATTTGTATCAAGACTGGATTGACAAGGATCTCCTTGCGAAAAGTAACTGCAGTCTTTGAGCGGCAGAAATCGATTCATCAGAAGTGTATTGATGAAACAACTACACCACCAAGTTGCGGCCACTGGCCGGGAAGACAAAAGCAGGTAATGTTGAGAAGGTGAATTCAAGGCCATTATAGAACTACAATGAAAATAAAACAAAGCAAGCTGCATGCGTGGGGCCAGGGCTGCATTTGCCAAAAACTCTCAAAACGGCCTCTCGAACTATGGTTGGCATACCTCTAACACGAGTCGTAATACTTTGATCAGACTAGCATACGACAATATCACCGGCTCAAACATCACTAATCCGTATAGATACGATGCGGATTGTGTATTTGTTAGTATAAGCTCCCCGAATGCCAGTTACTAGCTGGTGTTGCCGAATTTGGTCGTGAATGTTACGCCGACAAGGACGACGGCAAGCCCTTCTCCTAGCCAAACGGGGACGGGGATAGCGACTGGGAATGGCGCTTCGGGGATGACGAGTAAAAAAAGCGTGGGAAGGAGAATTGAGATGGAATCCGGCGGGTGGGTCGCGTGGGGGGCTTTGCTTTTGGCCGGCTTGCTTTGACGATGTGGTGAGGGGGTGCAATTAAAGAAAAATACCACATGTGATGCATGTATTGGCATTTAAGATAATGTAATGTAATGAAACTACAAATTTCTCCACTCTGTTGAGAAATTCAAGATACTTAGAGAGCAAGAAGGAAAAGGCTGAACTGAAGGAACAAGGCAGCCAGCTTGCAAATCAACGCTTTTGATAAATCTAGAGATCTGAAGCCGGAAGGAATCTTCGCTAAGACCCTCGATATATCTCCTGGAGTTTTGGAAAGCCTCTTGCTGCCGCGTCAAATCCTCTCCCTCAGCAAAAACATCTCGAGCAGGAGTAGCTCCTTCTTAGTTCAGCCGTATTTCTTCAAAAAAAAAAAAAACATTCAATCTCATCGACCTCCTTTCGTTTCCTTTTCAACCCCTGTTGGATTTCATCACACGCTTGACGCTTCCTCCTCAATGTTCGTTCAATCCAGTGTGTCAAAAAATAATTAAGGTAATTAATTATATTTAATTAAATTAATTTTCTAATTAATTATAATTTTGATTATCGACTTCCAAAAAATATATATATATATTTAATTATTTCTAATTATTACACGAAAGTCACATAAAAGTCATATAAATAATAAGTTCTCTTCTTTTTCTTTAAATAATATATAATTAAAGTATAAAGAAAGTAAAGGTGAGTTAATTTTCTAAGGAGAGAGAAGGAGAGCAAGGTAATATATATATGCGAACTATTTGCTCCGGATATTATATAACTTTACTATATAGCTAGAGAAGGCAAAGCCCTTATTCTAGTACTTATTTACAAAGATAAGTAAAGTAAGTAAAGGCGGTATACTAGCTATTAATTCTATTATATTAAGGCAATATCTAAGTTAGGCTAGAATAAACTTTATTTTTGCGCCATAATACTTGTACTGTTTTTATAGTTATATGTAATATTATATAACTAAATAATTAATTATAATTTGATTATTATAATTATGACTTAATTCGATTTGATTACCAGCCAATAATTATAATTAATTAAATTATCTGACACACTAGTTCAATCTCATTACACTCTTCCCTTTTCTGATTCTTTGAAAAGCTTTCTTGCTTTCTCAACCTTTTTAAAGGTGCTCAACTAATCCAGGGACTCTTAAGTTCCGATTGCTCTCTCATATAAGGATAGGAAAAAATAGTGGTGCAGTCGCAAAAGCCGTCTGCTCAAGTTTAAAAACGTGTAATTCCTTTTAGCAGAATTAATTATTAAGTTGACCGTCCTTCAACCACCCGCTCTCGAAACACACTACCAACCTCCATCACATCGGAGGCACACTTCCAGCGACTGGCTCAATACCATCACAAACCTTCTCAAAACTCTCCATCGCCAGATTTCCCACCACTGTATCTCCCTTCCCAAACTCAAGCACCGCCCCATTGGGAGTATAGGCTTTCCAGCCCTTAGTCTCTAACCCCGCGGGACCATCCGTGATGAATGCGAGATACATATCCTGCATACTGCGGCTAACAACCAGCTCGAACGGCGTGCTGCCTCCATGTGCGATGCCCGAGGTGCCGAAAAACATCGGCAGCTCGGAACAGTGGTAGGCACCTTCCCAGGGACGGGGTGAGATGTTGGTGAAGTTTCCGGCGTAGAGGTAGCGGTAGGTGGGGACGCTGAGAGCGTAGCGGTTTCTGCATGAATTAGATGTGTTGATATAGAGGGAGAGGAAATACTTTGTGGTTTGGACGGCGGGACAAGTGAAGTGGGAGAGGGTTACGTAGTTTGCATTCGTCATGTCAACGCCTTCAGAGTTATAGCGTACGAGCGAGACACCCTCGTTGGTATTTGTGCCGATGATTGCGGGCTGTTTCTCATCAGATGGTCTTTCTGGTGTATTGAATTCTTTAAAGGATGCAAACTTACCAGCTTCGTATAGTTTCCGGCAAGGGCACGAGCAGTGTAGTTTGAGAACGTGACGACATCATCAGGCACCGGACTAAAGTTCAACGACGGCGCGGTTCCGTTCTCGTTGTAGTTCTTCAAGAAACTCTCAATTTCACTGAAGCTCACGTTACGCATACAGTCGAGTTCAGCACCGGCATTCAAGCCACCGCAGCCTAACTGTCCAGCGACAAAAGTGAAATTGGTGTGTGTAGGATCGTTGGTGAGAAGTGTTGGGTGGAGAGCTGTTCCGGAATCCATAATCAGACCTGTTACGATTGGATTCTTGGGATACGCAAAATTGTAATAGTCAACAGATCCCGCACCAGCTGATTGGCCCCAGAGAGTAACGCGTGAGGGGTCGCCTCCGAAAGAAACGATATTAGAGCGCACCCATTCCAGAGCTAGGCGTTGGTCGAGAAGTCCCAGGTTGTATTCGTTCTGGTTTTGGCCTGCGGCGTTGGGGAAACCGAAGATATTGAGACGGTAACTGCAAATGTTAATTTACAACTTTAGAGGGAGGAGCGAAAGGCTTTACTTCAGGGCAACAACGATGTGGCTCTGCGTTCTTTCAACCCATTGACTCGGAATCTGATACTCAACGTCTAGCCCTCCATTTTGGAAGCCACCACCGAACATCCAGACTAATACGGGTAACTTTTCGGTGTAATCGGTGGCAGGAGTAAGAGGTGACCAAACATTGATTGTTAGACAATCTTCACTGGTTGGGTTGTTGATGTTGAATTCCGGCACGTCTACAGTATATACATCAGGCCCAGAATCCGCAAATTGCGGACACGACGGGCTGAACCTAGTAGCATCAATGCTGTCCTCTGGAGACTTCATGACTGGTGCAGCCCAACGCAGGGAGCCGACTGGAGGCTCCGCATATGGAATGCCAAGGAACTGGACGACGTGAGGAGTTGTGCCGTTGATCAAGCCGTAGGACATTCCAACAGTTGTGTTGACTTGCAAAGAACCGATGGCTGTGCATGACTTTACCAGAGATCCTGCTAGGAAAAATATTCCTAGCATGGACCGGATTGTGGGGGTGAGAAAGGTCATGACTAATGTTCAAAATCAGAGGGAAAAAGATATCTGCGTTTGCAAGGAAAAGCAGTGGGGAGAAGAAATATTTGACATGAAGGCAGTGTGGTCGGGAAGACTGTGGCAGCACTCGGTGGGATGGATTCCCAAGCGTGGTACGTGGAAGAGCTAGTGGTATTACTCGTGGTACCTCTAAAGCGAGGACCCCTTTGCGCGTCCCACAGCCAACGCGATTCTTATCAAATCACGTCTAAACCCCCCTAGAATCAATACAGAGGACTCTATGCTCTCCTTCCCTGTTCTACGGAAACATAAGCCTGGAGACATCTGGCCGGCTCTTGTCCGGTCTACCGTACGATTTATAAAGCGAGACGGCAAAGGCTACAAAGCAATCTTTAAGAAAACTAGCATCTCTAAGTTAATAGTTAGACGTATCTGCAAGTCAAAGTCCCCTAGAACCACGCACAAGGGCAAGGAATTTAAGCCTAAACTTCTCAAGCCAGGGGATTTCAGCGCATTTTCCGCTTCGTCCGAATTATAAACCAATCGCTGCAAGGCATAGGAACGCGTTAAGGCAGAACTTGGCCTCAAAGCCTTAATTTCTACTATTTGCAACACTATAAAAAGATACGTATTACGAGTAATATTACTTGCTCTTATTATTCAATATTATAAATAATTCTCCAAATTTTTCGTGGAAAAACATTTAAGAAAAAAGTAATAAGATAATTTCGAGAAAGTTAAAATAATTTTTTTCTTTAAAAAATATTTATAAAAAAGAAATAAAAGAAATAATATTTAAATAAATCTAATATTATTATAATATTATTATTACTCATTAAATAATTTTTTGAATTATATAATATTACTAAACTAGAATTATTTGTTTTTTTATTATATATTAATATTATTTTAAAGTTATTTTAAAAAAATATTTATATAAATATAATATTATATATAAATATAGTATTATATATGAAAATAAACAAGTTGTAATGGGTACACGTGGCGGCGCATGGGCGGGTATTAGATATCGTGGATCTGGTTTCCTATTTTGGGTAAAGCTTGCATCGGAATCGTACGGATCGCATGGGATCGCATCTCCTAATCAAGTAAAGGGCTTCGTATGCTTGGCTAAGCACTAGGGAATATATAGGGAGATGCTCCTAGCTTTTGAAAGGGGCATCGATTAGTCTTTTATTAGAATCAAGTCTTGGGAATCAGTTATACTTGCGAGTGTCACTCTGCAGCATACTTACCTTGGCTACTTGTGTATTACCCTGCTATTGTGTGCCTCACACAAGTATATAAAAATAATTTAATTTAATATAACTTGATATATTATATATAAAGTATATATATCTCTTTAAAAATAAATATATATATATATAATATAAAATATAATAATTACTTAAAAGTGCATTCTTATTTACTTATATAATATAGAATTAAGTGCTCTTAAGTTATAAGTAAGTTATAATACATATAAAGAAAGTTTTAGTTTTAGTAGAAATAAATATTTAAAGTCCCCAGAATTAATATAAGAGCTAGTTCCTCAGAGAAATATTCGGATCCACAATGAAAGGTACCGATAAGGCGAATTATTTTAGCTAGTTGGCTAGAACCGTGTGCGAAACATTGTTGGGTGATTATCCTTTCATCTGGTGAGACATTGGCTCGCTAGCAGCCACACGCGAATATCCACTGTTCAGTCAGAATAACCGTCTCCTCTAATTAAGCCATCCCTCATTTATACGGCCGCTAGCACTACCAAAGTTTCACTGGGCGAGGGGATAGGATAGCAGTACAAGGCGGGGTATATCACGATCTGCGGGATAAAATGCTCCCTTTTCTTACACAAAGCAACACATCTCCTAGACACAAGATGTCCAGAGTCAGGGGTGCTTCTCGCAATGGCTAAATGGCGTCCCAGGATCGTCAAAATGTGGTCTCTGTAACCCGAGTAGCTATTCAGTAAAGGCTATTATGCGCGAGCTGAAAAATAATGTGTAAGGAGACAAAGTGTCGTACAATTCAATGGTGCTTGATATTTGGCCTTCGGGGCACTATACTGAGGTCTTTAGCGAGCTACCTGACAAAACTCGAAATCGGAATTAGAAATCCAAAAATTGCGACTCAAATCCTTTAAATTAATTAATTAAAATAGAACTACTTAACCTTTCCACCTAACTTTACGTATCTTTCTATATGCTTAATTAATTACTTATATTGGAATACTTTTTATTTAAAAATAAAAGCTTTATTAAAACTTAAAAAACTAGAATTCCGAAATACTTTTTAAGGTTGCGAGAAAGAGTATACGGGCCTAGAATATATTTAAAGGCGAATTGAAAGAAGTAAAAAAAGGAGGAGTGGGCGGCGGGGAGGTGAGAAATCAAGTTTTATAAGAAGATAATTAGTTAGTTTTTAGTTTAATTTAGCTTCTTTATTTTAGTATTATTAATAAGTTATAATATTATTTAATAATTAATGAGTAAAAGTAAAGGGGAAAATAAAAATAATAAAAAGTAATTAAAAAAAACTCTCTTATCACGTGACTAATCAAGCGTTAATCAAATTAATCTTAATTTAATTTAATTAAAAAAAAAATCCGAATTACGCAAATTATAATACTTACTTAATTAATTTAACTAATGTAATTATTTATTTAATATACTACTTGGAGTACGGTTTATATTTAGCTTTTCAAGTTGAAAAGAAAATCAGTGTGCCCCTGTTAACCCCTGCAACATCCCTGTTTTGCTCGCATAGCATTCCTAAAACATAGGTATACGCCCAAAGAGGAAATGACTGGAGGCTAACTCTAATTAGAATATATAAGCACCCTCTCTGGGCAAACCCTAGAACGGGTGCTTATGCATTTGAGGATTTGATTTCGTTCTAGCCCCTTTCCCCGTACTTGGTAAGCAAATTTTTGTAGTTTTATCGTAAAGTAAGGCTTTCCTTTTCGGCTATTCTTTAGCCCCAGGCACGTGCACAAAAGGTAGGCAAGAAGCACGTCCCTCTCTACCCTCCAATAATCGCTTAAAAAAAGTATATCCTCAAGGTATGTAAATGTGTTTCGCACGCCGTCGCGCGCGGCGTGCCCGTAGCCCATTAAAGTCCTGGTAATAATAGAGATAAGCTTTAGAACTCCAAGAATTAGCTTCAATACACGCGCTCAAGGTATATGCCTATACTCCGCACGCCGTCGCGCGCCGGAGGTGCGTGACGCCGTGCCCCTAGCCTATTAAGGTCCCCAGCATTGGTAGGGGATAAGCTTTAGAGCTCCCAGAATTAGCACGTTGGCTAGTTCAAGCAATAAATAGTAATGAATTAAGTTACTATTGTACTTGTAGTTCTACTGAGTACCCGCATGCGTTCCGTGAGACCTTAAGACTGAAAACATTTCTTGATCTCATGGCTGGCGGCGAGATATCCCCCGCAGCACTCGGCATGCATCTTTCCGTCGAGCATCAATTCTTCCCAGCAAAGCTCCAAGCCTTCCAGCTCTCGCTGGGCTATCTTCTGCAAAGCCAACTGGTCCTGAGCAGACAAAAGATGCAACCGAGACCTTACAACCGCGACATGCATCTTCGCAAAAGCAGTTGCCATCCCAATGAGCAAGCCCTTGTACTCTATTGGCCGCAGCGAGATGTGCAGCATATGGACCGCAAATTCTAATGGCCAAGATTGGAGAACGTGTTTGAGTGAAGGGAGTGCAGCGAGAGAGAGACCATGTTGCACCATCATATTCATGCCAATCCCGGCAAGTCCGAGGCTATTGGGACGTCGGACTTCACCCATTCCTGCAACACATTCCTGCTCAATGTGAAACCCTCCTTGCGCACGTAGGATCTTGATTATCGTGCAGGCGAACTCATTATTGGTCCTGAAGGGAACGGAGACAAATGCTTGGAGGAGACATGGATGGGAAAGCCAGAGCGGGAGGAAACTCTCGAAAACGGGGCGGTTGCCAATATCAAACGGCGGGAGGCTTTGAAACGAGAACAAGGCCGTGGCTGAGCGTTGATAGGTCCAAGTTTCCGTGAATCTGGCACTGGACGGAGGCCGAAATACTGGGTACCCGGAAAGTATATCGTCGTCGGTATTCTGCTTGACGTCCGGATCTTCCATAGCCAGGGATATGCTGGCCAGGTTATCGATCCATTTCCCCAAGACATCGTATTCATCTTGGGTGAAAGAGCCGAACATTCTTCCATTCCATTGCAATTCCCGAATAAAGCGGCTGTTGCTACTATCTCCTCTGCGAATCCAGTACTTGCTGCAGCTCAGCGCATCGAGCAACTCTATCTGCCACTTTTTTGACTCGAGTGCAACAGGGTCAAGCCACTCAGCCACGCTCCGGGATCCGATTCTAACTTTGCTACTGCAGTGAATCCCATGCACGACCTGTGCCTTGGCCTTGAAAATCTTAATCACCTCCATTTCCGTTGGGCTTAGAAGAACTCTGGAACCATCCCTTAGTCTTCTTCTGGATGGGCAGACTGCTGTTCCTGGCAAGCCTAATGAGAGGAGGTAGCCTGCCTGGAGCCTTTTCCATGCCTCTTGTGCAGCTTCTTCCCCTCCAGCTCTGCGTATATAGGTCATGTATTCGCAAACGACCTCTATCGCAATTGCAGTATGGCCGGAATCAGCGTTGTCGATCGAGATGTGGAGAATGAAGTAGTACGGGTCGATCCCAACTTCCTTCAATTCCTTTCCTGCCTTTAGTGTGTCCATGGATACAGCTTCAAAATGAAGGTTGAATCCGAGAATCTCGGGTAGAAACTCGCTTGGGAAGAGCGAGATGAGCAATTGGGCTATTGCTGATTTCCACACAGGAAGCTCGTCGAGCCGATGCCGTGGGTGACCGAAATCGAGGACTTCCGCAGTTGGAAAACCAGGCGCGATGGTTTCGAGAAGCGCGTGGTATAAGTGGGCATGGTTTTTCCCCAAATCTCCATCCCCTAACTCCTCGGACAAGATCTGCCATGCGCCTTTCATCGTTTTCTGCAGTGCGAATGGTGTGGTTACTTTTCCAACGTGACCTAACCATGCCCCGTCAACATACTTGACAGGTGCAATTTGCTTCAACCACCAAATTGCCTCTTCTCTACCCCCGAACAACTCTCGTGGTCTCCCCTCTCTCCTTCGAAGGTTATATTGCTCCCATTCTTTGCCAATATGGTTGTCTCGTCTGCGTTGAAACTCGCCCAAGTCTTGTCTCGAGAATGACTGGACTGACAAAATGCTTTCATGGTCAGGTAGTGCCTCAGCTGCCGAACTAGTCTCCTTCAGCAAGCAGAGCAAAACTCTCTTGGCCTGTGGAAGCACTTCGGGGAACTTCTCAAGATTATGTAATTGGTAGTATAGCTGCTTGAGCGCTTTGAGCTCCTCCATGTCGCATGCATCATTATCTTCGCTGTGGGCTTCCCGCTTTCCGTGCGTATCCTCGGCGTGTTCCTCAATTGACTCGCTGGTAGAAACGCGGCTATCAGAATTCGAGTCGCAACTTGTTCGAAACCCAGTTTTTGGCCAGTATTGGCCTAAGAGTGCATTTATAGCAACAGTGGCCACCGTTGCAAATGCCAGAATCCATCCTAACAGGAGAGATTCCATGGTGAGTGAGAGGTTGAGTGCTCAAGGGCAGTGAAAGAGGCTGCCCGACTACCTTGTGATAGTAGGACAGTACTTTTAGGATTTCAATAGGTCTCGTTGCTCAGGGGCAGCCTGAATTTCTCACTGTGGATTCTTCCACCTCGTCACGTTACAGTCGCATCGCATCTTGTCGCACCTTACTACCACAACCAATGGCCTTCTTGCTGCCTCGCTATTCCAGTTTGGCATCAATTCATTGGCAGCAGTAACTTCAATATGGGGCATAGTTGTAACTTCAGTGAGCTGAATCAGTATACTGATACTACAGCAGTGAGGGGTATTCACGGAGCGGTGTGCTGCTACACCCGGGTCATTAAATGTCACATTGTCATATGCATAGAAAACATGTTTTGATCGTTTAACTCTCATTGGCCTGAACTTTTTTCGACCGGAAATTTATAAACAAAAATCTTCTTCCTCTCAAACGCAAGTTAAGTCAGAGACACACCGCGAGCCTGCCACGTAGAAATTTGAAAGAGAGATCAATGACCAGATCACTTGGCAGCGTCCCATTTCTCTATCAACACAGTCTCAGGCCTCAAGAAGTAGCTGAGGTAGTACCGATTCTTCGCGCCATCGAATGGTTGTGTCACTCCGTGCTTAGGAGAATGCAACCTTCCTCCCGACAGCCTCTGCAGCGAATTGGCAATATTGACCAGGGCACACCCTTCTAAAGGCGGCGTGAAAGCCCACAGATTGGTATCCGGGAGAAGGGCATGTATGCTCCAATCTTTGTAGAATAGAAGGGTAAGCGTTCCACTGTCAGTGTGCGTGGTGTCGGGTGCGTCAGACGACTTCGCAAGGGATGGATGCAAGACCAGTTTCAGGCCAGTGTCACTGGGTTGATCGGCACGGTGGTGCACCACGTAGGCTGTGGAAAGACTGTTGAGCAACATTAAACAAGCTCCGTCACAACCGGCGCTGATTTCGGTGATCTTATTCCACACATCCTGGAATAGCTGCGGGAGATGCGAAATGGAAGCGCCCGCCGAAGTAATTTCGTCCCGCGATATCTGATTCTTTGTGTTAGCAGTGAAAATTTCAACGGTGGTCGATCATTCGGGAGTTCTCACCTCAAACGACTCACTACCATAGCCCCTTTTGTATCCCAGGTCTTGCGAGGCTTTGATGTCGAATCTGGTGTCCTTTGCCTTAGCCTCCTTGGGCTGACTGAAGTACTTCTCGACTACCGCATAGATGTCAGGGAGATGTGCAAGCACACGCTCACCCTCGGCGTCTCCGCGTAGGTCGAGATAGAAAAGGCCCGTGTTGGAGGAGGCTTTGTCTAAGAGAGCAAGTTCACCTGAGTCTTTTGTTCGGAGTTTGGCGAGTGAGATGATCGATGGCTGAGCTACGGGAATGCTGCGGTCCGCCATCGATTTGATGGTTTCTGGAGAAGAGGTTTCCATGCTAATTAGCGTATCTCGGTTGCGCAGGCTCCAGCTGTTGTGTTGTGCTGTGTCTGGAGGTCTGGGAAAGAGGTAATTTTGTAGTCACCTGTAAGCGCCACAAAATGACCCTTAACGATACCCGACCCGAGAAGTTGACACGCATGTTCCGAATATTACGTCCATGATACCATATTGCAGGTGAACAGGTGGTCAGATGGTTACATGCTATGGGATACATGTGGTGCAATACATTTTGTGGGATACATGCTGTGAGATTGTGAGTTGTGGGAGATGAGGAGAGGAGAATTGTGCGACGGAGAGTGAGTTGCCACCCAGGGATAGTTACTTCCCTTACCACAACCTAATCATTCTTGGGGAGATCTGCGAGATTGGTGATCCTTTGGAAGTCTTGTTTTTCAAGCTCTTGCACCAAGGTTTACCAAAACACAAGCTAATTTTTAATTGCCGCAAGACAGAAAAACTCGGATTCTTTGCCATGCAGACCTCCTCTCGGTTGCGTGCGTTATGCTAGTCATATGGTATAATACCGTCCGTTCTATAATCGCTTTTCTGGCCTCCTGCGTATGCATTTGGGGGGGAAAAATGGCGCCGGATGAAACAACCCAGTTGCTGGTGAAGCCAGCATCGGATCCAGGCTGTTGCCCGGAAGAATGGGATGGAAAAACTGCAACGGCACAGACCAGCCAAATTTTTGCGCTGTGGCAGATAGGGGCACTTTGCGGTAAGCAGTGGCTTCGAATGATCTCCTCAACATTGGAATAAGTGTTGTGGTCTCACGAAATCTCCAGGCATCTTGCTAGCATACGCGGATACGTCTCTGGTATGGGCAACACATGAGACAGTAGCATCACGTTTCGATAATCTGGAGAACTCGTCATGGATGATGACTAGTTTTACAATAGGTTACTGTGTGACTTTGCCTTTGGTATGTATCGCTCTTGAAGGAATTGTTATTCTTAGAGTTTGGAAGGACTTACTAATGCCACTGACAATTCTCAATAGTACGGACGATTGAGTGATAATTATGGTCGCCTTGGTCCTCTCATCGCCGCTTATTGCACCTTTTGCATTGGTTGCACACTATGGTAAGTAAAATCTCGGATGTCTTCAGATATGATAGCATGTCCTACAGAACCACTGCGGATTGCATCGCGAGTCTGAAAATTGACTCATGTGAGAATAGTGGAATCGGTCAAGCTTACTGGCATGTGATTCTCGGGAGAATCGTCCAAGGCTGCGGGGCCTCTGGAATAATCTCTCTGGCTTCTATTATTATCACAGGTAATATAATTTCACTCTTTCATTCTTTCTCTTTCACTTCAAGAAAGTGATACCAGAAGCTAATTTGACTTCATGCAAAGATATTGCCGTACCATCCAACGTAGCGGTTCTCAGAAGTTATGTCAACATTGCCTCAACAGTTGGACTTTCACTTGGTGGTCCCCTTGGAGGATTCCTTGGCGGAACGATCGGTTGGAGATGGTAAACAATCTCCCAATACTTCTTCCGATAAAACGAGTAAATTGTAATTTGTGCAGGTCCTTTCTAGGTCAAGTTCCACTTGCAACTGGTTGTTGCGTTCTCCTCGCAGGGGGTCTCCGAACATTTTTGCCAGTACTCAAAGAGGAAGACGAACGGCAGCATGAAGAATCCGCAACTGACCTTCAACCAGACCTCTTGACCTTTGACTACCCGGGAGCCATAACCCTTGCCATTTGGATATCCTCGCTTCTTGCAGTCATCGATCTGCAGAATCAGCTTTCTTGGGGACACCCTCTCGTTCTGAGTATAACAATCGTTGGAGTACTAGCTATACTAGCTTTCCTTGCTTTAGAGACCTATCCGGGAAACCGGGAACTTTTGATACCTTTACGACTTTTGAAAACAGAGGTTGGCGCTTTCTGTGCCGGACAGGTAAGTCGTTTTCTTTCCTCGTGCAATATGTTTCTCGAGTCACAACTCCCGAGGTTGCTCGCTTTAACTCCTGGATTGTTTCGAAGCAGATATACTAACAGCGAGATTCGTACCAGCTACTTATAGTTGGTAGCTGTCATGGAGTACGTAAAGAACTCTACTTTTCTATTTTCTTCGCTCATGAACCAATTACAGTTTATTTCCCAAATAGCACCTTACTTTGCAAACACGCAAGGAGCTTCAGATGCAAAAGGCGGAGGACAGATAATTCTCCCGAGCATTGGTAATGCAATAGGCAATCTTGTTGCAGGCCAAGTAATCAGAAAGTAAGCTTACTGGCTTCTACTCCTTGACCCACCTTTGCTGATTGGAATCTACCCATAGATTTGGAAATTACAAAAAGCTTTCCCTCATCTCCCTCTTCTTCTGTATTGCCACTTCACTCTTAATCCTACTCCAATGGTCTCATTCTATAAGTAGGTACCCCGGTCCCAAAGATCTCATTTATGCTTCATCATCTACGTTCCATCCCCCAGCTGGAGTTAGCCACGCTCTCAACATAAGCTCAAGAAAGACATAACTGAACTCAATCACGTTGCAGGCACTTGGGAAGCCCTTGCCACCTTCCCATTCGGTCTTTTTGCCGGCATCGTCCTCTCCACACAGTTCATCGGCCTCTACCACTGTGCCCCGAGGCAACACATGGCAATAGCTATCAGCATGTACTACATGAGCCAACAAATTGGTATCGCCTTGGGCATCAGCATTTCTTCCGCTCTCCTGAAGCAGGAGTTCAAGAACACCCTACAGAAAACGTTGATCGTCGTCCCTAACTACCAAGAGGTTGGTTCCATCCCTCCCCATTTTCAACAAAAGAATGCTTAATTTACAATTGTCTTTGGTAGATTATCAAAAACATACTGATGGATTCTTCTGTTGTTGCGATGCTTCCTACTGACGTCAAGGAACTGGTGCGGCGGAGTTATCTGAATAGTTTCTGGGTTGTGCCGGGTACGCTATACTCTTCAATCTCGCGCCTCTCTCCATGATTCAAGCAACTCGAACTGACGTCTACTTAGCGTTAGCTACTTCTACTCAAGTACTTGCTATCCTGCCGATGATTTCTACTACTGAGAAGTATTCGGATTGATTGAATGTGGCGCTGGACTTTTTAGTTTTTTGATAAAATATTGGAGGGTGGAGCGGTAGAAGTATTAGGGAGGAGGACTAGAATGCATTGCAAAAGCGAGATTTTGTACGATATTTCGGGGCTAACCATTGCACAACTTGTCCTTCTTTTCAATATGTAGCGAGCGATGGACTTGGGGTGGGGGAAGATTGACCGAAAATTAACTTGGGCAGAAGGGCTGAAGTTCCTCATGGCGTTGCTGAAGTCTGTAGGAGAAAAAGCAGTTGCCAAGAAGAGATAAATACAGCAAAACAGTAGGATCTCGATGGACCCAAATCAAATATACCGCAAGTGCCTAGAGGAATCGGACAGTGACGCTACAAAGATTGCGGCATAAAGTGACGGGATTACAGGGCATTTACGCTCGCGTAGGGGTCTTAGCGGACTCCAGGGTGTGGTTTAAGGCACTACACCCGCTATAAGCATTGTAACTCTAGGCCTGAACCCCTAAAACAAGGGCTGTAAGACATTTGCAAGGTGTTTGAAGATCTTCAGGGGTTATGATGTTGCTGGCGGAGCAACTATAGCGCTCGGACGCTGTGAGAGAGCTAATAATAGGACCCTTTAGCGACTCTGCCCCTGTATATACAGGGGACATGCCCTCTAAAGGTGTGGTACCCCTTGTTTATAGTTTATAGCGTGCTTACAGGAGAGTAGCCTGGAAATATAGGGGGCTTCAGTGGGTGAGTGTGGTAGAAAGTGGCCTGAAAATGGACTTGCAGTACGAACGCCCTGTAATCCCGTCACTTTATGCCGCAATCTTCGTACACTAGAGGAAACACAGCCTCTGCTTGCTCCTTTGCATCTTTCTCCTCTCCCTCAACAAGCAGTCACTTCTTTTCCTGCGGTAAGTCAAACACAGAGTTCTGGAGAAAACTTCGTTACATTGATTGACGCTTCCGGCAGGCGCCATTACTGCTCAGTTAACTGCACCAGAAGAACAGAATCAGGAGGTTCATATACGCATTCGTTACCAGCCCTTGTAAATCCAAATGGTTTATTTTTGACAGGGGCTTATAGAGTTCGTTTAAATATTCTGGTATGAGAGACTACGAAGGAAAACTAATCGTCAACAGCACGCAAATTTTACACCCACCGTGCCCCATTGCTCGCATCACGTCTTTTCACCACCAACGCGCCGCTCCGCTCTCTCCAGGCGGCTTTCACTCTTCGGGTCATAGAATGCTTCTTTGTGTTAGTACATGCTTGAGTTGGCTTTTCAACCTGACCTACGCTTCTCCCCGAAGACCGTAGTCCTGATTCCTCTCCTTGCACCCGTGGGATAATTCCCCGGTATGACGCGATGAAGCGTTGCTCTCTGTGTGTAATTGTCAGCTTTGATCCGCCTCCGCCTTTGTCAGGTGTACTAGGATGGGGTCTTACGTTATCCCATAAAGCGATGCTCCCAACGGCCCATTTCCACCTGACGAGGTGCTCATCTGCGCTGTGGATATGCAGGTTCAGGAACTGGAGCAGGGCGTCGGATTCTGCTTTCTTAAGCTCGGCAAAGCCGGTGCAGTAGGCGATGTTCACGTTCAGGGCTTTAAAGCCAGTTACGGGGTGTGTGCGAATGGCGGGATGGTGAGTATCGATTGGGGGACGGTTGGGTGAGTCGTTGTAGTAGTCCTAGGAAAGCGAGTTAGTTATTTTCTGTCTGAATTCGCCTCAAGGGAGAGTTTGTCCTCACAATAGTAGTATCGTATTGCAAACGCGAGGTGTGAATAGCATGCAATCCTTCCAATAGCTTTTGCATATGGGGGCTGAGTTCATCATAAAGGCCGTATCCAGACACCCAGGCCGTGTCTCCACCGACTTTGGGATGGACTTCCATGCGGAGAAGAGAGTAGCTCGGTGCTGTTCCCAGTCAAAAAGAAGTCAAAATAAGGCGGGAGATGACAAACGGTTGATCTCAAAGCTTGTATCGGCATGAAATTCCATCATTGGCCATGGAGTATATTTCGAAACAGTACGCCAGTCCGAGTTACTGCCGGACACTATGAAATGTTTTTTATCCTGAGATGGGTTAGAAAGGCGTTATTTTGCTCCTTTAACTCGTTGAATAGAGATGGGGGAGTACATTCTGCGTGGTGTGTTTGTCCAAGATCCCAAAATGTTCGAAGATCTCAACCTGCCTCTCGGTTGTCAAGTCTTGGTCTCTGAAGAAGACAACACCACGCTCATTGACTAGTGCAGCGAGTTCATCCAGTTGCTGGTCATCCAGTTGACTCAGCTGCACATCCTTTAGCTCGGTGCCTTGATGGCCAAGTCAGTATGTCACAGATGAAGAATTGTTCTGGATTTTGGGGGGAGACTACCGATGCTTTCAGTCAAGTCAACTAGTTTAGCAACGGCAAGTAATGCTTTCTTCTCTGGATCAGCATAGAATCCTCGGTCTTTTGGCGGCGTTATCTCTTCGCGAGGAGGATCCGGGGGGGTATGAGCCTTAATCTTGATATTGTAGTGGGAGTGAATCACGGTAGGGTAACCCGAGTCCGCGGAAATGTGTTTGTAGGCTTCGAGGGATTCAATTGGGGGGGGACGTAGTAGGTTCTCCATTTTGCTGTTTGTTAACCTGGTAAATAGAAAAAGTTGCGTTGTAGACTGAAATTATACTGATAGATTTGCCACAGATTGAGAGATTCTGTCTGACTTCTGACAGAGATTGCACAAGCTATGCAACATTAATTGTCTTGCTCGATCAGTGCTATTGACTTTTACTAATGGTGTGATCTGGTGCAATTCCTCTCGGAAGCCGAGAAAGATGGATATGCAAAAGCGCATGCTGCTGTGCCACAGGGGCGAGAAGACTACGTGGGTTCCGGGGAGACAAAAGGAAAGGCACAGCGTCTGTGGTATTCCCAATTAGTGTTGGACTGCATAGTGAATATTAGCACCTACATTACTCTCTTGTAACTCATAGCAAAATCTTGCATTAGTCTAATTTCTACTTGGTGCATGTGAGAAATAGTTGACGGTCTGAGAGCGACTCTGTTTCTCCCCAACTCCGCATACCAACCATTGTGTCGAAATGCAGCACTCTTTCCCCCCAATATCTCCTTTCCTGGAGCTGATGCAATCGGAAGAGAATACTCCCACTACAATTATACTTCGAGATCATTCCTCGGGCATGACTGTCACAGCTGGGCAGTTGTTGCATAGTGTTTCTTTGCTCCGTGCCAAATTGCAAGCAACACTGGTGCAGGATCGCATGTATGATGCCAGAAACAACGAGGGCCGGTTCATCTTCCTGGTTGCCCCTCCAGGATTGGAATACGTGGTGTCAATGCTCACCATATTTTCCCTTGGGGCAGGAATGTCAGCCCAATGTAAAAAGCCCTTACTTCCTGTGTGATCGAATCATCATGCTTATTTCAAATCCAGCGATCGCTATAAGACCAGAGGAGATGAAACACTACTTCAACCTCGCAAAACCCCTGGCCCTGCTTTATACGCCAGCATTGACTGAGAAAATCGAGGCCGTCAAAGCCTTATGTGCAGAAGACAATACCGGGAGCAACTCAAAGTTTCCTTTTGTGGAAATCCACATAACTTATCCAGAAAGTTCAGCTACTCACACTTACAAATCAGATCCAAGCATCGGGTCGCGCTCTGAACAAATAGGTACCCTGTTCTTCACTTCAGGCACGTCCGGAAAACCGAAAGGCGTTGTTCATTCTTATAGCGCTCTTCTTGCATCCGCACGGGAGCGAATAGAGACGTGGAAGTTGACAGAAAACGACGTGGTCCTTAACCAAAAACCGGGTAACTGGATGGGAGGCATCTTTGGCATTCTTCCGAGCCTGATATCTGGAGCCTGCTTGTAAGCTTTGGCAGCATTTTCTTGTAGTCCTTCTTGGGATAATACTATCAAGCGTCAACTTTTTAAATTCGTACGCTAACTTCAAGGTCCCGTTGCATAGAGAAACCTGTGCGGGCGTTTTCAATCCCAAGTGGTTCTGGGAACGCATTAGTCGAGGGGGCGTCAGCGTCTTTTCCATTGCGCCCGAGGGTTATGATAGGCTCGCAGAGTACTTCGATGAGCATATTGCTATGCTTCCCCCTGCTCGCAAGGAGATCTATATTCATGGGATTATAGCTGCGAGGTTTCCAGGAGTTACAGGATCCCTGCTTCTGCCACAGACCCAAAAGAGATGGACAGATCTCCGGCGTGGAAAGCCACTGCTAAACTTATACGGATCGACAGAGGTAACGTTGATATGCAGTATGAGATGGGAAAATCCTGACTATTCTTATATGGTGAATTTCCAGCATCTACCAGTCTGCATGGTGATACTGAATGCGTGTTAGTGTTCAGTTGGACCCGCGGTACCGGGAGTTGAGGTGAAGCTTGTGGATGGAGAGATGCGACTCAAGGCTCCTACGATGTTTTCACGGTATAAATCCTAACTCTACTCTGTTAAAAAAGAGACTAATACAGAAGAAAAAGATATATTTCTGACGACCCGACCCAAACAGAGAAGGCTTTCGATTCTGAGGGCTTCTTTAAGACCGGGGATTGTGCAGAAAAAATTGGAGACTGCTACATACTCCACGGCCGAGCAGACATTGATGGTCTTGAAATCCTTTTCCATAACTTTAAACAATATCACTTCTGACGCCATTTGCAGTGCTGCACTTTTGGGGCTTCACTTTACATACAGGCGAAATCGAAAGCGCCCTCTTCTCTCTCCATTACATCGCTAACGCCATCGTTCTCCCCCTCGAGGACGAAGAATATCAACAGCGCGCTGCAGCTATTCTCCAAATTAAACCGTCATTTCAATCAAAGCAACTAAACTTAGATACACTCCGGAATGATTTGACAGAAATGACGGGCTTGATGCTATTCAAACAGCCGACGGTGGTCTACTGGCTCCGAGAAGGAGAAGAGATTTCGCTGACAGCAAACGGGAAGATTTCCAAGACAGAGGCAAGGAAGAAGTTCTTCGGTGATGGGTGGCGGTGTAAACGGAGTGTGGAGGTTTTGGATTTGAAGGGCATGGAATATTGGCGCATGGGTGGCCAGTGTTAACTAGAAGTGGAGTGGAAGTATATGGTGGGTTACGAGGGGAAAATGTAAATCGACACCGCCCGGGTGTCGACTGGGTGTTGGCTGGGGGCACTAACCCAAAGTAGAGGCGCTCAGACAGAAGTACCAAAAATCGAACTTTCTCTTTAAATTTAATTCGCTTTATAAATAACTCATAGGATTTGATACTTTATTTATTTTCTTATAGCAATAATTAAGAGCTATTTAAATATATACTTTTTATAAAATATAAATTAGTAATAACTCTTTAATATTAAATAAGTTAAAAAGAAAATATTTTATAGCTTAAAAGTAAGCTTAAGAAAGCCTAGAAATTTAGCAAGCAAGTACCCAAAACTAATATAAGAGCCTTATAAGTCTCTAATTTATTAGGCCTTATAAGGCTTTATAACTAAAACTTAATTAATTAGTATATAAACTTCTTTATATTAAAATTTTATTTTAAGGAATTCTTTTATTATAAATTAAGAAGCACGTGCTTATATTATATGCCTTATAATATACTAGCTTATACTTACATTAAAAAAATCTGACTTAAGGTCTCTAAATACCCTGGCCAACCAATCGATACCCTAATCGACAACCGGGGGTGTCGTTTTATATTTCCCGTTACGAGATGTAGAACAGGGAGAGTCTTTTTAGAAAGATAAAAATTCTAAGTCTTGACGCTGGTTGGAAACCTCCTGCAACCATTTCTTTATATCAACACAATAGTCCATTGGCTTCCGCAAGAGCTCCATAACAGCAGCTCCGATTATCCTCGTACACTTATGTTTGGCACTGAAGATCAGGTGGAGGTTAGAAAAGTTTTGCGGTCTCGGCGAGAATGCAGTGAAAGAGGGGCAGGCTAAGTTTGCCGACAGCGCGACCATAGCGCTCTGACCACTACAAATATGGGTCTTACGGGGCCACGTTGTCCCGATAGGCTATGGCCAGTCACGGGTCAGGGCTTCTCCCGCCATAGTCTCATGACCCTCGGCGTACTATTGGCTACTGCATGCCGGCAGGCACAACACATCACCACTTGAATCCTCGACCAGTTGGCGTGGATCAACAGCGACTATCTCCAGCCTCTTGTGAATTCCCTGCATCTTTGTGACATTTTGTCTTCTTTATTGTGCTCGCCGTACGCAGAGGATACGTACTTCCCGTGAAGTGCAGACTGTACAGCATCCCTGGAGACGATTTCAAATCAGTCAATCACCAAGTGCTGAGTGCTACACAAAAGCCTGCAGTAGCAAGTGGAACCAACACCGCGTCATATCGTACTGAGACCAATTGAAATTATCACCGGCTGTTGAGTGCTAGACTGTGCTACCCGAAATCCTGCAGTACTCGGTGCGACAACAAAGAATACCCGTCTCATGGCGCCGAGACCAAAGCCGAAGGTGGTTCATCGAGTGGTAGATTCGACACGCTTCCACCATCACGCGTACGCCGCCATTTCACAACAGCATAGCGATGCCGGCGCTGTCAAATTGGAAAGTTCAGGTAACGTGATGATTCGAGGTCCGAACGTATAGCGAAAGAATTGTGTAAATGCTGTTACAAATGGGAAATTCAGAGTATGATGAATCATATGAAGATTGAACTTGAGCTAGAGCTTATCTGCATTCATATCCTGACAACTAAAACCATTTAGAGTAGGCTCTTAATTTCCCCACGGAAGTCGATACCAAACATACAAATATGCTCGACGTTATCATTGACACACTCTCCATCTTCCCAGCAATATGTCTCATTTAAAACCTCAACTCCCAGTAGTAGAGCCAACTTACGATCCTAGGTTTGTTAACTCTCTCCTTCTCCGACGTCCTCCTTTTACTCCTTCTTATTAGCTGATATGCAGGCCAGTCGTCCATTCCCAGATGTTCAACTACTTCACAAGAATGCCATTCTTAACTGCCCTGGAATGACCATGGTTGCCCTCCAAGTCTCTTTCGCACCAAACGGCTCCACACCACCTCATAGCCACGCCGGTGCTTTCCTCGTGGCCCACGTCATCTCAGGATATCTTTTCAACAAGATGAACGACGATCCGATGACAATCCACGGACCAGGGGATAGTTTCAAGGAGAATCCAGGGTGTAGACACAGCATCAATGACAATGCTAGCGCAACGGAACCAGCAACGCTAGTCGTAACCATGATCGTAGAGACGAAAGTCGTGGAGGAAGTTGGGATTGCAGGGTTAGTTGTCATTGATGAAGAGTACAGGGCAATGGTCCAGGAGAGGCAAAGCGGAAAGATTTAGCGGAAGTTGGTGGGAAAATTGGTGGTGGTTGCATAGAATGGAAATATCGCCGAGGGTTGGATGGTAAATTATGAGGTTTTTGGCACTGAGATCAGCAACAGTATAATCGGAAACACATGTCGATTACATTTTTCGATTACTTTCTTCGATCTGGAGTTCCGATTCCCTACCTTTTCTTTATCTCCACCTGAACCAATTCCATATGGCAGATATCAAAAGTTAAAGCTGAGGTTATTCGCTCTTTCCTGAAGGCAAATGGTACTGTACAAGAAATTGCCCGAACCCCCAAGTGTGAATGATAGAAATATCTTCCGGCCATGTCATTTGGTACGAAGAATTGGTAGTCGTAGTAATGGATGGAAGGATAGACTAATGGGAATCAGTGGGAGGGCTATCGAAGAAGGGGGCTTTTGCCAGTGTGAGGCCGTGCCAGAGCTATTTCGCCTATCAGTGAAGGTCGTGCCCCAATCATTCTACTACTGCAAGATCCTTTAATCCAAAAACAAAAGGGGTAGAGTATCGACTAGGGTTTAAGAGGGGAAGACGGTAAAGAGAGAAATGAGTGAGACGGCTATAATCTAAGCTCCCTAAACAATGCGTGGATAAGGTTTATTAAGGGCAACAAAGTAACAAGTGTATTAATTTCTAAGGAACTATTTTTCCTCCGAATTAAAGTATAATCGTTAGGGCTGGACCTATTGACGATTTAGTAGCTAAAGAGTAGCTCAGCTCACACCCCGGAATCAATCTCATCCACAACCATACGTTGCTGCCACTCAACATAATCCTCGCACGTCTGCGCCATTATATCAGGGATCTTTATCTTGGCAATCTCATCCGGACGTTCAAGAATGGTCACGTATAGACCACCGGCCACGTGCGCTGCGATGTGGCAGTGGAACGGCCAGGCGCCGGGGTTGTCGGCTTCGAACTGGATGACGGTGTAGCTGTATGCAGGGATGAGAAGTGTGTCCCGTCGGATCGGATTGAGGGGGTTGACGATAGTGCTGCCGTCCCATTCGCCGGGGCCCGCGGCGAGGATGAAGAAATTGTGCCCATGCATGTGCATGGGGTGGACTGCGAAGCCGGGGTTCACGAGCACAATGCGGATGGAAGCGTTGTTGCCGAAGTTGTAGACGTTCCATTCGGGGGAGTCGGGATAGGAGTTGTTTCCTTTGTTGGAGAGAAGCAGAACCGGGTAGTTGTAGTTCTATCAGGTGGTCAGTGGTGATCTATAAGGAATGGGGGGATTCAATGGACAGCGCGGAAGGAGGAGTTGTTTATTGTCCACAGATAGTGACCGGTTTCGTTTTGTGTAAGCCCGATCTCCATTTCTTGAGTTACGGTTGGTTCAGTGGGGGTGATGGGGTACCAGGGGACGCTGAGGGAGATGTCATCCTACGAGGAGGACCAGGGGGTTAGTGTTTGTGAGCTTGTTTCGTGGGGAACGGGGAAGTGGAAGGGGGTGGGGGAGGGGAACATACATTGCCGCAATTGGCGAGGGAGTCGTTAAGTGCGGGCCAAGCAGTGCTGTTTGAGACCAAGGTCTTATGAGAATAGTAGACGATAGCCGTGGCCAAGGGTTGGTAGTCGTCTGAGCAAAATGCGAGGACTGAGCGCATGGTGAATGCTCCTGTGGTGTTGAGGCCTTTGACGATAACGTCCACTCGTTGGCCGATGCCCACCGTGACAACTAATTTCAAGATCAGTACTTCCAGATATGTGAGACACGAAGGAGAGAGGAGAAAATGAGAGCGTACCTTGAGCATCATATGGCTTGATTGGCACAAAATCTATTGCGATAATCGTCATGTTGTGTCCATCGATTGAGAATTTCTGCTGTCCGTCTCCACCTGCATTGATCAAGCGTAATCTATGCCTTTTGCCAGGTGTGAATCTAAACTTACTAACTCCCACGTTAGATTCACAGGGAGTAGTATCGTTAGCGGCGGTTCTCGAGCAATTGAAGCTGTTGCGGCCGTTGATAAGATTATTATTCGAGAATGGAACGACTGTGCTTTCGTCGGTTCCTAAGGCGAGTTCTTCAAGGGTTAAAGAGGTGGCGTGGAAGTAGTCGCTGAGTATGATAGGTCCTTTGTCTGGAGGGATGTTAGCGGGATTGCTGGAAAGAGGAGTAGTGAGGGAATACCAATGTCGTACTCGATGGTCTTGGGTCCGTGGATAATCAGAGGTCCAAATAAACCCTACGAGACCGGATAATCCGAGAATGAGTTATTGGCTATTTGGAACGTCTTGGGAGTAGAGACGTAGTGAATGCGTAAATAGGGAAGGCATGAATGGGTATAAAGGAGTAAGGAGCATGAATTCACATACATCGGCGTATTGGGCTGAGTAGTGAGAATGATACCAGCTAGTGCCATATAAATCAGCTGTAAAGGTATATGTAAAGGACTTTCCGGACGGAATAGGGCATTGTTGAACACCAGGAATACCGTCCATCCATCTGTGATACTATTAGTGCCGTACGAAAATTCGAGCTGAAATCTACTAACGGAGAACCAGTCTGTGTAATTCCGTGCCAGTGAAAAGCAGTTCCATCTTCCGGATCTGAGATATTATTGTGGATAGTAACTTGAATTGTATCGCCCCTGTCGCGAGTACAGTTAGTAAAGCGAAAGCCCCAAAAATATGTGATTTAATTCTTACCAGTTGGCTTCAATCAAAGGCCCTGGTAATTGTCCGTTAATAAACAAGCCTTCCTTCTGGTATCCATCTGGAGCCTTGAATCCTCTTGCGACCGTCCACTCATATTGTCGAATAACACTGAAAAGGGTTAGCAAAGCTTGGACATGGTTTCGTTTCGGCTTACCCAGTGTAAGGCGGATCAAAGAGAGGCATTAGTTTCATTCTTTTGAACACTTTGTGGCTCTGACAACTTACCAGCTACAGAAAAGCGCAAGTTAGGCACTGTTGGCTTACGTCAGTAGAAGTCTAAATATTTACTATCTGGGGATTTGTTAGTTATTTTTGGCCCGAGAGAAGATGAGGGGAACTTGCAGGGATTTGTGTCATTCGCGGTCTTGAGACCCCAGGGAGCACCATAAGGTAGAGGCTAGAATTCTGTCAGCAAGAGTTATGGGGTCTTGGTGGAACTGGTAAAGATTGAGATGGTGTGAGCACGAAATAGCAAGTGCACGGGTGGTGGAGATCAAGAGGGACAAGAAACGGTAAAGAAAGCAAATGTGTTTTTGAAGTTCCGATTCTAAGTTGTTCACTTCACAGGAACATGTAGAGATTCTGGACTTACGGTGGTAGGTTCTGATGTTACGCAGTAGTCGGTACGAAGTTCTTGATAGTCAACTAGGACCCGTCAGTGTGGAGTATTTTCAAAGACCATGAAGTTTCATTACATTGAGCCAAGACAACAGAGCCCGTCAACAGGGCGTAGAAAGGACTGAACTTCATGTTGGTCGCTAATTTTATAGCAAGATGAAACGTTATGCTGGAATGCGGCATGGTTGAGTGCTTTGAGAATGAATAAGGGAACAAGAGAACTTATATCTGACACAGAGAGATCCCATGTTTTGTGTCTCCTAGAATTGTAATAGGTTTCGCAACAATCTTACTCTAAGGATCTCACCTGAACTTCAGCATTGCATGAAGCCTTCGCAAATTCCTGACAGATCAAGCGTCCCAAGCCTTAGTCTTCAGGCTGAGAGAAATCTTTATGTTATAGCGGTAACGATCTGCAATGGTAATTTCAGATGAGGTAGTGGAAAATATCTATGACATGTAAAGGATGCTTACCTGCCCAATGATGGTCATCGACTACTGCAGAAGCGGTCGGGGAACTCCGATAGTATGCTGCGTAATCAAGTACATGTACCTGAGCTACTCGAATAGTCTCGAACAGCGGCTCCGAACTTGAGAAAAGTCCCATGACAGATAATGCTTGTCCGACATCCCCGATCTGAGACTGGGCCATGAGCGCGACGACAAGAGGAAAGATCTACTCTTGGTACTGATACTGAGGCCCACAACTGGTTAGTCGACAAAACTCGGATGTGAATTTTGATGTTCTGATTTTTCGCAAAATTCTAAATTAGTACTCTTTATTAATTAATTAAAACCCAACTAATTACACTTATAATTAAATCTAAGCCCGCTTATATAAATTACAATAACTTTAAGTAATTATAAACTATTTTAATTATTTTAATTATTTTTAAAACTTATACTTTCTTTATAATAATATATTTAATTATAATATAAAAGTTAAATTGTTTTAATTAAAATAAAAACGTTATATATAATCAGTGTGAGAAATGAATAGATTAGATTAGATTAATGGCTATTAATCTAATCTATTCATAAAATTTTCTCATTAATCATATTCTATTCACGAATTAATTAAGCTAATCATGAATATTCATAAATAACTTGATTAATATACACGTGACCGCAGCACGTAACAGGCTAGCCTAATTAGGTAAGGATCAGGATCTAGTGCTACCTTGCTTCTAGAGAGAAAAGCTCGCTAAGGCAGTGCTAGAGCAAGAACTTTACTTAATTAGGCTAGACCATCACGTGCTGCGGTCACGTGTATATTAATCACGGTATTCATAAATAATCATGATTAATTATTCTAATCTAATCAAATTATATAAGTATCACGTTAATCAAATTCTATTCACACTATTTATGAATATTCATGAATTAATTAATTAATCTGATTAATTTTTTCGCACACTATATATAATATAAAAGAATATTAATTAAAAGAAATCACTAATTTTTATATAAGAAAAGTTAAATAAATAAAGTTAAATACCTTTTAAAAGTATTAAATAAAACATTAACTTATTACTTGAATATATTAAATAGTTATATAAAACTGAATTAAAAATTATTAAGAAAAAATAATATAATTAGATTAAGCTTTAAAAAGTATATATAATATTACTTAAATAATAACTAATTTTCTTCTAATAAATAACTCTTAAAATAAACTTATTTTATTTATACGAGTTAATTTATATAAAAAGCTAATTAATTAAAACTTGCGTTTTATGCTTTTCTTTTCTTCTTTATTTTTTGATTAAAAGGCCACTATTTAATTATAGAAGTAAAAGATTTTTCCCCTATAAAGGCACCTAGCTTTTACGTGATTCCCTACTTAATTTACGTGCAATTACCCCTAAAATTAAAGTGCCCCCGCAATTTTGCATTTCATACTTTTCTCGGTTAGAATTTTTGATCCGTAACCGCCTAAAAACTCACCGTAGCCCAGGCTCGTTAGTTTACTTACACGGCAGTTATCACCTGGCCATTAGTATGTCCTAGTTTTCGTCGACATTCTGGAAGTGGATAGTGGTGACATATTCGGGCTGTCCTCTTACCGGCGGTACAGCGTGGCTGTACGACTGTATCAGCTCTTTGAATTAGGATACATACACAGCTAATCGAATCCGGCCCGCAGGTAACAGCACATCCTGCCAAGCAACGTATGAATAAGCCGCTAAAACCGGATTACCCTTGCGCCAGCAATCTAGTTGCCGCCGCAAGTGAAAAGTGGGTGCACTCAGCTCTTTCATTGATTTGTCTCTGCTTCAGATACACGTTCTGTCCTTCATCAGATTTCTTGGTCTTTGGCCTCTCGACCTCTGAATCGATATGGCAGGTACTTACACCCCGCGACCAGAAATCGCAGCTTTGGTGGAAAATGTAAACAAAGCTGCAGCTGGCTATGAAGCCGCAGCTGAAGGTGACGTCCACGTTGCTCGACGAAATCTTCAGCTAGAGGCTCGAAAACTTCTCTACTCATTGGAAGAGCCCAATTCAGAGGTTTGGCCTCGAATCTTCCAAGTAAGTTCACGTTCTTAATAACACGGAAAGGTGGCCTTTATAATCCCTATCCAACCTACTGTTGCAGGTCAATGTCAGCGCCGCAGTCGAGATCGTCTCGGATCTCGAATTATGGGAGAAGTTCGAAGGGGGAGGGGAAGTTTCTATAACAGAAATGGTGGAGCTCACCAAAGCAGATGAAATCATAATTAGTAAGTATCCCCTCTCTTCCCCCTCATCCCCAAGATCGTATACTAACTCCATTTTAGTCCGCATATTTCGCCAACTCGTAGCCGCAAATCTTTTCATCGAATCCCCAGGCCCAAGCTTCAGGCTCACTTCTCTCGGAAAACCGTATCTACATCCCGACCACCGCGCATTTAACAATTTCATGTTCTTTGATATTATTCCAGCCATTATGGCAATGCCACGAACACTGGCAGAGCATCAGTATAAAGCACCTACGAAAGAGACAGGAACGCCATACAAATGGGCCCACGGTGAAGAACTCTGGACCTGGCTAGGCTCCCATCCTGATCGAGGAGTCATCATGGTTGCCGGGATGCGGTCGCATAATCCGATGGATGCTTATCCATGGGGTATTGAACTTGCAAAGCTGGATCTGGATGATGATGATGTAGCAATTGTCGATGTTGCTGGCGGCCAAGGTCACATCATGGATGGAATCCGCAAGGAGAACCCGAGGATGAAGGGGCGATTTATTGTCCAGGATTTGCCTTCAACGTTCGACGTTGTGCCTTCACCGCCTGACAGAGTAGAGTTCATGGTATATGATATCTTCACTCCTCAGCCCGCCAAGGACGCCTACATCTATCATTATCGCCATATTTTCCATAACTGGAGTGACGGTGATTGTACTACCATTTTGGGACAAATTGTGCCGCTGCTGAAGACACAGCCGAAAAGCAAATTACTTTTGGTTGATGTGGTGTTGCCGAACTCAAATGCTACGATGCAGCAGGCGATTATGGATATAACAATGTTTCCGATGGGAGGGATGGAGAGGAATGAGAGTCAGTGGAAGGAGTTACTCGCAAAGAGTGGTCTGGGGATTAAGAAGATTTGGAGAGGAAGTGAACCAGAAGCATGTATCGAGTGCCAATTACTGTAGAGGCTTTTGCTATTAGAACTACCTTCTAATCCCCAATTTCCTAATAGCGAAAACCTTAGCATCGCAAAAAAAAAAAAGGGTCTCGTGATATCGGACCAACTAGAGGAAATTGTGAGTTGATAATATAATAACACCCATTCGCTAATACGAGGCATAGCGCAATCGGCCTACCGGTTAACTAATCGGGGGTCCCTATTTAGTAATAGAAGTTTGAATACAATTTGGGATCTATTATAGGTTCTATTAAATAATTGCATGGTATTAGAGTCTAAAGATTAAGGGAGCTTAAACTAAAAGATTTACTAGTTTATTCTAAATATATCTTTATTTTTATATATTTTCCTTTATTTAAAACTAGCTATTTATATTATAATATTATCTCATTAAATTTATATCTAAATATATTATTAATTCTAGTTATTTTACTTTATTATATTTTAGTTACTTATTTTATATTTTAAAATATTATAAGTTATATTAAAAGAATTAGAATTCTTTACTTTATAATTTATTATAAGAAAATATAAGATTAAATAAATTCTTTATTAAAGATATTTGAGATATAGCTAAAGATTTCTTTAAAAAAAAGTTATATTTATATTATATAAAAATTGTATTTTATATTTAAAGAAATAATAATATTAGAAGCCTAAAAAGAAATTATTTAATAAAATTATTAAATTAGTATTTATAAATAAAAAGAAAAATAATATAATAAATTTAAATATTTTAGTTTAAAGCCTTTATTAAGTTATATAATTATAAATAAGTTTATTATTATTAGTTTACTAGTAATATATAGTATTATTATATAGGTATAAAATATAGATATATTAAAGTTAATAAAGTTATTATTTAGAAATAAGAATTATAGTATTATAGTATTAATATATAATTCCTAAATCTATTAAGCCTAATAGGAACTAGCTATTAGTCAAATTACTTATAAAATATAAGGTTATATAACTATATCCCGTATTCTATATTCTATTATTTCGAGTTTTATAATTATATATATAACTTCTAAAGAAATAGCTATATTAATAATTATTATATAATATATTTTCTTTAGTTAATAAAGCAATTATAAATTACTTAATGAATTCAAATACTTTAAAAAAAATTAAATTTTATTTTTATTTTTATTTTATTTACTTTTTTAAAGAATTTTAATTAATTAATTAAATTACTAGTTTTCTTTAATTTATTAAGTTTAATTAATTTTATATATATTTAAAATACTAATTCCTGCTTTTTCTTATTATTATTATTATTATTATTATTATTATTATTATTTAGAAATAGGAATTATAAATTATAATATTAATATATAATTCCTAAATTTACTAAGCTTAATAAAATCTAGGTTACTAATTGAATTATTTATAAAATACGAGATTATATAATTATATCTTATTATTTCTATCTCGTATTTCGAATCCTGTAATTATATATATAATTCCCGAAAAAATAGCTATACTAATAGTAGAACTTTTTTAAAAAATACAAAAAATAATATTTCTCTCTAATTATATACTAATTCCCTAATTCGGCCTAATATTAGATTTCCCAAATACTTTATATATTTATATTACTTTTGAGGTTTTAATTATATATTAAAGGCTATAGCCTTTTATATATAACTTTTCCTCTTATAATATTTTATTTTTATTTTGATTTATTCTTCTATATCTAATTATATTATATTTATATTAGTTAGATATTTAAGAGTATTTATTAGCTTTAATTTTATTATAGAATTAGTAAAATTCGATTTTTTTTAATTTTTTTAATTTCCATAATTTCTTAGTATTTATATATTTAATAAAAATATATTTCTCTCGAATAGTTCCTAATTTAATGAGGTATTTATATAAATTACTAGTAATAGTTCTATTTCTAGTATTTTATTAATTATAGATTTAATTAAAGTATTTATATTAAAGCTATAAACTATATTATAGAATTCTAAAACTAGAATACTTTTAATAATTCTTTTATATTTAGTAAAGAACTAATAAATAATATTAGTGTATTTAGTTTTATTTACTAAAATTAGAATATATCTAATTCAGGAAAAGAAATCTCTATTATTTATAAATAAAATATTTATAGAAATAATTAAATATAAAAACTTTTTTACTAGTTTTATAAATCTCAATTTGTTATTAAATATATTTATTAAATATCTTTATATTAGTTTCCGAGAATTTAATAGCTTAAAGAGTAATTAATAAGTTATATAAAGCTTCTAGTTAATAGACTAATATAATATATATTAGATAATATATTAGATAATATATTAGTTTTTAATAAAAAGATTTTAATAAATAGTACTTCTATTACTTATAATAATAATATTTTTTATAGATATAATTTAAAGATTTTTATATTACTATTTTTATATAAAAATAATTCTAATAATATTTATATAAATAATACTTTATTAAACTTGAAATTATAATTAAAAATAAGGTATTTATATTTCTTAATTAAGAACTTAGTCTTTAGGGCTTTAATTACTTTACTTTTATAAAATTATTAGTTTAAAAGCTAATAATTCAGAAGAATTACAAATTAATTATTTTATAAAAAACTTATTAATATAATAGAAATAATAAGTTTTAAACTAATAATTCCTAGTTTTTATTATATTATATAATAGTTTTATAATCTTTAGAATAGAATTATTTTTTTAGATTTAGCTTTTTAATAAGTTTATAAAATAAGTTAATATAAAAATTATAATTAAATAAAATTATTAATTAGATATAAGTTTATAAGATATTATAAAAATATAATTCCGTAATATTTATTATTATAATAATGATATTAAGAACAATTCTCTAGCTAATATATTAAATAATAAATAATTATATTAATATTATATATTCTTATTATTATTATAAGCCTAAATAATTAGTTTTAATTTCTTGAACTTTTTTTCTATACTTTTTTTCTTAATCTTATTAATAAACCAGAAATTAAAGATATATATTTCTTTTAATACCTGAAATCTAAAAGTAATTTCAAATATATTCTTTTTTAAAAGGCTAGTAATTTTAACTTAATAAGAGTTCTTATATAGGTTATTATTTTATAGAAATATTATAATATTCGGGGTTTTATAAAAGTATTCTTTATTATATTTTAATAAAATAGTAAAAATAATAAAAGAAATTATACTCGTATTATTTTTAGTCTTATTATAGAATTCGAGAATAATTTTAAATTTAGAACTATTAGTAATAACTTTAATATCTCTTATATAAAAGAGTTTTATAAAAACTAAATAAAAAATATTATTATTATATAATAGAGCTAGTATATAGTTCTTTCTATTAATAATTACTAGCTTATATAGCTTATTTCAATTACTAAATTAACTAGTATTTCCTTTATATTATATAAGAATATTCGAATTTAAAAAAAGTTTATAAATATTAATAATATTAGAACTATTTCGGGTATTTAGAATTTAGTATTTTGTTTAAAGCTTCTAAATTTTTACTATTACTTTTTTAAATACTATTAATTATTATAATATAATTAGTAATAAGATATTATATTTAGTTATTTAAGGTAAAATACTATAAATTAAAAGAATAATAATAATAATATTAAATTCTATAAAATTATTAATAGTTTTAAAAGCTATTTAAAATATAATATTTTTATTAATTCTATTAATTTTGGCTATAATAATAAAATAAATATATTAAATTAGGCTATAATAATATTTTATAATTTTAATAAAATAATAAGCTTTTATAAAAACGATTTTAGTTTTAGTTTCTATAATATTTATAAATTAAATAAATTTCTTATTAATAAATTACTTTCTAATATTTACTATAATCTAATTAGAAGAGCCTAAATAGATATTAATCTAATTCTATTTTAGAATATCCCAAATATATAAAATATAAGCTTACTAGAAATATAGAAAATACTAATATTATTTCTTAGATTAAACTTAAATTATTCTAGTAATTATTCGAATTTCTAGTATTATTTATAGTATTTTATAAAGTATTTAAGGGCTTTTATATTAATATTATAGCCTATTTATTCTAATATATTTCGAAACTTACTAATAAATAAATAATTAAAATAATAATATAAATATTATAATTCGACTTTTATAAGAAAATAAGAATTATAAATAAAAAATTCAGAAATAAAGTTTTATAATATAGTATTTTAAAATATTATATTATAAATATAAATTATTTAACAGAAATAATAAAATAATTAGTAAGATTATTAAAATAGATCTTTAGTTTATTTATATTATCTAAGCTAAATAGAAATAAATTTTTTATAAATATAATATAAAATTATATTTACTTAATTAGTATTTTTATTATTATAAATCTAATAGAAAATATAGATCTAATACTAAACTAGATATTAATTTAATCTTTAATAATATTATTAGTTTATTATAAAACTTGAAATTAGTTAGAATTAGTAATTAAGAATCTAGAAATTCTAATATTAATTATAATTTTATAAAAGTTATAAATAATATATTTTAATATATTATTAATTATAAATATTTAAATATCTTTTATTTATTTAATAAACTCTAAAATATAATTTTTGCTTATTATCTAATATATAAGAAAAAGAGAAATAAAGTTATTTATAAGAATATTAGTTATAGAAATAATAGAAATAAAAGTAATAGAAATAACTAAAAAGCTTTTAATAAAAATAAAATAGAAATCTAAATAATATTTCTCTCTTTTATTTATTTCTAGTTTATTTTTATTATTTTTATTATTATTTTTTTCTTTTAATTCCTGTAATATATTATATATAAGTATTATTAAAATATTTATTAAAGTTATAAAAGTTTCGGAATTTAAATTAGTAAATATTTCTATTTTTAAATCGAGTTTTTTTAGTATTTTATTTCTTTAATATATACTTTTATAAATAATATTCGAGTTTTTTATATATAAAATATAATATTAAAATATAATTATTATAATTATAAAACTTGAAATAGTTATTACGGATTCTGAAATTATAACC